CTTGGCATTCAGGACATTCAGGACACCGGTCGCAGTGATAATCAACTCTTCCCAGACTCTTCCCAAAGGCCATGGGGGGTAAAAAAAAGGGTGAAGATATTAATGAGTTTTGAAACGAAATCAACGATTTGAAACCATATTAGACCCATTTCAATCCATTTGAATCCATTTTCATCATTTCAGATCCGTTAACATCTTACAGTCCGCAGGCCACGTGCATGAACGCACCTGCATGATCCTGTGAATGGATTGCGTGACTTGGACGGGCAGTTTCAGAGGGTAACGGCTCACTTACAACACCGGAGCGACTCACTTGCGGGCCCGGCCAGAATCACTTGCATGCACTCTTCATGGGGTGGGGTGACAAAGACGTTCATGCTCCCTTGCGCACACAGTGGCACTGCACACTCATCATGGGGTGGGGTGGAGTGGGGTAGGGTGGGGTTGACAATAACGTTCATGTTCACTTCCACACACACACACACAGTGGCATCACACACCACATTGTCACACACAGACACATACACACACACAGAGACACAACACACACTGTTGACACAAGGTTCTCACACAGAACATTCGCACAGACGCAAACAAGTTTGTCAGGTGCTACTAAGATCTACTAAGAAGATGTCCAGCAAAGCAAAGCTGGAGCGTGGCAGAAAGTGCATGACGGTAAGACAAATCGCAAGTATAGCAGATCCGCAAAGCATCAACTGTATGTGTAATGAACTATATATAAGCCGGCGTCATCAGCGAAGGAAACAAATGCGTCACAAGCGAGCAAAACGCCGGCTTGTAGCAAGCGAGACCCAGACCGTTTCCCTTGGTTTTGGTTCACCATAAACCAAAGCAACATCTGCATTTGAGAAATGGGATGTCGATGGATGTACCATCCGCTAACGTGGCAAGCTGGGAAATCCCCATTTTACTAGCCACAGAGGTTTCGTTTGCTGGGAAAATCTTCGCGCTGGGTGCTTACTGAAGGGTATGTTCTATGTTATCTATGTTCCTGGTGTATGTATAGCCGATCATTGATGAATTCGAATTCCCACCCACCAAGACCACGGGTGTACAGTCGGTGTACCTGATACAGAACTGGGTTTCCGGCTGCATGTAATGCAAGGATCAAACCACCCACCTCAAACAGTTCACAAAAACATTAGAAAACAGCAGACAAGCTTCTAAAATGGCGGGCTAATGTTGTCATCAATGAGCAGGTGGCAAAAAGGGATACAACAGCAGCTGCTCTACGATACTCTGATTTACGCATGCAGTGACAATGCAGTGCTGGAAAATCACAGTTGCAATGACAAAACAAAGGCTCACTTGAGAGGTTTGTATATGAACGAACTCGGTGAGCTTGGAACCAAAAAAAGGCCATTGACACACAAGTAACATCAAGTAACATCAAGTAACACACACACACATACACAAACCAAAACAAATGACTCGAGATCTTTACACACCAAAACAAATAACTCGAGATATCTCGAGATCCACAACAACTACCTAGATCAATTTGGCCATGAGCTGTGGATTGTGGATCATGGCTGCGATGGCTGAGGAGCCAACGCCGTAAATTGCGAACACACGGGTGCTGCGTTCGCTGCCGGGGTGACCGGGGTGAGTGGATTACGTGGATTTCAGAGTTCAGTTGTAGCTTTGCTGATTTCACTTGTCCATACTTCATACTTTTTCCACTCAACGGACTTGGTTTGATGTCAAAAAACGCTGAACAATGCTAGGTGGTGCAAGATGCATGAAACTTATATATGAAACTTTATAAAACAACAGAAAAAAACTGATTCTTGGATTCTTCCAAAACTGTATGGCCCAGTACGGCCACGCAGGCTACGTACTTCGTGCTTCCACCTTACCAAGATAGTTGCTTAATCCTTGGAGAAGAATGGGACGAGCTTCAGAACAGTTTGTGAATCTAGGAACCCAATGCCCAGCTCTCGTCCCCTGAAAAACTCCTAGAGTGTCTGGAATGCAGTGGATCAACTTCCATGCTTCTACTTTGTCAAAACAATTAACACTTGCAAACAGCAGACAAGATAGGAAAACTCTTAGTAGCTCGTTGGCTCCCCATTTAAAAGGGAATATGGATACCGAAAGTTCTTATCAGCTCCTTAGCTCCCTCCTGGCCGCTGGATAGAAGCAATCGCTTTGAAGCAGTGCAAAGCTGATATGTGTCATTTGTACTCTATCCTCTAATGTTGGCTATACACGTTGCCAGCATGCAATTATTGGACACACGATTCACATTGTTCTTGCACACGCATACACATCAGGGCAGGACATGGCACATCAAGTAGGGAAGTGTACTCAGTGTGCCTCAAGCCGCTCTCATTGCTCTTGGACTCGCTCATGGAGACCGGCAAATATTTCATGAGACCTCTGAGTTGCGAGCACGTCAGGGTCTGGCCAGAATCCGACCGGTGGGTTGTCGTCGCTAGCTACGAACAATGTATGACTACTCGGCTGAGAATCTGCCTGGTTAGCAGAGAAACGCATAGGTATGTTATGTACAGGTTGGCAAGAGGTGTGTCTTTTTACTTTTTCATTTTGTGTGATGCTGTGTCCAGAGGGTTGGTGAACATTAAGACGTAGTGACCATACCCCATTGACTTCAAGTCTCCAAAAAGTGACCAAAACATACCAAAACAATGTAAAAGTCAATGTAAACTACTATATAAAAGGAAGCTGTTTGTGTTTGAGGGGGTCCATATGCATTTTTCATGATCTAGAATCTAGATATATCTAGATATTAATGACACATATTCATGGTAGTACAATATGTTACATCACAACTGTCCAGCTGAAACCACTGCGCCTAGTGCGCCCAACAGCACAAAAATGAATCGGAGCGGGCACATCTTCCAGCCTCGGGGCAGAAGGGAACCACATAGCTACGACGATTGAATGGGGAAAATGATGATCTTTGCCCTGGGATTATTTCTTTTTTGGTATGATTTTCAGACAAACCCAGGTCTGAATGCGGGATGGTAGGGTGTGGAAGGTTCAAATATGTTCAAATCCTATGGTTTGGATGGAAATCAAACTCAATTGGAAGATCAAACGCATGTCAGAAAACATCGCAGGCATTACCGCTTGACCTTCTCAGGAAATCTGCTTTGATTTCTTCGTTCCATCCCACGAATCAAACAACTGGTCAGTACCAATGATTAGTAGCAGTTAGTAGTTCCCCGCGGGGTCAACCCTTCCTTCGCCCAGCCTTGGGGTAAGTAAGAAGTGAAGAATGTTGGGGACCAAACACATCCAAGAACTAGTGATAATCCTGGTGGTGACTAGCAATGCAGGATGAGTTGGCTAATCGAAGTCTATCCAAGCCGTGTAATCCTCTGCGCAAGGGTCGCGTTGGGTCGACCATGTTCCACTTACCACTGGATTCACCCAGGGCTTGTCGTTGATCTGATCTGTTGCTATCCATTTTGAGGGGTCAAGAAGTCTAATCCATGGCCACTTCTGTTCATGATCGCCATACATCGGTGTCTTGGACGTTACTCAGATGAAAAGGAACCCCAAGGTGATGTTCAGGCTGCCGCCATACATCAACGCCATAGATCTTGTCAATTTGTCTGCAAAAGTTCTTCAGCAAATACACCAATCTCTGAGACTAGTCATGCAAATGGGCCATCCTCTTAGATTCTTCCAGGTGGAGCCGCTCAGTCTTTTCCTCACAGCTTTGCACCGCTTCCGAAGACCACTGTGAACCACTGTGACTTCGGTATCTGGCTGCGAGAACCTGATGTAAAATGTATGTCATTGTATATCTGTATATCTATTAACATGATCTCTGCGGCCCGGACTATGTCCTAATGTCAAACTGACCAAACATGATCAAACAATACATACAAAGTGTGATGAATTTGGAGAAATTAAGTCACTAAATTATCATATTTCACAAACCTGAATAAAGGATACTAAAGCGAGTTTTGGGTCTTATGAACCATGGCAGGCTAAATGCTTTCCTTTCTCAGCCTTGATCGGTTGGGAAAAATGTGCAATCATCACGGTTCAACGGACATTTTACAGGAAAGGGTGGATGTACCAGCCAAACATGGCAGTTTCCTTGAAATTTTTGCTTGAACCATCTTGAACCAGTTTTGGGACCAAAGTGCTTTGTAAATCGCTTTTTTCAACACCTTAGATTTGAGGTCAGGGGCAAGGGAGGACCTGATTCGGTTGGAGGTGGACGTCTGGTGGACGTCTGGCCGCTGAGTCATGGTCATCATTGAAATGTCGAAACCTGGCATCTGTACTGTAGTGATATGATACGTCAGGCGATGCTGGAGATGGGCCCACTGGGCACCACAAGGTGGGTACCTCTTTAAGCCATTTTAAGCCCACCTAGGCCCACAAAACGCACAAGAAGCAGACTGTTCTTATCATTCATCCATTTTCTATGGTTGATAGTTTTAAGACACATACCCATCTCCCAGGTTGCATTCAAAGCCTGCGCCATCTGCTATATATAGCTACACTTACTATTCAAATTGCCAGAAGCATCGACGTTCACCAAATGCCAGCCTACCTGCACCACCTGATTCAATTTCAGAATTCTCCAATCTGATTCAACATACCATTCTTGGGATGATTCCTGCTGCTCTCCATGGTGAGGTCGCTGTAATTTGCTCAGAATCTGAGCCGCAGTGCATTGGATTTAATTAAGCCTATCATGTTATGGACCGCCCAAGGCCATGTCCCAATCTTAAGGCAACTTTAAGGAAGTCCGTTCCCTTCTGGATACTGTCTGGATATGGCTACTAGTTACTAGTAGCATTGCCGGAAGATCCATCGCTTCCAGAAGACGTTCATCCTGAAGCTTGATCTATTCCTGGAATCTGGGCAAATTATCAGAAGCCTCAAACCTTAATAAATCTCATTTGATACCATTTTGGGATGCTTTCTGTTTTCCTCTTGCCAGCTTGCAAACCATTATCTATGGTGAGGTCGTTGTGAAATCCTTCTAAGGCCATTGTAATTTGCTCAGAAAGTATGCCGGAGTGCATTGGATTTAATTAGGTTTGCTACTGTATACTGTCCTGGACCGCCCAAGGCGTTGTCGCAACTTTAAGGCCGTCCGTTCCATTCTGTTCTCTTATCCCAACCGTTGCATCTCCATACTCCGGCGTGCGCTATCCACTAAGAGCTTCACTTCACTTTTAAACGTGGCACTGACTTGAGGCAAGTGCTGAAGGGAAGTGAAAAGGTCACCAGGGGAGAATCCGCGCAGAATCCGCTGATTATCCCTGGCCTGCCGGACCTCATCGGGGGTCGGCGGCTGCACCTGCCTTAAGAATTTCACCCGCCGCTCTAAAACTGCCAGAACTAGGCGGAGATCATCCCTAAGCCTGTGCGTGACCAAGAGCCTCTCAAGCTGCCATTGGAACATGAGCAAAGCAAGCAACTCCCGCATGCTCTCCAAAAGTTCCTGCTCCTGACACTTCCAACGAAAGTCAAGGGTGGGTATGGCCGGTTGACAACGGTTTCACAGAATGGAGTGAATGAAGTACATGGCTGCTTGTGAAGCCAACAGGGCTGAATCAACCAAGGGTGCCCCTGGGCATGAAATATCACCATGAAAATCCAAATTAATACATGGTCATCTACACCAAATATCGCAAAATGCCAATCCTTGCAAGCTCGCTTTAACTCCAGCAAATGGATGCAAATGGAAGTTCTTGTTAGACCGACCCCTTGACTTAGCAAACAGGATGCTGGGTTCATCCTACACTGCGCCGGGCAAATCCCCACGTTGCTCCTGTCTAACGAGCTTGCGCCTGGGATTGAGATGTTCCCGGTGGCAGAACTCGCACCTGCACAGATTGAAACGTGGAGAAAGAATGTCTTGCCAAAAACGAACCTGAACAGGGATGTGAATGGGAACACCAACTACAATTGGCACCAGCTTAACCAAAGTGGACCATCCCTGCCCATCCCTGACCTGGGACCTTTCATGCACGTTCCATGAACTGCGCGGATGCAAGGGGCACGGCATAGAAACGGATGCCCGAGGCTGCCGCTAGTGGAAATGTCCTCAGGCCAGTCCTGTGAGTCTTCACTGTGGGCAAAATGTTGGAACAGCCAGGAAATTATACGTCTGTCTGTCTGTCTGTCTGTCTGTCAGTATATATGTATGTGCAAGTATGTGCATGTAAGATCATCTAAGAAATGTATGCGTGGTATGTGTATATAGGTGCATGTAAGTATATGTATGTGTATGTGCAAGTAAATGCGTATGCATGCATGCATGCATGTGTGTATGTGTGCATGTGTGCATCTGTGTATGTGTGTGTGAGTGTCATTGGATCCGAATGGATCCGAATGGATGGATGGATGGAGGGATGCGCAGGCATGTAGGTCCGTGTACATGTAATTGTACATGTACGTGTCCGTTTGATGCAAACGCACACACACACACATACAAGGTACCATATCATCATTCTGTATGTATGTATGTATGGATGGATGGATGGATGGATGTATGTATGGGTGGATGTGTGGATGTATGGATGTATCTATGTATGTATGTATCTATCAATCAATCTATCTATGTATCTATGTACCTATGTACCTGTGTATGTATATTTAAATGTATGTGTATACGTATGTGTATATGTATGTGTATATGTATGTGTATATGTATGTGTATACGTATGTGTATATGTATGTGTATATGTATGTGTATGTGTATGTGTATGTATATGTGTTTGTATATGTGTTTGTCTATGTGTCTGTATATGTGTATGTATATGTGTATGTATATGTGTATGTATATGTGTATGTATATGTGTATGTATATGTGTATGTATATGTGTATGTATATGTGTTTGTATATGTGTTTGTCTATGTGTCTGTATATGTGTATGTATATGTGTATGTATGTGTACGTGTATGTATGTGTATGTATGTGAATGTATGTTATGTTATGTTATGTTATGTATGTGTGTATGTATGTGTGTATGTATTTATGTATGTATGCATGCATGCATGTATGTATGTATGTTATCTATATTATGTCTGTTATGTATGTTATGTATGTAATGTAATGTAATGTAATGTAATGTAATGTATGTATGTATGTGTATGTATGTATGTGTATGTATGTATATGTATGTATGTATATGTATGTATGTATATGTATGTATATATATATATTTATGTATATGTATGTATGTATGTACGTATGTATGTGTATGTATGTATTTATGTATATGTATGTTATCTATATTATGTATGTTATCTATATTATGTATGTTATGTATGTTATGTACCATATAAAATGTTAAACATGTTATAAAAAGTTCTGCATGCATGCATGCATGTATATCTATATATACACATACACATGTTTGATTCGCATGTTTCTGCTTTTGCTGCTGTGTTTTGCGTCTATCTGGAATTGGCCATCTCTGCTGTGTACGAGAATGGTTTCCGACTGGGAAGAGGTTCTTTCCTTTGTCTTGGGAGGGAGAATGCTCCTTAAACAATGCTGTTGAGAATTGCATTGCGGCAACTGTGCACGTTCAAGTGGGTGTTGTATCACGTGCTCTAATGCGCATTTCTCCAGAGCCACAAACTCCCAAAAACTTTGGCAATACAAACTTGCATGCTACTGTAGCAAGCACATGATGATAGTGATGATGGCAGTCAATGATGATTCTGTTGATGAGTTTGTCACCAGGCGTCTGTCTCAGGCAAATTTCCCTCAAGCAGTGAATTTCATGTCGTAAACTTTGGGACGTTCTGATCGCATGATCTAGGTCGGTTGGAAACTAGTCTGAGCCACCTCGGTCTTGGCACAGTCAAGAAGAGAAGATTCATCATAAACTTTGACCCCTTTCAACAGAACACATAGGCAAACTAGGCATTCAGTTGGGCAAAAACTCCTGGACATTCCTGGACTTAGATCTTTTTTTGATCGAGGTGCTGTTTGCTAAGCGAATGAATCAGCCCCGCGACGCAGGAGATCATCGACTCTCGTGTCAGGTTCCTTCTCCTTCTCCTTGGTGAAGATATCGTAGAACCCCATGTATAAGGTATAAGATGGTAGAAGCTTCTATGATGTTCTATGATGTTCCATGTGAAATCTATGGCTGGGATGTTTGGTTTATCTAATCTATGTACCGGGCAGAACTAGGTATAGGTATACACATTTATACATACACATGTATGCGTATAAAACATCGTTTGTATATAATCAATGTGCATATATATATATACACACAATTATACGCACTATATTTATATACACGTCAGGGATTGCTTTATATTGCTTGCAACCAAATTTGATCATGCGTATCAAGACCACTTTGCCACCAACATTCCGCCCAACCATCAAATTCGTTTTGGATAGCAGTCCTGACCACTGAAAGACAAGCAAGTTTGCGGAGCTTTGTAGTACCCATTATGTTTGCTGATCAACAAATCAAACATGGCCTCTACAAGTTCAAAACGCTCCTAATATAGTTTCACATTCCTTTGACCTCCCAGGCACTTCCTGAAGGTCACCTGGCAAGCTCTTGGAACGTCTGGCAGCTGTGGCAGCTGCATACCAGAGCCTGGGCGACACGAGCCCCAGGAACGCATTGCGACACCTTGGCTGTTGCCAGCTGCTGGCTGTTGGTCTGCAATGGTCCAGGACATCACAATCTTGGGCTGGTGGATGGCAACAAAAGGCTACGACGGGCCCGAAAAAGTACGAGAGTTCCCTGTTGAATGGGGAAGTATATTTCTGTCTCCACCCGTCATGACAAGCAAACTTACCCGGAAATGGCGTCCAACGACTCTGCTTCCAAGTGTTTGATCCATACCCAATTATAGATACGCTAGGAGTACAGTCATATATTTTCCTGTTTGTCACCCATCTTCCCGCAACGAAGGTTTACCTGGCATGTTGAACTGCCAAGGTGCTCCAAGCTAGACATGGGAAGAGTGTGCAAGGCTTGGATTTGAACCACAGGAAATGCTGCGCCTGGTGTTTGGGACACACGAGACACCCATCTCAATGAGTTTTAGCCAATTGGAAAAGTAGGGGACGGACATTAAGAACTTTTCAATTCTGAGTTACATCTCCATCCCGAACTATACCAGCACGAGACCAGCATTTGTGTTGATGGATATGAGATCTGACAAGCTAGACCCGGCAGTTCCATTTTGACAACCCAATTCAATCCTCATGGAAATTCCCCAATCGAAAATCTTCTCATCCAATGTAGGTTATTTTATGTGATTTTATGGCTGATACCAAGACCAGGGTATCATACCATGTATTTCTGTTGGTCAATCAATATATCAAATGGCTGGTTTTCCAAACTGCGCAGCCCACAAGGTTTAATTCTTGACCTCTATTAAGATTATATATTTTCTGCAGCATTGGAGTAATCTCCTCGCGCTGTACTGGTTCTAAACTACCCAAACTACTGTTTACTCAGTTTCCGTTGGCCCCCCCATCTGCGCTTCATGTTGGTTCAACCCTGGATCTTGGTCTCCGGGCTTCGGTGGCCAAATGTTTTCCACAAAGATTCCAGGCCTGAACGGGGCCGTCGACTCAGGGGAGTTTTGTAAATTTTCGAATCTGGAGATTCCATGAAATTCCTATAGTTTCTTTTGAGTTTTTCAATCTGGAAGTCATTGAATTATATTGAATTACTATTCAAGCATGGTTCAGTAGAACTCACTCAAAGGAAACTTGTTTGTCTCGACTGGACTGAGATGGAACTAAGAGAAACACCAACCCAGTCATTGTGGTTTCAATGTAGAGACAAGCATAGATTTGGAAGAAAACGGTACATGTGGCACGGACGTGACACAACAGCTTCTGATCCCATCCCCCAATATTAAATACCATCTAAATGGTTCCATATACGTGTAAATCTCTTACTAAACCATGGTTTCTCGGGGGTATTTAATCTTACGGGGAAGGGATAATGTATGGAGAAGATCTTGGCATGACCTTTATTTCGGACACAGGCTGATCATGGCTGAACCTACACCCATGTTGCACAAGTTCGTGCAGAAGTGAAGGATAGTTTCCAAATGACTCAGAAAAACTTTGGGATCTTTGGGATTCCTTTGAATTGGAATCATGTAAATTGATCACAGGCGAAATCTGGTGCAGCTTGACAGCTTGACACACAGAAGTCTCATTTTCCTATGACCAAATGATTCTGGCTCCCTGATTTTGAATGATTTTGACCGCTGGCTGCAACCAACGGGTAACCGGGCACGCCTCAGACTCTCGTAGGAAGTTTTGCCTGGACGTCGGACACGGCAATGGGTATCAACGGCTTGGAGGCACCGCTCATGGTGAAAGCCATCTTCCAGTGGGGTGTGTAGAAACATATGTGCGTATAAATGTACACATGTTTGAATAAAAGATTGATGATACTTGTGCATATGTATATACTAAAACAACATCATATGTATGCGTACACACTAATATAATCAAATATGTATACAGTATGTATATATATAATTACACGCATCTCATTCAAAACATGTGTTGCTTTATATCATGATAAGAACAACGTACCCGCACGTGTGTTTGCACACTATGCCGAACTTGCATGGTGTCTCAGCGCATTCGTGCTCCTGCGTTTTGCTCAATGGATTGGAAGGCAAAAGGGTTGAAAACATGTGCCATTTCATTATATTTCATTGGCATACAAAACATGTTTGGCTTGTTCCACTAAACGGTGGATTTTTGAGACCATGATTACGCGCGCCACATGTGATAAACAAATAGGGTACAGTCGCAAGTTTCCAACTTTTCTCTTCTTCACATCTACCGAGACTTTCGCGTGTCTAGTTGTATGACATACGTTAACATCATCTTCAGGACGCAAGCGCAAACAAAGTCAACACACCCGCCCAGCGCTGAACCCATCCCTTCGCGTAGCGACTCCAAGCGTCGCATCATCTTCAGGACACAAGTGCTCGGAACGTTAGCACACCTGCCCGCCTCTGAACCTATCCCTACACGAAGCGACCCTAGGCGTAGCGTCATCTTCAACCATTAATGCCAAAAAAAGGGAAAACGCGCATACGTTTTCCCAGACGCTAGCAAATATAACTAGATATCAAAGATCTGAATCTATTCGGTATAAGTAATATTGTCAAAGGCGGGAAAAATAAGCCCCCCCCCTTTTGCTTGGACTTTCTTGAGGAGCCTAGATTTTCCACGCCTGAGCGGCCCCAGGACGCGACGAGCGTCTTCTATTTCATGGAGCCAAAAGTCTTGATGGATCACACACATATATATATAATACATATCATATATACAGTCCTCAAACTAATAGAGCATACTGGGGACCAGCTCAAACATGCGACCCCAAATATGTATGTATGTATGTATATATATATATATTGTGGAATGGATATATATATATATCATTTTACTATCTTATTATATATTACATTATAGTGTGTTATATAAAAAATACTATGTTATTACAGTTATGTTATATTATATCAACTTACATTAAATTACATTAAATTACATTAAATTACATTACGTTACGTCACATGACAGTATAGTATATATAGTCCAGTACAGCATAGCATAGCATAGTATAGTATCATATCATATTCCTAATATAATATATATATATATAATGTAATGTAATATACTATACTAAATTATATATTTAATCATCTTTTTATATATATATATACACACATATTATTTTCAACCTCGAGCAGTTGCAGATTTGCGGTATTTCCTTGAAACATTTTTCTTGGGTTTATGGTACCCACGTCTTTAAGTATTTCCACTTCCGCCACTCTGAGTCAGGGAAAATCAAGGCGTTGTCATAGGGCTTGATGCACCAAGGTAAGCTGATTTTCGACTGAGACAACTATTGTGGCCAATTGTGGCCATCATTCTGCATCTGGCATTCTTTCGAAGGCGTCAACATCCTGGATTTTGCTCGAGAACTTTGTGAACGTTCTCTCCGAAAAAAAAGGGGCAAAGCCTGTCCAGAAATCGCGCGTGCACGTTTTTGCCTACCAATGAGCGACCAAAACCAGAATGAGCGCAGCATAGATCCAGTCAAATAACATCAAAAAATGCTGCGAACAAATAAGATCCAGAACATATTTCACTGTCAAACGAGGCTGCGCGCACTTTTTACACCATCAGTGGACACTGGTGACTACATGGTGAAACTAGAAGGCAAAAATGTTTCAACAACTGACATGAATTCGACCTTGATCACCTTCACTATGTGCTGTTGCCACGATGCCACCTATCTTACCTGTGCTGAAACTATACTTCATAACTCTCATATGTCTGTCTATATCATTCTATATCTATCATATCCATTCATATCCATCGATATTTCACACTGCCCCCCCACAGCATCATCAATATTGATGACTTACGGTTGAAAACACAGGGAAACTCGGCCTTTAAATCGAAACATGCTCCGGCTTAGTCCGGACTCAAGGAGAAACCGCAGGTGGGTTCTGAGGTGGGCTTCAAAGGTGTTGAGCCTCCAGTTTCGGATCCCATGTTCGATTTACAGACCAGCCATAGAGAAATGGGAATCTTTCAGAATGCCATAGGATTTTTTGGTATATCAGATATGATTGAATCATATTGAATATGATCGCATCATAGCAGCCAACTGTACCATTGGATTCCATAGGTTTCCATTGGAACAAATACCTCGAGGATCAACAAGAAATTGGCACGATTCTCCAGCCCAGCGCCAGCGCACTATTTGCGCAGAGCCATTTGGCCCAAAAAAAGGAGCTGGTACGGAAGCTACGGAAGCCCATTGATCACTTTTTCTCTCACTTTTTCTTTCCATCCTTTCCATCCTTTGCCTTTCCATCCTTTGCCTTTCCATCCTTGGCTTTCGGATCCTTTTCCTCTTTTTCCTCCTTTTCTTCTTCCTCTGCAACTTCCTTCTCAGCCTTTTCCTGGAATGGTCCCAACACCTTGGACCTATTGGACCTACAGGCACTTCAACGCGGCCAAAAACGTGAAGTGGTTTCATCTTCCAGAAAAGTACCACCAAAACACCTATGACATACAGAATCTTAAGCTTTTCATACATTCTTCACTGGCCCAACACTTCATTAAATGATATAAAAACCATGAAAAAAACCCGCTTCCCATCAGGTCCTTCTCAGCTTTGTCCACCATGGCCTGCAAGGTGCCTTCGTGACTCCACTCCTGTGCCACAAACCTGCGGGCTCAGGCTCAGGCTCCGCCCGGCGCCCCATGGCGTGTTTCTTTAAAAAATTCGGGCGCCCAGTAAATAGATGAGATATGATGAGATTAAATGAGCCATGTTTAGTGAGTTTAGTGTGCCCAAATAGATCCAAATAGCATGAATTTCAAGAACGATGACAACGACAAAGGAGAAGCTTCTCACGGCTTTAAACAACCAAATGTTTGAGACGAACCAGAAGCAAATTTCTCAGTGACAGCATGCATGTGACAGCAAACTAGAAGTCCAAACGTCTTTTTTTCCAACTGTTTTCTTTCGCAAACGCGTTAGCTCTCTATGTACAGCACGCTGGGCCGTTTTGGCCTTGCGAGACGTGGAGCAACACTTTTGGTGTGGTTGTTGTCGCGAAGCCACCAGCATATTTACGTGAGATTACGTGAGCCTTCAAAGTGAATCATACATCTGAAATGTGGTATGATTAATTACCAATATTAATATGTATGATTAATATGTATGATTCATATAATATGAATGTCATATGTGGTAATTTCCCACCCAATGCTGTAAACCATCCCATTTACCAGTTGGGGGTCATGATAGACATCATCCCATCTCTTTAATTTCATAAAGGTCTATGGGTTGAATCTCCATGGCCGCAACTGCATCATGGTACCATGTCCATCGGCTGCCTGACGAGCCGATGATGGGATGAATGTGGGGGATTTATGGTGTTCTGAGGCCGCCTCGCATTTGAAGAGATGACAAAAGCATGGAAGTGTAATACAACAAGATTCTTCGTAATTACACGAAACGTCCCAATGAAGCCGAGTGATTTGAGGTTTGAACTTCCCGAATCTGGCAATCGTGCCTATGTCTTCTTCCAAATTGCAACAACGCAACTTTCTACGCCTCTTAACTCTTAACCACTGTCCAGACGAACTCTGCAAACTTGCTTCAAAATGTGGACAAGCAAATCGAAATAGATGAAGTAAGACATGGTGAAACTGCAAATTCTGGTATGCAATGCTGTACCCAAACAATCCTCCATTTACATCTCTGCAAGCGATGATAGATCCTCAAAGGCCCTAGGAAATCTGACTTTTTATGTCCATAGGGTATACCCCAAAATCCACTGGTGGACAATGATTTTCCCATTTTCCCAACAAAGCTGCCATGTGCCTGTGTAAAATATATGTATATATATATATATGATTATATAATTCTAAATAATATAATTACATATACATATATATATATATATTGTAAAATCGGCACAGCTACCCTTCTTTCCGCTGATCCTAGGGGGGCCTTGTGCCCAGATTCCGATGGAAATGGGTCAATTGATTGGACATGAAATTTGCACGGGTCCCAAAGTTTGAAACACGTACAGCATTGGAATCGAATCTGCTTTGCCAGGAACTTATGTACCAAGTCACTTTGAAATGGCTGTGTGTGTGTTTTGTGTGCGCTGTCGATCGAGATCGATACAGGTGTCCTCCATAGGTGTCAGACCTTCTTTTCTCCTGACTTTCTCGGATCTTCCCTGGTCATCTTGCACGATCTTGTAGCGAAATCCCATTTGTATGTATAAAAGAGCTTGAGCTTTTTCTGTGGTTTTGGTAAGAGAATTTGCTATCATTGCTCCCCCATGTACCCAGTTGAATTGAACGCCACTATCTTCAGCATTTTCTCGTAGACTTATGGCCTCAATATCACTCCGTTTTTCAGCTCCCTTGATACATACTGTAGCTCGGTGTAGTTTGTCATATAAATTTCGAGCATCAGTCACAATAATACCAGGTGTTTGACGAGCAGCTTCATTTGGATAGCGTGTGTTGACATGCCCTCCGCTGATTTCCCACCAAAGCACTCTGAGGTACAATAAATCATCCTCACCATCTAGTGCAGCCATAGTTTCAGCACATGCTGGGGATCTGCATGTCCGTTCCGTTTTCGCTGATCTCCAAAATATCGGGGACACATTGGTCTCATGACCTTGCAGCAGGTTTTGACTGGTCATTCCAATAAAATTCCCTCTGTGCTGTCTTTTCCGTTTGGCCTATTGGCCCACGCAGCGTCTGTCCAGCATACCATGTGTAATTCCTCTTCGGGATGAAAACTGTGAATTTGAAATTCTTGTAAATGCCACTTTTTCACATTCCTCACCAGCGCATTTGCTTTCACAATCTCGCCCACGGTGCTCACTGGAATACATGTAATAAGAAAATTGACATCCACTGAGTACATGAAACATGTTTGCCCACATAGCCACGAGAGACTTCCCAAAAGTCCTCGTAGAGCACTCTTCTCCTTGTCCGTGGTTGGAAGTTCCTGTTGCCGTGAGCGATCACGGTTGAGAGGTATTTCTTCTAGTTCCTCAATGAACCTCCGTTGTGATAGAAAAATATTTCCTCGATCATCTTGCCGAATTAATATTCCACATTGTTCAAAAGAGTCATATTCCCAAGTACCCCAATTGTACACTTGTTTGAGTTGTTCCATAAGACGCTGATGTACTTGGCAATCTCGTGACCCCGCAAATACAAAATCATCAACATGAGCATGAATCATAGATCTAACCACGCCAGAATCATCTTGGTAAATCCAACAACAAGGTTCAGTTTGTAAACGGTGATATCCCAACTGTGAGAGAGTGTGACATACGGATTCATACCAGTACAGTGGAGCCTGTACTAAACCATATGCAGCCTTTGTCAAAAGCATCGGAGTGCCTTCCTCAATCCCAAGTTGCTCGCACATCTCGGGTAGTGGCCGACACCAGAGTTCTTCTCGCATGTCCATTCCTTGCAAAAACGCACCGCTGACATCACCCTTGGCTAACCGAAACTTGCGATACGCACAATATTGTAAAAATAATTGTCGACCTGCTTTCGATGGTGTTGGTGCCGAGGTTTGTCGTGTTGCATATTCGGGATCTTGATAGCCTAAAACGACTGCCCTGGCCTTCGCCTTCTTTCCATCTTCATACTTTGGATCATACTTCCATGTCAGAAGCCAGCGCATTCCCAAAACTTTGGATTCCTCTGGAATATGGTCACCAAGGGATTTGAAACATTGAGAAGCCAAAAAGTTGCGAACTTCAGTTTGTTTTGCTGCATGAAATTGTAGTGCTTCATCCTTTGTCAATGTTTTCTCCCTCACCTCTACCTGCCTTCTTTTCAGTTGGTTGACCATGTAAGCCTCGGGGTTCTGCGTGAACTTCTTGATTCCTCGCTTGCTGCTAGGAAGTTGAAGGTCAATCTCATATGCTTTTCTTGATTCCTCGGTCACAAACAGGGCGGAGTCATGACCATCAGAACGGGGTTCTTTGTTGGGCCTACTGCTACTGCTGGCACCTCCTGATTCCAGATCTTGTTCACTTCGTTTCTTTTCTTGAATAGGAGGCGGTTGACGAAATTTCCCTCTGTATGACTCGGGTTGTGCTGACGCTTTTCGACGAAAACGTACAGTAGGAATATCTCGTTCGGGTTCTTGTCTTTCAGGATCTTGATCAAAAGCCCTATCCCATTCTTCTTGAGAAGGTACTTCTCCACTAATATCCACATAGGTCCTCCTACTTGGGTCAGTTGCTAATGTGGTTATAGTCCATGGAAGTTCGACCGGGCCATGAAGTTCTTCAATTTGTTGTTCATGGGGAGAAGCTTTCCGAAGTTGTTCAGGGGCGCAACGAAGAAGACGCCCTCCCCGATGAACCCACACTACTGACCCTGGACGTAGGATCCCGTCCTCATCCTTTCTTGTCTCAGTAGCAATCACCCGAGCGGGACCTAAAAACTTCCCGGTTTGAAAACTGGTACGATCTCCAGGTTGTAGTTGTTTTCTCCAGTAATAAACAAGATCCCCCGGTACGTAAACTTGAGCCCTTCGATGCCCCATACGTGCAGCTCTCTCCAGTCTCCGCTTGGCCTGTTCCTCTGCAAAGGCCTTCTCCGCTTTGCATCTCATAGTGGCATCTTCTTGAAAACCTCCGTCAGCCAAAACGCTGGGAAGGATAGGTTTGACATCATCACATTCAAACATACGTTGATGTTCATCTGGTGCTCTACCTAACGCATGTTGTAGTGGAGAATATCCCTTATAGATCTCCTGGTTGTTGCAAACCCAAATACTTCTAGCAAAAAGTTCACGAATTTCCATGTCCACAAAGTCAGTAGCCAAAGATTCCATGATACCCTTGACAGTCTTGATCCCTTGTTCCACGGCACTGATCTGCCAATGTGCTTCGGCAGGAATATGGTCAAACAGAATATCATGTTGTGAAAAATAAGATTCCGCTTGTGTGTTCAGCCATGCTCCTGCCGGGTCCACTCGAACTCCACGTGGTTTGCCAAAGATGGGAAGCCAGAGTTCCTCAAAAGCAGTTTTGAGATCGTTCCATGTGGCTGTTTTCCGAGAGTCTTCAAATAAAACCTTGCCAACTTTGAACCTACACCCTGAGTCCACAAATAGTATAAAATATACTTTCTTCTTTGTGACGGGATGTATCCACACTCCAGTATCGATCTCTACAACCTCCCATTTGGCAGCTACTGTGTGTAGTGTTGAAAACCTTCGTGGATCTTGACGTTTTCGTTCTGCACATGTTGGGCATGTCCATGACTTGGCTATTTGTATGACTTTGTTGTTGCTACCTTGCCGCTTAAGAGCCTCCACCAAGCTCCTCATGCTCCCATGTCCTGTGGTGCGATGAATATGCTGAATCTTGGCCTCGATGGTCTTTTTCTCCTCCTCGGTGATCTCCTCACCTTCGTCTTGCGGTTCTTGCGCATCTTCTGCTGCAAAGGTTTCCTCCACATCAGGTTTGGACAACTCTTGAACTACATGTGACCATGCTTCATGTTCTACCAAACTGTCAATGACGCGACGAACGAAGACACTTGTATACCGCGCGGTGTGTGCTGTTTGCCCCGATTCGCACTTCCCCTTTGGGTGATTGTTCTGGCACTTCAAGTTCATGTGACGAAGAAGGTGGGTGTTCTTTGTCGCAATAGTCCATGCTTTGCAGAGTAATTGTGTCTTATCAACAGTCCTCAACCCTACGCAGCACCCATTGCACGACACTTTCCCCAGCCCATGTTTTGTCACAAAGTCATTGACCATAGGTAGCTTCCAAGCTTCGCATCTTGCACTGAGCTCCCAATGGACTTCAGTCCCATATTGCATCGCATACTCAGCCACTTCTATCCCTCCAGCATACTGTAAACGAGCATGATATTGTTTCTCTTCAAGGTTCTTCACTTGTTCAGGTGTACGTTTGTTTATATGTTGAAGAGGACTATATGGACCACACTCGCAACTTATCCAGAGATGAAGAGGCCGATGCTTTCGAATCAACTGCTTTACAAGTTGTCTGCCCTCAGGTGTTTCCAGGTCTCCCCCATTCCAATTGCTAACCCTCATGCTAGAACCCTTTCCAAATCTTTGTTCAACTTCTTCGCTCAAAAGACTGTTGGGGTAACAAGCAAGCTCCATCAAAATGGGACGTCCATGGCGATAGAGTTGGGACCAATTGTCACTGTAGGGATTCCGACATGTTTCCCACCTTTTGGCAAACAGCACTGCAGTTTCATTTGACAAAACCCTCAGCTGCCCTCCTACATCTCCTTCCGGTTCTTGCTGCGGGCTGCCTGGAGTTCCATCTCGGCTTTCTCGTTCTCGAGCTGCTGAATCTTCAGCTGGAGCTCTGCAATCTGGGTCTCTGCATCCGTGGAAACGTGCTTGGTCTTCTGGAAAGACTGAGTCGGAGAAAACTCGTGCTTGCCCTCCGACACTTTCTCGAAACTGCCATCGCTGCCGGCCGCACTGATGTGCGGAATTGCCTTCTTGGACTTGGTGTTCTGGGGATGTGGTTCCTGGTAGTCCTTCTTGGCCTGAGCCTGCATGGCATACACGGCTGCCCTTTTCAGCCTCCAGTGAAACTGATCCGTCTCCTGGTAGGTGTCCACCACCCATTTCATGTAGCTGGGGTGACGATCCATCACTTCCTCCATGGTGAGGCCTCCGAACTTCCCAAAGCCCATCAGCTCCTTGCCCTGGGGCTCGTAGTCCTCGGTGATGGCTTGTTCTCCCTTCGCATAGAGCTGGGCGATGTTGGCATGTTGACTGTAGGGAATCCCCTCCTTTGTCAGGAAGTTCACCAGTCGGCACGGCGGTTCGATGCCTTCTTCAAAGCCTTGATGCGCACCTCCATTTCTCCACTGCTGATTGGTTGGTCTTTCTGCTGGAGTTCTGCCAAGTGGGCTTTCATCTGCATGACGCTCCAGGAGTCGGGCACCAAGGTCCCCTTCTCGGCCAACAGGGATACCCACTGAGCACGCGTCGTTGGTGCCGGCATTGAAGTGAGGCCTGGCAGAGTACTGAGTGTCCTGAGAGTTTGAGCACGTTGATTGCTGCTGTGTGTGCGCAGCATGTATGTTGTTTCTGTGACCCTCACCACAACCATGGTTCTCATGACTCTCATGCTCCTGGCAAAAATGGCAAAATGCCCTTTGTACAGCTTCTAACCCGCATATTGTACAACTTCCAAAATGGTCTGTTGTATCACCCCTAGACAGCTCTTCCCCTAAGCTATCATGGCATGTCTCTACATGTTTGAGGCTCTCTTGACCGGAAAGTTTCTTTCCCTCTCCGTCCATAGCGTCAAAAGAGCGACACCCCTAGTGTTCCCTTAGAGATTCAAAGGGCTGCGATCTATCTTCAGCTCCTACAAGCAAATTCCCGGTCAGAGGCATCAGAAGGTGACCGTTGGCTGCCTCCTTGAGCTTGACCACCTTTTTCTTGTTGATCCGCTTGTAGATGATGGTACCCTCCTCAAAGTCAATGACAGCCCCGAGAGCCTTGAGCGCCTTTCTTGACACTAAGACAGGCTGCATGGGCGAGTCATGGACGTGAACTTCCATTCTCCCACTTTTGCTGCCTGCCTCCATTCCCATGTGGACCGTAGACAGGCATGTTTTCTTTTGGCCATTGCCGAACTTGAAAGTGGGTTTCTGGTTGAGGTCTATCTCCATCTTTGAATCTCCATGTGTAGCCAAATTGGCTTTCATCACCTCCTCCAAGGCGTCAATGGATCCCAATGAGGATGTGGCCCCACTGTCAATGATCCCATAGCATGTTTTCAGGACTTGCTCCCCCTCCACGGCTTCCATGGCTGTCTCTTCGACCACAGAACCGTAGAGGTTGTCGTCCTCCTGAATGCGAGTGACTCCAAAAGCGATCTCGGCCGCCTCCTCACTCACCCTTCCCTCCTTCTCCATCTTCTTTGGGCAGTCGCAAGCGAGATGCGGTCCTCCGCATTTGAAGCACCCTTCTCCCACGGGCTTCTTTGTTGAGCCCCCACTGGGTCCTGGTCTTTGGTATGGTTTCGGAGGAAAGTACCCCCTTCCAAGCTTCAGTTGTTTCTGCTTCCATCGTGCTTCTTTGAGAGTTGTTTTCTGAGTCTGGATGGCAGCCAGAGCTTCATCAACTCGGGATTGTTCAAGCATGTAGGCCTGTTGGTCTTCGTGAGAGAGATCTTGAAGATGATCATCATCATCCACCATCAGAGCCTCCAGCTCCTCATCCTCGCCGCCGACAGCTGTCATTGCTGCCCCGAACTTTGCCCGATCCCGCTTGTTGAGGTCGTCATCGGACCACTGCTCTCGAAGTGCCTTGGCCACGGTCTGCGGAGAGAATTCGCCCCGGATCGCAGCGAGCACATTTGCCCGTTCATGTGTGTCAAGGCCACTCCGATGTAAGAGGAGGAACCCCACTAGGAACTCTGGTAAGAACACTTCAGAAGAGGTGTCCCAGCTTTCTGGTGGTTCGTATTCCTTGGAATGCCAAGATTGGTAACCCCAGTCTGACCACCCGTAGTTGCCATGTCCCTGAGCTCGCCAATCCTGATGTTCCCCTTGCCACCAGCCATAGTTCCCAAAGTTCTCCTCGTCATCGTCAGCCTCGTCCAACCGACCATCATCTCTAAAGGGTCCAGGATCGCCTGACACTGAGCCTGTCTGGCTAGGAACCCCACTCCGAGGGCCATGATCATGCCACCCTTGACTGCTTTCTGCTTTGGTCCTTGGTCCATATTCTTTTTGAACCTTCCTCAGAGACTGTGACGCTTCCCACAAGGCTTCTGAATGCCGTGTGATCCAGCTAGTCATTGTTTCAAACTTCTTTCTCTGTAGGCCATAGAAGTACTTCATGATGAACCGAGAGGCTTCAACTAAGCTTGGTTTTGCCACTACCCCTTCCAGGTGCTCCAAGAGGACAAAGACCCCCCTAGGATGCGACACCCATTGAGGATTCCTCAACGTCATGTTTCTCACGGCAGTTTTTGCTGTTCCCTGAAGTTCTTTCACCAACCTGGGTCCAGCCAGGTATCTTTTCTTGTACTCAAAGGTCATCAGGTACTGAACTGCTTCTTCACGGTAAAGGGTAAGGAGTTCTGGTGACCCATCAAATATGGGAACTCCATCTGATGTTCTCTGAATTGTCCCTGCCATCCTTCGCCTCTGGGCTCAGATGGCACTGCACTTCTTTCTTGTCTTTTCAACCCACCAGCTCACCGCGACAACGCTAAGTGAGCTAGAAAACCAGGCAACCGGCTACCATGTAAAATCGGCACAGCTACCCTTCTTTCCGCTGATCCTAGGGGGGCCTTGTGCCCAGATTCCGATGGAAATGGGTCAATTGATTGGACATGAAATTTGCATATATTATAATGCATGGGTGTATATCCCGGTATATATCATTTTCCGGACAAAACCTTAAGATTTCCCAATGCGAACACGACATGACTTCAACAGAAATTCGGCGTCCTGAGCACTTCCATCAAGGCATCCAAGACTTCCGCAGGGACACCACGGACACCCGTCCCTACGAGCTTTTCGAGGTGGGAGCGGATCTCCAAGATCCTTGGCACAAAACTACGAACTCAGGGAGAACAAACCCAATCAGAACCATACCCTCTGGTAAACTAACATAGCTATGGAAAATCACTATTTTTAATGGGAAAATCCACTATTAATGGCCATTTTCAATAGCTACGTTAAATTACCAGAGGGTATCAGAACCATAGTTTTTGATGCTTTTTGGATGAAACATGATGAAGCACAGATTTCAATTTCTTATCGCCTTCGCGACCTTCAATCGATGAGAGTGCAGATCGTCCTGTTGTGGAACGCAGGGGGTGAAGTTCACGGTTTCGCCATGGCTCAAAACATCCCAAAGCCTACATAGTACATTATAGTACCATGTCCCTGCAGGGTTTTCCTATTGGAATCCCATCCTGATCATCTTGAAAAAACAATACTTCCCAGTAATTAAGTGTATACTCGAACGTAAACACGTCGTCTGAAGCGTCAACTAGCGGATGAAATCGGTGGATTTTGGGGCGTGAGTTTTGACCAAAGATCTCATCAGCAGCTTTCTTGGGCACAAGCACCTTGAGCATGCCGAGCTGCACCAACGCCTGAGTGGCTTCTGTACTCCAAGCTTCTGAAATTGAAGATCGTTGATGGGATTGACGTCAAAACAATGCTGCAGATCGTTGCGTAGATTTTTCAGCGACTCATAGGGGGTCCTTGGCAACCTTTCTAGTACTGTTGGTATACTGTTGTTGGTGGTGACTGATGGTGTGTTACCTAATGTTAGCTATTACACATTTTTAACATGCTAGGGAAGGTCATTGGTTGCTGGATTGAATTATTGATAATTGTTTTCTTTTTCTCAACCGAAGCAAACTAAAGCGAGCTACAACCCCTTTTCACATGTGCCACAACAAGTACTCACAAAACACTATGACCAGGCAGCAATGCATGAAAATGCATAAGCAGGAGAACTCTCAGCGACGCCTTTTGAATGCAATCTTGGATCGCTAAACACACTTCACCTGCAAAACCCTCACGATGTGCAGCTCTTCCTACGTGAAGACACTGCATTGGTTCACTCCACAACACTACTACAACATATGATTTCTATTCAAATGTATGCCTCATGCTTTAGTATACTTTTTGGATCTTTTTGGTACTTGTTCATGTCTGAAATAGGTTGCCTACTCTTCTTGTCCAATCTACTCGATGTAGTCATCGCCGTTTCTCCAACCCTGGTGACATAGCATCTCTGGACCCCGATGCGTGAGCCTCGTCTCTCAAATGGACCGAACACTGCATCTGCTCCTTGGTTTCGGCAACTTTCCACAGGACAACACAGGACACATCTTGTGGATCACAGCAAAACCAGTTTGGAAACTTATCTTGAATCAATGTCCCCTTCAAATGCAGCCTACATTGGGATATCACTTCATGCACTGACGACCTGTTTGAAGGTAAGCGCTGCGACGTTGTGGTCCCATGCTACTGTAGCGACTGATCACGAACAATGAGATACCATGGCATCACTTAAAGGTCCCGTTGCTTGGGAAGATCATGGAAGGTCATGGAAGATTTGGGAATCTCACATCTAATCTCTAGGTTTGTCCGAAAAGTGAGCACCCACAAAATCCATCAAAATCCCATGGTTCATCAGGTTCATCATGCTTCCCGTTTCTGCACTTGAGCAGGGTGTGAATTTCCCAAGTCTCCATCGTCTCCGACAGCAGGTTGGCGAAGAGCAGCAATGTCAAAGGTGCTACGCACGTGATGCAACGCAAGTAGAGCCGTGAAGTCTCTGTCAACTCCTGTAGTGCCATGGCTTTTCGCCATGGCATGCCATTGCCCCTGGAGGCCCTGGTCATCCCACCAAAGCTTTGTGCCATCGTGACGACTAGTGAGACAGGGGGCCATTGTGCGCCCTCAAACATTGTCATGCAGTAAGTGAAAGCTGAAAGCTTCCACACTTCCTCTGACTGATGAAATTCACATAAATTCACTATACGTGTCTTTTTTGCCACAGAATCCTGAATCGATCTGAGTGAACTGCCCAACACCTCTCTCATGAAACTAGACCGCTTAAAATTTCTAGAACCGGTCAACTTGGATGTACTCAAGGCTCATATCTCCTCAACAACCCTCAAAAAACAACCAAACTACCCAAACTATACCGAACTTTTGGCTCCCCACCATCCTGCAACCCTGAAAGGCCTCATAAAGAACAAAGGGAGTTCCAAAGATCTTCTCTTTAGCCGAGATGGAAGAAGGATGAACTTGCACTGGAACCCAGCTCCCTGAGCGCTCGATGTCGGATCTGGTCAATCCCAAGAGTGAACACAACTTAGCCAATTTAGCCCTACTCATTGGGCGGACGCACCATCTTGAAATATCTTGAATTTCAAGAAACATCAAGAAACCAATGAAAGTTGAAGCCCTTGGTTCGCTCCAGCATATCTTTGAAGTCGCCCTCTTCCCATCTAAGTAGAAGCATGCCCTCACCACACCAGCGTTGATCCAAGCCACCCTTGTGATCCACAAAGAGCTCCGACATGACTGGCCCAGTCCCCATGCTCGATGAGAGCGTCTCCTCATGGGAAGCATCGGTCCGCATGTTGAACCCCCCCTGCCGAGTTGACGGTCCTTGGGAATAGCCAGAGCGATCTGCGGAAAGGAAGCCTCCAGCGGAAAAAGCAGGGGATAAGAGGGGCCCGCGAAAGGATGAGTTTCAATGCATGCGGCCGAAGGAAGATCCCTTCGCTCCAAAAGAAAAATCCAAATATCTAGAAAAACAAAATCTTGTCTGCCAGCGAGTACTGACTATAGTGCTTCTCATTGATGAGTGGCGTAACCAGGGCTGGGAACAGGTTCTTCTGCACAAAGCCACAAAGCAGTAAATGCTGGTTAGTCAGTGCTTCGTGACATAAATTTGCCAGGTTTTGTGCTGGAATGCTCATCTTTCTCGCTGTAGCTAGTTTAAGGCGATACATGACCAACTGGGTTGGTAAGGCTCTTTAAGCTGAGCTGTACTGGTATCTTTCGTCACTCACCAAATGTGTTTAAATGATAATCCATATAAAATCCTTTGGTATTCCGTCATACCTATCTTATGCCAAGTTCCCATCAAGTTCTAATGGGTTCGCCATTGCCCGTCACCAAGAAGCAGCCGCCAGCAGCCCCACAAGAAGTGGTGCCAACTCTCCATTTGCACCCCCAAGTGCCACAGGCCTCTTCCGTCGACTCGGAGAAAACTGCTTAGTTCTTGGAATTTGAATTTGCCAGCTTGTCAATTAAGTAATTACTGTAGATAATTGTAGATATCTGTAGATGCACTATACATATATACATTACACTAGATGTCACTATATTAATCTATACATTGTGCATTGAAGGATTGCAGAGCGACGAGGATGTGAAAAATCTTTCAGCAACCATATCCTACGTGAAGGGCTCACTTTGGGCATAAATATAAGAGGGTCCGTTTGAACATGTCTGGGATCACTTGGGCATAAAATCGGATTACTTGGTTCATAAATGGGATCACTTTGAGATACTTTGAGCATAAATGGGATCACTTCGGGTATGAATGGATATAAATGGAATCATGTTTGGCACAAATTGGATCCTGTGAAGTTTCTTTAGAGTTTCTTTGAGGCTTCTTTAATCTTCTTTAGGGTTTCTTTAGGGTTTGGTTGAGGTTTCTTTAGGATTTCTTTCGGGTTTCTTTAGTCATGTTACAACGAGTTTAAACACGTATAGATCAGTACAGGCATCAGCAAAACACGTAATAAAATGGTGCTGCAAGGCAAGACCCCATCCAAGCAACATCATATTCGCACGACCCAGGCAGCCCATGGCAAACACCTTCCCGCCTTTTGGGCGGGACCAAATCAACACCCAATTTTTGCAACACGACAACCTTTTAATGCATAGCTGGCATAGCTGAATGAACAAACACTAACACACATCTGCGATATCCAGTATTTCCGTCTGGATGCGCAAAACATGGCCGAGGAAAAACCTTGCCAGAGAGAAGTAGAAACACGTTGCGACTTTCACTTGCGCTTGGGCGCCTGTGGTTCACATTCCAATCTATCATGAGTATTCATGACTCATCACCATGCCATGAGTTTCTGCATCTTCCACCTAGAATTTCAACTGTGAAAACCCTGCAGCTGGCCTTGATCGGTGATTTTCATTGAGCAAGTCCAAGAGCTGAAGTCCTGAGTGCGTTTTGTCAAAATTGAAAAGGCTAATGATAGTACATAATCACAATTATTTATATATAATATAATGATAATTTCATTCTTTTGTTAATATTAAGAAATCAGCAGTATAGAACAAATCATCATCTGTTTATTTGATTATGATACTGATAGTCCTATCATTTGAAAACTGATAGGGCGTGATGGGACAATTCTGATGATAAATGATACCGCCAAGACCACAACGTGCCAAGAAAAGTGGCGACCAGATCCAGCGAAATTCTGGGGCATCTGTTTGTTGTTTGGGGTCAATCAGGTCAATCATTCAGTCTTCTTTTCATGAGGTCACCTCTCCATTGACCGTTAAGCCATCACTAGGGCAAGCTGGGGCCCGCAATGAATTGTCCTTGTCCTTTCACTACGAGATATGAAACAGTCAAAGTCTATTTTACTATCAAACCTCTCCGTCGGTTTCCCATTCTTTTGAGATCCAACCCAGCTTGGTTTCCAGCTGGAGTGGTCTCACAAGATATGCCAAGACGCGTGCCTCCTCGATCTCCTGACCATGTGAAGTGACGGAGTGCCGATGGATCTAATGTTTTATTTTCCAACGGATAATTTTGACTCTAGTATGACCATATGTGGAGGTTTCTTAAAGCGGTGGTACTCCAAATCATCCAAAATTAGATCATTTTAGTATTGAAACCCATGATTTTGGGGATATCCTATTTTAAGAAACCCGCATATGACCACTTCAACATGACTGTTGGCAAGGCATCATGGATAATTCAATTGCCAGATTCCACTGTAGACTATAGCCATGCTTTGAACTTGGCGATGGAGGCACTGCACAACTAAAATACATGGCCCTATAACATCTGTTTGGTTCAATACCCGGGTGCAACACTAGGCGGACAGGCGGGCCACTACCCCACCCCTGCAGTTAAGGGGATGAACTAGGGTGTGGTCCGTAAAGCACTCACATAACATCTGTTTGATATCTATAGGCTCAAGGATCTCAAACACTCCAACGAATCAGGCGACGCGCCATGTCACAGCATGATATGGTAGCATATACTGAGATTCACTAACATCTAACTGAGTACATATTGCTATTTCACACATGGGTTTGGGGTTGGAGGGATAGACATGGGGCTTGATATGCCCGATATAACATGATATATCCATAATACATGCAGAACCTTGTACATATAACCAATGGATATTACCGATGATTATCAATAATGGATATTACCAGTATTGAACCTTACAATGGATATTGTGTATATTAGTGGATATACCATATTACCAGTACTTCAATAGTGGGTATTACTCGTGGATACAACTGGAACGACTGGTGGTTATTTCCACTTCTCCCTTCATTGTATTATATATCAGTAATAACACTAGTAATACTATTGGATAACATTAGAAATGCCCACTAGTGGATACAATTGCTCTGGGAATTCAACATAGCTAGTGAAAATGGCCCATTTATAGTTGATTTGCCTTTTAAAAATGGTGATTGTCTAATTTTTCCCCAAGCAGTGTGTCCACACTGAGGGGTTCTTACGGTAGTTGTAAAGGCCGGTGCTTGGTCAGGGTGTTTCTCCTGAAAATTTCCGCTTAAAGTGGCTTTTGTCAAATCTTGACATGCGTTTCGACTGTGCAGGCTCGCACAAAGTGGGTGTCCGCATTCTTTTGCGCGGCATTTTTCCGTTAAATTCATGTATAAAGTGGCTCTTGTGAAATCTTGACATGCGTTTCGACTGCGCAGGCTCGCACAAAGTGTGGTCCTAGGTCCTGGGCCGATCATGATCATCCTCACCCTCACCCTCATCATCACCATCACCATCATCATCTCATCATCACCATCACCATCAACATCATCATCATCATCCTCCTCCTCCTCCTCGTCGTCGTCGTCGTCGTCGTCATCCTCGTCATCACCATCATGATCATCATGATCATCATGATCAAAATGATCATCATGATCATCATTATCATGATCATGATCATACATTATCCTCCCACTCCCCCACACTGTTTGGGGTCTCTCTTGCAGGGAAAATTTGTAAAAAATCCTTGAAATTCTTTAAAATTCATCGAATTTCCTTAAAATTCTTCAAACATCCTTAAAATTCTTTAAGAATCATTGAAATTCCTCGAAATTCCTTCAAATTCCTTGAAATTCCTTAAGATTCCTTAAAATTCCTTGAAATGCTAAAATTCCTTGAATTCCTTAAGATTCCTTAAAATTCCTTGAAATGCTAAAATTCCTTAAGATTCCTTAAAATTCCTTGAAATGCTAAAATTCCTTGAAATTCCTTAAGATTCCTTAAAATTCCTTGAAATGCTAAAATTCCTTGAAATTCCTTAAGATTCCTTTAAACTCCTTTACCAGAGGCTGGTGGTCCCAGCTTCCCCCTTTCGTTTCACGACTGACTTGTCTCCTCCAACGCTGAGCTGCGCAAGTGCCACGCAGCGGCGCCACGGCGCCTGTCGTCCTTGGCCAAGGCATGCCATTCGCCAAAGACACGCAGGACGTCAAGAAGGTCGGAACAACCTGGGATGGTCGGAACAAGGTGGGTATCCGGGTATCAAAATTGGGACCCAGAAATATCCCTTCAAACCCCGGTTTCAAAGATTTTATACTCGTTATATATCATTCTATTGTGGGTAAGAAAATGTCACGAACCACCCATGACATCCCATGCTTGGGGATGGTTGATACAACCTATAAAAATATTATAAAAATGGTGATGACTGGGGGATGGTTTACTATTGATTTACTCACATGATCAAAATTGGGAATTGGTTTATACATGTAGAAAAATGTTGATAGACAAATGATGTTAATAGTAAAAAAACAATCCGTAAAAGTGCTCCGTGAGCTTGTCGCATGCCTGGATGGTGGCAGCAGTGGTTCGTGCCGTACACTCGTAGCTGGCATCCATTTACATACATACATACATACATACATACATACATACATACATACATACCTACCTACCTACCTACCTACATACATACATACACACATACATACATACATACATACATGCATGCATGCATGCATACATACATACATTAATTACATATATATATATATTCCAGACCGCAGGCCCACAACCCCAAAAAGGCAAGCTTAGTGAATTTCCAGCTTTTGGGGTGTGGTTTGGCGAGCTGTGAGGTAGATTGTAGGGATTTTTCCTCAAGGAGTTTCAACTATCCACAGAAACTATCGGAACTATCAGTAGACAGTAGAACATTTCGACTGAGGGTTCCCCCTGTGCCTGAGGCGGGTGTTTGCTGTCTGGCAACAAGGATTTCGTACATAAAATCGAACACACGACATACACGTCTAGTATACGTGCATGTAAAATTGCAAATTACATATTCATTAACAATATAAAACATGTACACATCAATATATATATATATATATAAAGACACCGACAGCACATATTATTGATACATTTTATAAGTATGGCCATATATCTCAAATATGCCCAACAAGATCTATATCATGTATGGTTATCCGAAAAAAAAAGGTAGAATGCCATTAAAATGGTGGTAAATCACTTTATCATCTTTTCGGGGTACTATCAGATTGTGTGTGTATATATATATGGTGTACACATATCAATACAAAAAGTAAAACGCATGCAACATATTATCTAAAACATAATTGTGTTCCGCAAATTGTTTTCCAAGGCCAGGCTCTTGTCTGTACTCTTTGGCTATGCTGTGCTGAAGCGAGGCATGGCACTTAAGCCAAAACCTCCGCCTCAAGTTGGGATGGGAAAAGACCCAGGGTGGGTGACTTGAGCGGATATCCCGCGGCCACTCCAACATGTGCTACACAATCCCCTGTCAACAGTTACATGTTCCGCAAATTGTTTTCCAAGGCCAGGCTCTTGTCTGTACTCTTTGGCTATGCTGTGCTGAAGCGAGGCATGGCACTTAAGCCAAAACCTCCAAATACAGTAGCACAGCCCAAAGCCTGCCCTACGTGTTTCTGGCCTAAGGCCCTTGGATAATTTCCCAAATTTTAGCAGAACATCTTCGCATGCAAGAATGGTGAAATGCAGTTGCAAGCCTACGACACAATCCTAAGGGATACGGCTGAGCTGCCAGAGTCCTGAACTGGCCATTCACGATGCCCTCCAGATGCTGGTGCCGCAGGCCCGTGCGAGAGCAAATGCCAGGCGCAGCTGCACAGCGGCGAACAGCATACCTGAGATCAAGGCCAAATGACAAAAGACCCGTTCTCTTTCTCCAAGGGGTTCCATCTTGACAAAAATCTGTGGCAAAGTATTCAGTCTGAGAATGATGTAAAAGATGTCGAATAGGAGGAGCTAACCATAATCTCGATGTGTGAGGGTTTTCGAGCACAACCGGGATGTTGAGAGACATGCACATGCGAAATATCTTGGCTGAAAATCTCATCAATGCGTTCCCCAGTTCCACTTTTCGTTGATCTGACCCAGAAAGATTGGGTAATCCCAGCAACCCTGCAGCATCATCTCGCAATGGTCCCGGGCCCCTGCCATCCCATCTACGGGCACGGCTCCAACTATTGCAAGGAGTTCCCATCCAAACATACTTGACTGCTTTTGACTGAAGAAGCTGAAAAATCTCTTGTTGAATGCGACGAGAACTAAGATCAAATTGAGGACCATGTGCAATGTCAACTTCCACACAAAAAAGGTGTAACATCTTTTTTCTGATCGCTCTTGAAAAACGTCCACAGCCGCTAAAAAGTTCCAGCCCTATGCCCTTGAAGAAGCGCCTGCACGACTTCCATGTCCTAAAATCTTTGACATCCATGACTCCGCGGCCATGGCGTCGGCCTTCTGTTGGTCTGACAACTCCGCAAACACCTGGGAGATTCGACCGCCGTTGCTGTATCGGCGGACTGACTTCTGTGCTTGCCACCTTCCTCGTTTCTGCACCTCTGTGAAGCTCCCCAATCCGTCTAACATGTCCGTAGACGCAGACCCGTGACGGAGCTGATACGAGCAATTGATGCCCACTCTGTCGTACCCCTCTTCCATGATCACTTCGTTGAAAGCTGTTGTGGCCCTCTTTGGATCCATGTTGAAGATCCTGTCGTGGGGCTCGAGGTGCTTGACAAAGTCGGCCATGATCTTGCCCAGCCCTTGAACGTAAGGTTGGTCGAGCAAGATGGCCTCGTCCAACTCTCCGACTTTCGAAGGCAGCACCTGCTGAGGAGCATCCACTTGGTCTGCCTTGCGCTTGCGGCCCACCCCGATTCCAGGTCGCTCCACTCCTGGGTTCAAAATCACCACCCAAAAGCGGCTCATCTTGGACGGAGGGACCAAATGGCGCTTCTTCAGCTTGAAGATCTCCCCCGGGCGGGAGCAGGTTGCCCACACCATCAACATCCACAATGCGGCCTCCCTGAACTCGCTCCATAGCCTCTGCACCACTCGACACACCATCGGCCACGGCATGGGCACTCTCCCCTGAGCTGGCTCGAGCTTTCTGAAGCCCTTCATCGCCTCGACACTCCTTGGCAACAGGCTGACTTTTGTCACATCTTCTCGGAAGTACTTGACTGCAGCTTGAAGAGTGGCTCCATCTGCTTGGTCTGCTCCCTCGAAGAACATCTGGTTCAGCTTGTTGGTCAAGGCAATGTCGAGGTCTGCCAGGCTTTCGATGGGGAGTGCCACACGACGAGCCCATGCTGTGAATTCGTCCCAAGCCTTTTTGTAGCTCTTCCAACGAGGCAGCGTCACCGTGCGGCACTCTAGGAAACTCTTCTGACCGGCTCCCACCATCGGCGGCGCTTCTCCATGAAGCTGTCGGCGATGCTCTGCTCTGATCGCTCTGGCTTCTTGTCTCTTCAACACCTCTCGGTTCTCCCTCAGAGTCAGCGGGTGCTTGGCAGCCGACTTGGGGGCTGCACCGAGATGACAACTCCTGGTCATAGTGCTGGAGCGCCGATCGCCTCCAGCTGGCACCTCTGCCCGAGAGGCTCTTGGCAGCATGGGTATCGCGAAGCTTCTGAACTCCGCTCAAAAGCGAAAAAGATTCCAAGGTTTGGGCCCTCGAAGGAAAATCTGCAGGATTGAGCTCTGATGGAAACCACCTATAATTGAATTGCATACCACTCATCAACTCAATAGCAGCCATCTGACGACAAACCCGATTAAGTGACCTGGTAGAAGATCTCCCCTTGGTAAGTGACAATGTTACAGACATAGAATCAGTCAATACCAAATGCCGTCGCCCCAAATTCTTCTGAGACCTGGCCAGATGTTGTCCCAACCATACCACACTGCGACCTTCCAATGTAGGAATACCTTCTACCCTGTCCCACTTGGCTGAGTCCACCTTTATCCAGTCTTCACCAATAAACCCTAATGGAACTTCCCGCACTTGATCCGAGTTGCCAATGCCACCCAGCTCTTCGGCCGGCAGCGCCAGTGATTCAGGATCCAGCTGCTGCGCTGCCGTCAATGACTCGGCCTCGCACACGGCCTTCTCCTCTTCCGCAGAAAACCTCCAGCGATCACAATAAGCTGCCACATTGCGAATGTCACTCTCATCCCTATGTGTGCTGGTGACTCCACGACCCCAAAAAGAAGCGTCTGTTGCATGGACTGTCTCAGACCAGACTACACTGAGGTCCCGCCGAACGAGACAGATCAATGAACAAGCCCAAAAAAATTCTCTGTGAACTTCTGGCCAAATAGTCACTGTTTGATTGTAATGTTTGCGCACGAAAACGTAGCTAGCTTGAAAAACAGAAAGGAAACCTCTTTGAAGCAAACCCGCAAATGTATAGTGCCCAATCAAACGTTCCAGAAGCCTTCCATCACACCGTCCTACCCTGAGCAACTCTTGAGTGGCCAGTCGCAACTTCCACAATCTTTTTGGGGTAACCTGCACCATTGGATGATCTTTACTAAATTTCCACCCCAAAGTTTCCAACCCAGTTCCTGCCTCCACTTCATGAGTCGGCAGACCCCGTTCGCGCAGAGCCTGACCAATGCGGTCAGCGAGATCATAAGCGAGCCCTTTTCTCTGAGTCAAAACCACAAAGTTGTCCACATACTCTGTATGGAGATAGGACTTGAGTTTGGGGACCTCTCTTTTGTCGACCACCCGCAGCTGGCTATCCACGTGAGGGTTACAGTTGACTACAGCCTCATGAGCATATTGGCAAACCCAAAGAGCATGCGACCATCCCATAGGCACCACTTTCAAAACTGGGAAGACCACGGTACTAGGCTTCACTTGCTGGCCTTCGCAGACTGTCACCCCCACATCTCGCGCCAGGATGCCCGGCAGTGCAAACAGCTTTCTAAGACCTGCAGGAAGGGAAATGTTGTAGAAGGCATCGGCAATGTCCACACCGCCTACCTCCACAGGCGGCCCATTATCCACTTCCAGTCTAGCAAAAGTGCTGCCTGTAGCCAATCGCACCTTCTCAGGCTTCTCAAAGTGCAAATTGGCCAGCCTGGCATCAATCACAAGCCGCTGCCGCCCACTCTTCTTGGCGACGGCAAGGGCTCCTACTCTTTCCACATAGCTGCGGTGGTATTCCACCACTCCGGCACTTTCAAGCCGCTTGCAAAACTGCGCATACACCCGCCCACTGTTTTTCAGGATCGGGTCCATGTATGGTGCCGCCAGTCCGGCAGCCTCCATCCTTTCTCTCACCACCCCATCAGCCGACCTTTTGTTGAAAAGCCGATGGACAAAACTCTCCGCCTCCTCCTGCAAGATGGTCTCCAGCGAGGCCGCTTCTGAGCCCGCCGCAGGCAGAGACAACTTCTCAACATCCAAAGGCACCAAGTTCACGGGTTCTCCCGTGTACCCAGTTCTGGTCCGAAGCTCTTGCAAGGCCTCCTGACCGGTGATGTCATCGGGAGGTTTCCCTACATCCAAAACTGCATCCCTCAGCCTTTGAAGACAAAGGGCTTGACTCAAAGTGAAGCGACCATCCCCAACAAAACTGCCTTGATCTCCAGACCCACGGAACATGGCATTGAGGGACACCACGATGTCCTTCACCCACAAATCAACATGGGCCCGGGCAAGCAGCCTCCGGTGCACTCTTCGGCAACAACCATCGGCCACATCTCCAGGGACGTCCACTGCCGGCACGGGAAAAGGGAAAAGCCCACGATGCCGTTCACCCCCAGTCATCTTGCACCAAATTTCAAAGGTGAGGCCACAGACCTCGAAGAGGGCAACGTCCAGTACAGTGCCCACCACCAACAGCTGAGGCTACTTCGATGCTGCGGCCCTCTCTTCACGGGCCTTTCGAACCTGCTTCATGACCGAAGCCTCTCCTTCCACTTCCTTGGCGACGTACTCCAGCAGGTTGGGCGCCACCATAGTGTCTCCATATTCTTTATGCGCCCCAGCGAAGATGGTGGCTTCATACTGTTGGACTGCAGAAAACCCATCGGCCTTCTTGTCCCCCTTGGGTGCTCCTTTGCCTCCACCAGGGCCACGCTCCGAGTAGGCGTACTCAATCAGCTGGAGCCGCCTGAAAGCCACCTCCGCACCAGCCAAGTTCGCCAGGTCCAATCCATCGAACCTTCCAAGCTTGTCCACCACCTTCATCAAGGTATCATGTTCAACAACTCCCCACGAGTCAGCCTTGAGAGAGTGATTTTGGACCCACCATCTGTGGTGATCTGATGGGCCCCCATTCCTTCTGTTCAAGAACCTGACGCACCAGGGCCCGGCACTGACCAATCTGCAAAGGTCTCCTCCACAACCTCCTTGGACACATCACGCCACTGCCTCTCCGAGCGGTTGAGGCCCTGGAAGCTCATGCCCAAGAGACGGGCATCAGCCGAGGCTTCACGCCCCTTGTACTCCTGCAAGTCGGCTTTCTTGATCTTCCGGATGGCAAAGGCACGGCCGTTGCTGACCTTCAGACCAACCTCGCCCTGGAGAGTCTCTGAACCGTCCAAGGTGACTACAGCTCCACGTTGATGTTCTGCCTCGCTCTCAATTCGGACCCAGACTTCTTCTTCCCCAGGTGGGACCACCGGGGCTGCTACTGGGGCCGGAGCTGCAGCAACAGCCACAGGTCCTGGCATCACAGCACCGGCTGGAGCCCCTGGAGGGAGAGCCAAAGCCGCCGCTGCATGCGCGGCGTCTCTTCTAAACTGAGCCATCTCATCGTCCCCAGGCATCCCTCGGAACTGGTACGTGTTCGCCCCAGTCAATCCATGTGGCAGCCCTTGATCACCAGCTATTCTGAACCCCAGCAAATCACTGTTTTCCAAAGAAATCTGCTCCGGAAACATGTCGAAGTCAGGGGTCAACACAATGTGATAACCGCGACCACAAGGACAGGAGGCTAAAACATATCGCTCATGGTATAGCACTGGAGGCGGCACATCATAGGCCAAGAAGACTCTGGAACCCTCTGCCAACGCCATTTTCAAGACCTTCCAGACCTACGAGACCTCACCAGCTCCAATTGCTGAAGCGCTCGATCTCTCACAAACGCTGGCTCTGAGCGCTGCTCTGAGTCCAAGGCAAACCTTGACCCTATCTCAACCCCCAGGTGTTCCTTTTTGGTAGGGGGTTCTTGATTCCCTTGAAGGATCCCGGCCCAGACTTTCAGCAACCCTTGTCCTATGAGCTGCACTGCTCTTCCCAGCAAACCACAACCACTGATCACACCGAAGGTCACAAAAACCAATGCCTTCACAAGCTCCCCAAACCAAGAAGCTGTTGCAGGACAAATGGCCTGCTCCACCTCGCAAGTGCAGTTGCAGTGGCAGCTGCTTCCCAGCGGCTCAGGACGGGGCTGCTCACCACCAAGCGCCGTGAGCCAGGCCACCACGAGTGCCGCCCAACCCCAGGCGTCTACCATTGGCCCCCGTTTTTGACTTGAGCGGATATCCCGCGGCCACTCCAACATGTGCTACATATATATATTCCAGACCGCAGGCCCACAACCCCAAAAAGGCAAGCTTAGTGAATTTCCAGCTTTTGGGGTGTGGTTTGGCGAGCTGTGAGGTAGATTGTAGGGATTTTTCCTCAAGGAGTTTCAACTATCCACAGAAACTATCGGAACTATCACTAGACAGTAGAACATTTCGACTGAGGGTTCCCCCTGTGCCTGAGGCGGGTGTTTGCTGTCTGGCAACAAGGATTTCGTACATAAAATCGAACACACGACATACACGTCTAGTATACGTGCATGTAAAATTGCAAATTACATATTCATTAACAATATAAAACATGTACACATCAATATATATATAATAAAGACACCGACAGCACATATTATTGATACATTTTATAAGTATGGCCATATATCTCAAATATGCCCAACAAGATCTATATCATGTATGGTTATCCGAAAAAAAAAAGGTAGAATGCCATTAAAATGGTGGTAAATCACTTTATCATCTTTTCGGGGTACTATCAGATTGTGTGTGTATATATATATGGTGTACACATATCAATACAAAAAGTAAAACGCATGCAACATATTATCTAAAACATAATTGTGTATATCGAGTATCAAACAAGCATGTTTATCAATCATATTTCATATCTATGTAGTCCGATATGTACATATGATATAACCTATCATATGTATATATGTATATATATAATTATATATCATGCTATGTAAAAAAAATGAATATATATATATATATGCCATTGTCAAAACATGGTAAATGGTTTATGGCCATCCAAGCATCATGAGGGATTCCTCATAATGGGTATTTCTCAATCTCTATGAAAATGGATTGATGAGATTCCCATTCTCCAATCTGGGTATCTGATCCAACTTTGAACTATGGCATGTATACATATATAAAAGATATAACATTGATATATCAGATGATACACACACACATATAAATATATAAGATGTAAAAATAACATATGAATATACGGTATATATATATATATGTGTGTGCGCTAAATTTCTGATTTGATGATATTCGGTATATCATAAACACCATAGATATTACAGGTCAACTTAGATGTGGAAATCAATGAACATTAACCACTTAGACATCATGTCTGGGAAGCCATAGCCTTTCCACATCACCAGTGCCAAGATGCCAAGGCCTCCTGAGACCTCCTCGGCAATCTGGCGATGCACTCGCCGTGCCTCAAAGCGGGAGCCGCTTCTACCATTTCCATCGAAACTGCTGCTGCAAGCGCCTTGGTGGCACAGGGGTCCGGGAAAATGGTGAACCAACAAATGGGGCTTTAATTGGGGTTGAAGGGGGGTGAAGGGCATTTACAGTAATAGGATTTTTCATGGCATTAATTTAAGGGATTTTAATCGATTCAGAGGATTTCTCCGGAATTCAGCCTCTGATATCGTCTGGTAATTTAAGATAACTATGGGCAACAACAATTCTAATTATCATGTATAAATGGGCAATCAGTGGCAACATGATATTTGAATATATGTATAATATATATATATGTAACGTATAAATGTTGGATATCACAATAAGGATAGTATATATATATATATGTGTGTGTATAGTCTATCATAGAACTATGATGATACAATAGGATGGATGGACAATGGGATGACGGGAATGGGGCAATTTGAGCAATAAAATGTAAGAATTGAAATACACTTGGAAATAGCTGAGAGATAGTTGAAGTTTAAATGGACATAATTGGAGTATCATGTCAATGAAAGTCAGGTGAGGGTAGCAGGGGAGACTGGGCACACTCCCACTGGCCTGACAAACAGATTCTACAATGATTGACAGAGATTTGGTACCAGAAAACATATATACATATATAATCAGTAGATTAAAACAGTGAATAAATAAATGAATAAATCATAAATATGTATATATATATATACACACTTACACACGTATATTTGTATATGCATGCACACACTCACACACACATGTGCATATACGTAATTATGTAATTATGCATGTATCTAAGTTTGAAGCGCGAAACACACGCCCCATATTAACATGAAGGGACTGCAACTTTGCAAATGCGTGCATCGCGCGGCCTCAGACATGGTCAGGTCCAAGATGCCGACACCGAAGAAGGGCCAACTCGCAGCATTCAACGCGGCAGCAGCGCATGCTGCCACCTGGACAGAGTTGGAAGTAGTTGGAGACCCCACAGAGATCATGCTTTTAGGTTGATTAGATTCTTTTTTTCCAGGAAATCGTTTCTGTTAATGTCTTTTGCGATTTATTTGAAAGGGTCTGGTATGACTTTAGCAAAAACAATCTTAACAGTTTCCAATGCGTAGACTTTGCTGTCATCTCCAGCCAATGGCTTTTTCATGTCGCATCCTATATCACCATCCGCGGCGGAGAAGAAACTTTCCATATATGGTTCACAACCCAGCAGTCATCATTTTTGCGACAATGTCTCATGCTCGAGTCTCGAATTAGCTGGTGATGTTGAACCAGCAATCTGTGAGCGCCGGACGTTTGAGAGTTTGCGAGCCACCCGCCGTGTTCAAAGTTTGGCAGGTGCTTCGTGGCATTATAGATTCATTGCTAATTTTCCTCTTACTTGGCAATGGCAAAGGTGCTGTGAATCCATCAGTTGCAAGCATTGAAGTTATTGTTATTGGAAGCTCCTCACTCTTGAAACAGAATCCGTGACACTCATGAAACATAAATATCAAGAAATCAACTAGTTATTCCTTATGAACAATGTTTTGTGGCTATTAATTATGCTTTTGTCAAAGGGTGGCTGTCCCCAAATCTTTCTTGATCGCGCCTTGGCATGTATCATGCTGCTTGAAAGTTCAGATTTTCCCGCTGCAAGTACCCGGAAAAGGGCCCAACCTTTTCCAAGAATGCTGACCATGAAAGAACCTCATGATTCATTGTTGTACGGGTGTCTGTTCGGAGCTCGAAAACATAGGTCTCTCTACCGGTTACAACAGCAACTTCTATTTATAAGTTCTTTTCAAGATCCCATTTCCAGAAATATGCAATGCAGTCCAGAAACTCTTTGGTTCTGGGAATGCAGAAAAAACGATGAACACGTATTATTTAACTTATTTCTCTCATACATTGATCATTGACATGTATCATTTGCCACGGCAACTGATAGACACTCTTGCATTCATTTTGGCTTGACAACAGTATTCAATGCAGCCCAAAGAACCCCTGTAACATGAACAACTTGGAGGTAGAAGGGCTAGAGGACAGAGCCAACTCTCTGCCATCCTTGCGCATTCAAAGCAAATCGTACTCGCCCTTGGCACACTGTATCTACCAATCCTGGGCGTCCTCGGAAGGGATCTTAGATAAAGTGATAAATTCGGAACGAATTGTGACAGTCATGCAGTGCCTTCAGCCATAGCTTCTTTCAGCTTCTTTCCATACCAAGCCTAAATCAAGGCACAGTACAACTTCAATAGGGTCTGCAAACAAATCAACTTCCGCATGATTGGAGCATCACCTCTCTACGGTTCTATAGTGCCATTGTGCATATATGAAGATAGAGACAATGCCAATTATTTTTCCATACCTTTTCTGTAATGATGGGTCTATCTGCATAACGAGAAGGACATATTCAAACTGGCCCTATTCCCTGGGTCAATTCCTTTAATCCATCCCCATGGTTGAATTTCAGCTGCCATCGCTTCTCACATACCGGGCTTAACATGGCTTCATTGGGCTTGCAGAGACAAGTAAACCGCTTCCTTCAATAGCACCCAAGTTGTCGAAAAGAAATAGCCGCTATTTTCGAAAATATCGTTAACAATCGTTAACATCCAAGTGTCAAGCACCATCCACTGTGATGAAGTGTCGATGCGGAGTCCATCTTTATTGCAAGCTTGCAAAACTCAGAATTGGGGGATCAGATAAATGTAGAAGGATATAAGGAGAGGATTGACAGCAACGAGTAGGTACATGCACAGCAATGAACAGGTACATGATATCTACTAGTATGAATTGTGAAGTTGCACTAAAACCATCACAAAACCTCAGCCATCAGCCCCTGGGTGAACCTGGATGTCTGATGAAAAGCGCTCCACTTACACATCTTAGACATGAAAAGCGCAAGCTCATACACTTCATATACACTTCATATACACTTCAAATACACTTCAAATACACTTCATATACACTTCATATACAATTCAGATGCACTTCATATACACTTCAAATACACTTCATACACACTTCAAACACACTTCATATACAATTCATATACACTTCATACACACTTCAAAAACACTTCATATAGACTTCATATACACTTCAGATACACTTCAAATACGCTTCATATACACTTCATATACAATTCAAATACGCTTCAAATACACTTCAGATACACTTCAGATACACTTCATATACAATTCAGAGACACTTCATATACACTTCAAATACACTTCATATACACTTCAAATACACTTCATACACACTTCATATACTCTTCATATACACTTCAAACACACTTCATATACACTTCATATACACTTCAAATACGCTCCAGATACACTTCATATACACTTCATATACACTTCATATACACTTCATATACACTTCAAATACGCTTCAGATACACTTCAAATACACTTCATATACACTTCATAAACACTTCATATGCACTTCATATGCACTTCAAATACGCTTCAAATACGCTTCAAATACACTTCAGATACACTTCAGATACACTTCATATACATTGCACATACACTTCATATACACTTCAAATACACTTCATATACACTTCAAATGCACTTCATATACACTTCAAATGCACTTCATACACACTTCATATACACTTCATATACACTTCAAATACGCTCCAGATACACTTCATGTATACTTCATATACACTTCATACACACTTCAGATACACTTCATATATTCTTCATATACAATTCATATACACTTCATACACACTTCAAAAACACTTCATATGCACTTCATATACACTTCAAATACGCTTCAAACACGCTTGAAATACGATTGAAATACGATTGAAATACACTTCATATACACTTCAAATACACTTCATATACACTTCATATACACTTCAGATACACTTCAGATACACTTCATATACAATTCATATACACTTCAAATACGCTTCAAATACGCTTCAGATACACTTCATATACACTTCATATACACTTCATATACACTTCATATACACTTCAAATACACTTCATATACACTTCATATACACTTCATGTACACTTCATGTACACTTCATGTACACTTCATATACAATTCATATGCACTTCAAATACGCTTCATATACAATTCATATACACTTCATACACACTTCAAAAACACTTCATATAGACTTCATATACACTTCAGATACACTTCATTTACACTTCATATACACTTCATATACACTGCATCTACAATTCATATACACTTCAAATACGCTTCAGATACACTTCAGATACACTTCATATACACTTCAGATACACTTCATACACTTCATATGCACTTCATATACACTTCATATACACTTCAAATACACTTCAGATACACTTCAGATACACTTCATATGCACTTCATATGCACTTCAAATACACTTCATATGCACTTCATATACACTTCATATACACTTCATATACACTTCATATGCACTTCAAATACGCTTCAAATACGCTTCAGATACACTTCATATACACTTCATATACACTTCATATACACTTCATATACACTTCATATACAATTCATATGCACTTCAAATACGCTTCATATACAATTCATATACAATTCAAATACGCTTCAAATACACTTCAGATACACTTCAGATACGCTTCATATACACTTCAAATACACTTCATACACACTTCATATACACTTCATATACACTTCAAACACACTTCATATACACTTCATATACACTTCAAATACGCTCCAGATACACTTCATATACACTTCATATACACTTCATATACACTTCATATACACTTCAAATACGCTTCTGATACACTTCAAATACACTTCATATACACTTCATATACACTTCATATACACTTCATATGCACTTCATATACAATTCATATGCACTTCAAATACGCTTCATATACAATTCATATACAATTCAAATACGCTTCAAATACACTTCAGATACACTTCAGATACGCTTCATATACACTTCAAATACACTTCATACACACTTCATATACACTTCATATACACTTCAAACACACTTCATATACACTTCATATACACTTCAAATACGCTCCAGATACACTTCATATACACTTCATATACACTTCATATACACTTCATATACACTTCAAATACGCTTCTGATACACTTCAAATACACTTCATATACACTTCATATACACTTCATATACACTTCATATGCACTTCATATACAATTCATATGCACTTCAAATACGCTTCATATACAATTCATATACAATTCAAATACGCTTCAAATACACTTCAGATACACTTCAGATACGCTTCATATACACTTCAAATACACTTCATACACACTTCATATACACTTCATACACACTTCATATACACTTCACATACACTTCATATACACTTCAAATACGCTCCAGATACACTTCATATACACTTCAGATACGCTTCAAATACGCTTCAGATACACTTCATATACACTTCATATACACTTCATATACACTTCATATACACTTCAAATACACTTCATATACACTTCATATACACTTCATATACACTTCATGTACACTTCATGTACACTTCATCTACACTTCATATACACTTCATACACACTTCATATACACTTCATATACACTTCAGATACACTTCATATACGCTTCATATACACTTCATATACACTTCAGATACACTTCATATACACTGCATATACACTTCATATACACTTCATATACACTTCATATACACTTCATATACACTTCATACACACTTCATATACACTTCATATGCACTTCATATGCACTTCATATGCACTTCATATGCACTTCATATACACTTCATATACACTTCATATACACTTCATGTACACTTCATGTACACTTCATGTACACTTCATATACAATTCATATGCACTTCAAATACGCTTCATATACACTTCATATACACTGCATATACACTTCATATACACTGCATATACACTGCATATACACTGCATATGCACTTCATATACACTGCATATACACTGCATATACACTTCATATACACTTCATATACACTGCATATACACTGCATATACACTTCATATACACTGCATACACACTTCATACACACTGCATATACACTGCATATGCACTTCATATACACTTCATATACACTGCATATACACTGCATATACACTTCATATACACTTCATATACACTGCATATACACTTCATATGCACTTCATATACACTTCATATACACTTCATATACACTGCATATACACTGCATATACACTGCATATACACTTCATATACACTTCATATACACTGCATATACACTGCATATACACTTCATATACACTTCATATACACTGCATATACACTTCATATACACTGCATATACACTGCATATACACTTCATATACACTTCATATACACTGCATATACACTGCATATACACTTCATATACACTTCATATACACTGCATATACACTTCATATACACTGCATATACACTGCATATACACTTCATATACACTTCATATACACTGCATATACACTGCATATACACTTCATATACACTTCATATACACTGCATATACACTTCATATACACTGCATATACACTTCATATACACTTCATATACACTGCATATACACTGCATATACACTGCATATACACTTCATATACACTTCATATACACTGCATATACACTGCATATACACTTCATATACACTTCATATACACTTCATATACACTTCATATACACTGCATATACACTTCATATACACTGCATATACACTTCATATACACTTCATATACACTGCATATACACTGCATATACACTGCATATACACTTCATATACACTTCATATACACTGCATATACACTGCATATACACTTCATATACACTTCATATACACTTCATATACACTTCATATACACTTCATATACACTTCATATACACTTCATATACACTGCATATACACTTCATATACACTGCATATACACTTCATATACACTTCATATACACTGCATATACACTTCATATACACTGCATATACACTTCATATACACTTCATATACACTGCATATACACTGCATATACACTGCATATACACTTCATATACACTTCATATACACTGCATATACACTGCATATACACTGCATATACACTTCATATACACTTCATATACACTGCATATACACTGCATATACACTTCATATACACTTCATATACACTGCATACACACTTCATATACACTGCATATACACTGCATATGCACTTCATATACACTTCATATACGCTGCATATACACTGCATATACACTTCATATACACTTCATATACACTGCATATACACTTCATATACACTGCATATACACTTCATATACACTTCATATACACTGCATATACACTGCATATACACTGCATATACACTTCATATACACTTCATATACACTGCATATACACTGCATATACACTGCATATACACTTCATATACACTTCATATACACTGCATATACACTGCATATACACTTCATATACACTTCATATACACTTCATATACACTTCATATACACTGCATATACACTTCATATACACTGCATATACACTTCATATACACTGCATATACACTGCATATACACTGCATATACACTGCATACTAAAGTCAATAGCTTTTCCATCCGTGGGTTTCCATCCTTGCCGTGGCTGCTTTCCTCAGTCCACCATGGGATAGCCGCCGGCCACAACTCCCCGTGGCCGCTGCATTACGGGACGACCTGTACAGCGGCCGCTGGGCGGCCGTGGAGGGCTCATGGGGCGCGCGAAAGGGTGAGAGGCCTCGGGTGACGTTGGGCAACTCATGGTACAATATCTGGAATGGTTCTTCATTTATACGTATACATACATATATACATATATATATACATGATATACATGATATACATATATATATATGTATAATTATAAACATATAAATCAAAATATGTAGCTTGTGTATACGATTTTTAGACAGACTTGTGGAAACACAGTTTCAATTGCCACTTGCAATGTGATGAAACTCTTTGGACAGGCCCGGTCCAAATTTCATAGAAACAGGAGGAGTTGCACAACACGTTTGGACTTCGACAATCTCCATGGTCCCAGAGAATCTCTGACGGCCCACCTCCTGCAACGCCATTTCGCATGGCTCAAACCCAGGCGCCAAGATCTCTCGTGCTCGGCAACGGCGGTGCTGCTCCGCGGAGTTCTGCTCCTCTGCCAGCTGACTTAATCTGGAGGCCTCGGGTCAGGGCACCGCCCTTTGGGCTGCGAAGATGGATCAGTTGAAACATGATTGGAACAATAACAAAAACTGATAAATTGTTCCAATCATTGGGTACTACTGATAAATTACAATCATGATTGCCCAATCACTCTAGTATGATTTATCAGTTTATGATACCCAATGAACACTCAATGAATCATCATTACTTGTCATCTTGTCATCTTGAAACAAACTATTCCCCCTCCCCACATCTAATGGATCAACCCATCTACCTGTTGTACGTACTTGTCTTTCTACCTGCCTATGCAGCTAGCTATCTTGCCATACGTATGTATTTCGCCTGGAATACCTAATCGTACATTTATTTGTATTTGTAAGCATCTAAAATTAAGACCACAACTGGCCACAACGCATGTTTGTCGCTAAAACACCAACCATGCACCAATAGCTGGAAATGAGCATCTGAATGCGTGTGCTGTGTAAGCACGTTTAGCCGTGTTATACCGCGTCTATCTTCAGGATTACAGGTTGCCTTCCATAGTGCCAAAGCCTTCACATATGTCCGATCTCTTGGCGCGTCATCAACAGTTCAGCAAAACGTTGCGAATGTTATTGCTCAGAACCGTTTGGTGCCAGTTTATAGTTTGTTTGGCGACAAAGTAGTTCTACAATGTTCTATACAATGTTCATTATTGAAATTATTGTTCTACAAGGTGGTGCCCCCAAGATAGCTAAGTTGGTTTATAACTCCAATAACTATGGTTTATGGTACTTATAACTATAGCTAATGGGGTTTATAAACCAACTTATAACTGGGGGGCCCCACCTTGTACGTTTATCTTTTTCCTTAGAGGTGGTTCAACATGCGAAACATCGACGCCTCAAGCGTCTCCATTTCAGCCTGGCGACCAGCAACGGATGATCCTTTTGGCTTCGATAGTCTTCCTGGTTGATGTACCTCCACTGGCTGTGGCAGTAGATGCATCATATCTGGGAGCCGAACATGTTTGGATTTTGATTGAACATCTAAACGCAGGCAAAGCTTCAATATGACGCCAGATGCGCCAGATATGTAGCTACAAAATGCTATAAACACATATTACATCATATTACCATGTCACCATGTCATACCATGGCCGCAGCCGCAGGATTCTTCCACAGGTCACCGGTTGCCATCAAAGGAGTAGCCCTCGGGAGGTCCCTGACTCCGCAATTCCTTGACCAACGTTCTTCGGAGCTCTTCAGGCACCGTCTCGGGAGCCCAAAAGGCCTCCTGCAGGATGCTTTTGCTCAGTGAACACATCCTGAAATATCTTCAGTTTTCGAACGTCCAATGAAGTCGTTGATATTTGGAAAGCAACTTCATCATGAACGGTGGGATAGTTTATGATTATCAATGATTGTCAATGATTGTCAACTATTCACTGATCTTCTATGATCCTTGCAACGGTTTCAGCTCCTCCTTGGGCTCTTGCAGCGTGCATTGCGCCATCTCGGCTGCCACAGCGGACGCCGCGGTTGTGGCGGCCGCCGCTCGGCAGTCGCAGAACCAGAACAAGGCACCGTGCTTGGAAGCCAAAGGCTCCTGCGAAGTCGCTGCCATGGAGGACTTTTACCACTTATATCTTAGGTAATGCTGTTAGTTCAACTTAGTTGGACTTCCGGTGGTCCGACTTTATCTGGAAACACTATAGACTATATCTGATAGATTCCGATAGGCCATAACTCGGAGTGATGTTCAACTTATCAATGTTTCTGACAGGAACTCCTTGGCCTGGCATTGCATCCATGTAAACGGTTGTCATGTGTACGGCATCTTTGAATATTTACAATAAACCTGGATAACCATATGGTTGTTTTCGCATGGTAGTGAAGAACCCCTACATAACAAATGGTTGTTTGGGTAGAGCACAAAAACACTGTTCATTTCTGGTTCTTTGGGGTTTCACGATATAGATATAAAACTCCTATAAATATTTATTCATTACATGCATTCCGCACAGAGAAAGACGAGGGAGAAATTCTCCTGCCAATGCTGCCTTGCTGGCAACTCGCCTCCGGGGGGATCATGAGATGATTATGCATTCTATATAGGTTGTTCACCAGCTTTGTGTTTTCTTTTAGTGTTCCTTGTGGTAAACTGAGAAGGCCAACAAACTTCCACAATATCTATTGATTTTGAGATGCAAAGACAACCTCGGGCTATCAGCAATACGTGAATGTTGCACACGGTGGATTTTCTTTACCAACCTGGCAAGAACAAACACGAATCTGTCAGCAAAATCGGCAGAACAAAACAATTACCCAAAACCGTCAAAACTGCGTGGGGTTATGGGACTTGTATGCAGTTCGTTTCCAAAGGTGCGATGTCGAATCGTGTTCCACTTTGGTACTGGCTCTTGTTGGGTCCGTGCTAAAATTTTTGGAATTGGAATTTTCGGTGGTTGACCAAACACAAACATTTCCGAATTTGAGGATCTTTGTTGCGTCGGGGCACAGAACGGCTGTGCATGTTTCAGTGAAGCGCGGTACATATTGACTGTTAGGGTAATTATCCCAGGGTTCAAGAATGTTCAAAGTGGCAAAACCATATATAACCATGAACAAACAGTGTTCCTCCCCATTCACTCACCAACGAAGGCCGTATTTGAACCAAATCAGTTCAGCCTTTTTCAGTGAAGACCAAATTCTTCTCCACCAAGAATTTCGTCCCGTCGCTCGTCAAGTCTGTGGTGGACCAGAAATCTTCACTACTGTCGACCACCAGTGCCTTCACCTGCAACGAAAACGGCGGTAGCAAGTAGCAAAACCGTTGTAAAGAGTCAAAATAAAGTGCCCGATTTGGTCAAAAAATGGGGCATGATTTGGGATCCTGAAGGCAGTAGCTGGACAATGACCAATAGAAGCAACAGTTGTAGTAATCACAACAAAGAGAGCAGTGGTATGATCATCGCGATGTGGCGTGACTGGATAGATTTGTGAAAGACTGGATGGATGGTTGGCTGGTCAATTCCCAAAAGAAGGTTGGTCGGATTTGTCGGACAAAATGGAATCTGCCCATGGCATGATTTTGCAGTGGTTTGCATCAGGTGGTCACGTGATCGAAACCAGGCCTTTCCTATTGACAATCGAAGGATCGCAATATTCCAAACATATTCCTAATAAGGTTCCACTGCACCTAGTCAATCCTGGTGAATTGCTTGCGGAAAAGCCAGCACGACCCGGTTACAGCAGGGTCGCAGCATTCCATCAAAACACAAGGGGATTGCCTTCATGTGAGGGATACAAAGCATTAGCGCAGGAACACTTTGATTTATGATTTGTTTTCATTAATAATCAACTTCCAATGCTTCAGTTCAAAACCCATTTTCGATGCAACTGGGATTGTTAATTTTCATTGAACACATTAGCTTGGTGGTTTCAAAAGCATCCCCATTATTTCCCGACTATTTTCCGATTATTTCCCCATTACTTCCCAATGTTTTATTTTTCTCCCTATTATTTCTCTATTTTTTCCGCATCATATATTTCTGTAATACTTCCTTATAGTTTCCCTATCTTTTTGCCATATTATTGCTCTGTGACATGCATTGCTCTTGTGACACCCATTTCTTTATGAAATCCGTTGCTTTGTGTGACATCCATTGCTTTGTGACGTCCATTGCTCTGTGACAGCCGTTGCTCTATGACATCCATAGCTCTTGTGACATCCATTGCTCTTGTCGTGACATCCATTGCTTTGTGACATCCATTGCTCTATGACAGCCGTCGCTCTATGACATCCATTGCTCTTGTGACATCCATTGCTCTTGTGACATCCATTGCTCTATGACAGCCGTCGCTCTATGACATCCATTGCTCTTGTGACATCCATTGCTCTTGTGACACCCATTGCTCTATGACATCCATTGCTTTGTGACATCCATTGCTTTGCGTCCATTGCTTTGTGACACCCATTGCTCTGTGACAGCCGTTGCTCTATGACATCCATAGCTCTTGTGACATCCATTGCTCTTGTCGTGACATCCATTGCTTTGTGACATCCATTGCTCTATGACAGCCGTCGCTCTATGACATCCATTGCTCTTGTGACATCCATTGCTCTTGTGACATCCATTGCTCTATGACAGCCGTCGCTCTATGACATCCATTGCTCTTGTGACATCCATTGCTCTTGTGACACCCATTGCTCTATGACATCCATTGCTTTGTGACATCCATTGCTTTGCGTCCATTGCTTTGTGACACCCATTGCTCTGTGACAGCCATTGCACATTCATTGCCATCCGTAACACGGAAGTTAGACCTTCAAACTTCCTTTGAATATATAATAGTTACCTATTCTTCCCTTTTTATTTTCCTACTATTTCCATGTTATTCTCATTTATTCTCCAAAGATTTCCCTTTTGTTTCCGTAGCCCACCATATTTCCCCATTATGTCCTTCTTAGTTCCTTCTTGTTTCCCTATTGTTATCTTATTATGTCCCTATCATTTACCTATTCTTTTCCTATTACTGCCATAATAGTTCCCTATAATTTCCCGATTATTTCCCAACTTTTCCCTATGATTTCCCTATTATTGCCGTATTATATCTCTATTATCTCCCTTTTTTTGCTATTGTTTCCCTATTTTCCTTATTTCTTTCCTATCACTGTACTATATTTACGTTTTTTTCAATATTTCTTTACTGTGCATATGCTAAACAACCTTACCGTGACCATCAAAACACGTCTTAAACACTCAAAACAGACCAACAACAACATTGCAAATCCTATAGGCACAGCCACACTTACTACCACCCTGCAAAGCTTCGCCCAACGGTATGAACGCAAAACAAAAAAATAGCTATGAGTTTGATCCTTGACTGTATGCCGCCTCAATGCAAAATAGGCCCTTCCAAGGCGAGTCTTTGGCCAAGGGAGTTTTGCAGAACCTGAGAGCGACAAGAAATTTAGACATGGACCTGCACCCTCCACTCTGAATTTATCCAGATTGCAAATGTTGGCCAATTGACTCACTCTGGAAAGCCACAGATAAATCAAGGCGGGATGGTCACAAAACAACTTGGTTGCACTTCTTTACGCTGATTGGGACCACTGCTCAATATTTGAGACAGGTAGGGCAATTGTACCAGTGTATATGTGCCATCGGCATATTCGGCATTTGATGATAAATTACCAGGTTTTCAAGCACGATATTCTGCCAGCCACTGTTCTCTTTCTCTGTTGGAGCGCCATTTGAGAAAGGTATCATTTTACGGCGGCCAAAACCGGAGAACCAAACAGCAGCAAACAGGTACGTGATTTTGAACGTGTTGGAGGATCCACCATGGAAAGCCCATCGTGAGCCAAGTGCATCGCCAAGGCGAAAGTCTAGGCCTTGTGTTGTCTCCATAGCCGTCACCATTTCTGGTCCCTCAACCTAGCTATGGATGCGATCCAACATCCACTGCTGTTTGACCGTTGATCCACAGGTCAAAGCCTGTACAAGTAAGGTAAACCCCATAGGGCGGCGCAAAATTTTCAAGTCTGAAGTTTGGACAATGATAGAGTGGAGATTGAACATCTATACGTTTGTGTTTGCAGTTTTTCCCCAGACATTCCCCCAACCACGTGTAAGTTGGGTTTCTGTTGAATGTGTATGTCCGTTGTCCAAAAGTATCCCGCAGGTGTGCCTGAACACACAGCATTCAACACCCAATTGTATATGTATTTAAAATTTCAAATGGGAAAATGATCATGGTCAAACATCAAACCCTGAGGTGTTCAATATTTTCGGAGGAAACCTGAATTCCAATTGCAGAATATGATGATCAACCATCAAATTTGGGGTTTTCAACCATGTGAAACCCCAAAAACAACGTGAAAACTGTGAAAATCCGAGGATCTTCGGACAACATCAAACAACCCAAAGGATGTTCCAAGGAACTGTTCTGCGGCTTCCCTAAGGCACATGGTCAGCCGCTGCCGCAATCGCTGCAGATCCAAAACCCCACAGACCACGAAGCACCGCGTTGCCACGGGCGAGTCTGGCGATGGCGGAACCTCACCTGGCGACGGGGCGTTGATGATGACTATTCTTATCATGATGATTATATTATGTTTTTTTCCATATTTATACTATTATTATATATCAAGCATGTTCACATATGTTCACTATGATATTATCATGATGATGATGATGATGATGATGATGCTGCACCTTTTTCCCGACCATCTTTTGACACACTGCATGGGAGGAAGTGAGAGAAATCTAACAAGCAACTATCAATTTCATTGCAGATAAAGTGGAATGAACTGAGAATGAAGGTCTTTTGTGTTGAGGGTTTTCAGCACAAATAGACACCTCGCATCACCTCGCTGTGCTGACTTGCAAATTGAACCTGGTCAGACCTTCCCTTTCTGTCACGCAGTCCAGCTTAGAAAGCACCACTTTTCATCCAACGACGTCCAACGATAGGGCAGTTTTATTTGCATCTCAGCAGGGTGTATCTGGACCCTTTTTGAGATATCATGACATTCACTGCACCTGGCAATGCATCACATGCTTTTCAAACATGTGAAACATCGCAGTGCATGAACTGCAACTCCATCTTCAGGTCTAGAGTGAACTTGAAACACACATGGCACTACATGGGGCACAATAAATAGAAGCAAGCATGCTGGCTGAAACATCAACGTGGAGCAACCTCCCACCTACAGTACTTCATGCTAGATGCCCCCAAGGTGTCTGCTAGTGTCAGCAGCATCGCCAATGCACGCATGGCTTCACATGGTTTCATTGTGCTGTGTCACTTCAAGAGACGAGAGAAGCCGCATGAAGCCGCTGTCCTTTCTCACATGCTCCAATCAGAGCATTGAAGCAGATCTGATTAGGCAAAACTTTTGCCGCCGGCATTTCCTGCGTACATGGGACGCAGTCAGTCATTGAAATCACAGGCAAAATCCTTCCCACTTTGCTATTGAAAGATCTGAAAGATAACTGGAAGCAAGCAAAAACAAAGTGCTACCAAAAGGGTCCAAAACAAAAGGGTTCAAACTCATTTTGAAGAGTTCAGTCTCCAAACCAGCCTGCTCTGTCCCAACTCTAGTGAGGTTCTGTACCCACAAGCATCAAGTCCCACCGTCTCCGTTGACCAGTGGGCGGAACATTTTTCAACTAGTGAGAAGTCATTGCACAGGGCATAAAATACGGAACTGTTTAACCATTGGTGACGTTCATGTTGGCATCATGGTGCCGTTGGGGGCTTCTTGTTCCAACATCTTCCGACAATCGAACAGTTGTTGCAGTCCTCAAAAATTTGCAAAGCTCTTTGCCACTCCCCTGCCTTTTCACAGGAACTGATGGCAGCGCAAAAACTAAAAATATCCGGTGGCATACACAACGGCATTGTGAAAGCCATCATGTGTAGAAATTCCAGGGATATCTGCCATTGTGAGCCCTTTTCGCAAGAGCTCAAAGCGGAATTGAAGCTGAATTCGTTCGGATGCACCTCATTGAAGGTTGTACAAAGGAGCCAGGGACAAAATGTAGAAGGTATTTTGGTAGAGTTACCAGCCCTATTTCTTGCGGACCTTCCTTGGACCAGCAGCATATGCCATGCCCCCGTTTCCTCGTTCGAAACATGGCCATCCAGCTAGAATTTACTCTTTCGTCATTGTAGTGCCTTAGGGGTGTTCACATGTTTAAACTACATTCTTGATATCTGGATAGGGTCAAAATGCAAATGTTGGAATTTATGCAATTCGAACAACAGTAAAATTAGTGTATGCATTCAGAATCAAGAGACAAAAAATGTAATGCTACATGTTCGCCCCTCTACTGTCATCAAGGCGCCTTTCAAAAATGTCAACATACCTACAGTACACGTGTTACGTATTTTAAAAAAATCTAACGTCTTCAGTTGGGGGTCAAATGTGGCCCTCAAGCGTTTTCTTCGCAAGGGTCATTTGGGAGATTAAGGGGGTGGTAATACCAAAAAGATCCAAAAAGTACCATCTTTTGTGGAGGAACTCGTGCCAAAGGCATGCTTTCGTGAAACACGTGCAACGCGAGTTGCCACTTTCCAGCTTTTTCGCAGGAGCTGATGGCTGCGCTGAAACTGAAAACATCGGCCTCCATTGAGTGCAAGACCTGTAGGGCCTAAGTCAAGTAGAGCAATCAGACCCCTACAGGTCTCACGCTGGGGAAATGGTGGGGAAATCTTTAGACCAAATCTGCAACATCGAAATGGAAGAGTTCTGAAGCAAATGGCTGGGGTCCTCTGATCATCATCTTAGAATATGTATATATGTATGTATGCACGTATGTATGGATGTATGTATCTGGGTAAATGAAATAATAATTCACTAATCTGAATGGTTGGGCCATTTGGGGATGATTTCCCTTATTAGCTATGATTCCAGTGAGGTCGCAGTGAGGTCGTTATAATTTAGCCAGATGTATGCATGTATGTATGTCTGTATGTATATATGCATATTATAATATCTATATAAAGTCTCAGGCTTCTCAGGAATAATGAGGCAACAAAACACGAAGTCGCAGTGATAGCAATGAATATCAACGAAGGTCTTGCAAATTTCGGGTATTACCGGCCATAGCCAGAGCTCACCGACAACGACAAGTGGCCAGCTGCCATTGGTTCCCTTTCTCAAAGGCGCTGATGATAGAGTTGAAGCTCACTTGGCTTGGTCTCACCTCAGTTCCAAGTCCTGAAATCCCTGAGACACCGCCTGATTCAGCTGGCATGATTCAGCTGGCGTGCAGCAAAGCGCTTCAGCAAAGTGGTTTTGGTCCATGTTTTGAATGGATATGGTCCATGTTTTTTTTTCATGCCTTTTCCCCAAAGATGACCTGGGAAAAGTGTTCCATCCTTTTTGGGGACACCCACAGCCGCCAGGGATACCTTTCAAGCCGCCTGGGCAGCGCCAAGTCACTTTCTTCATGGGCATCTCTTGGAGCAAGGCCAAAGCTCGTTGCCACTGTTGGCTCTTCTCAAAGCTGCTGATCACTGCATTAAACATCACAACATCAGGACTCAAGGACTCCTGGAGAGTTCACAATTCACATGAAAGACGGTAAAAAAAAGTCTTCTGCAGGATTGACCATAACCCCTCAAAACTTTCTGTACGTCATGTATATATTATACAATATTATACCTGTCTGTATATATATATATATTATATTATATTTATATATTATATATTTATAACTTCACCCAAAAAAGATGCCCTTCTGCATGGGGGATACTATCCATTCCATCTCTGCATCCATACTTTTCCATGGTACAAAAATGATTCAGGTTCGAGTGCTGAGCCTGGAACGCTCTGTTCATCTCCAACCAATAGAAACCTCCAACTCCAAACGACACCCTGACCACTGATGACCACTGATGACCACTGATGACCATTGGGTCGTTGACAGCTGTGATCATCCCCTCTCCTGCACCATTGATTCAAAGAGGTGCAATGCCAAATGCCAAGCTGCTACCTTTTCACAGGCGCTGATCATGGCACTGAAGCAAATGAGATCGCGTCGAACAGCCAAATCTGTCATCAACTGTCAGGGATCGCTGGTTGACCTTGACATCTTCTATGCTTTCTTTGGATTACAGGATATTGCAGGATATTGCAGGATATTGCAGGATTACTGAGCTTCATCGCTACTTTATTGATACTACTCCTACCCGACCCACCTGGCTTTCCTAAAATGTGCCAGAGGAGACCGTCATGAAACGATCTGATCAACGTGGAGGGAACTTGTGAGCAGGGATCTTTGGGGACTTTGTCTCCAAGCAAAACATCTTCATGGTCTTTAGGCTCTCTATGTCAAGCAACGCGGGGTCTGAAAATAGGACAACTGTAACTTGGGTGGTTTATGATGGTTGATCATAATTCCCGCAATACAAATTCCATGAATTGGGGTGGTATCCATGGGTATACCATGGGTATACCACATCTTCACTACCGCTTTCCTAGCTACGATTCATGGCCCTGCCTCAAACAAGTGCATGGCCCGCAACCACTGGCCGCAAGTCTCACACGCGCTGATGGCAGCGCTGAATGCCACTGTGTTGGGTACATGCGGCAGCGAATGGATTGAGAAGCGATAGAACTCATGAAGAGCGCCCTCCCACTGCATGCCTGACCCAGTGTCAAGTTGTGGCAAGAGTACATTAGTCTTTGAAATATACCTTTGAATGATTCGAGATTCAATTTCCCTGACTCAGTATTAACTGCTTCAAGTGGCTGAGCCGCAATTCGTTTCACAACTTGGAAGCGAAGAAAAATAAATTCCCTGGTGAGTTTCCTGTCCACCACCGTGGGTACCCAACAAATGCTGCCAAGGTGCCCCTCCTACATGCAGTGATCAACGCGCAACACCTGAAAATGTCAGGCTGACCAAGCCCCGTGGCGCACATGGCCATTTGCCACTGATGACCTTTCTCAAAGGCTCCGATGACTGCATTCACACTGATGCTATCACCACCTAGGAACGAAGCGGGTGCCATCATCAGCCACTGGGCAATAATATCAACGTGAAAATGCAATGTGCTGAACTTTCTCGGAGATACTGCGACATGTCATTCCTAATCTTAGCTAATGATTGGATTGTCATGACAAGAACTTTTGACAACAGCAAGCGTCCAAATGCCCGTACAAAATGTCCGGTACGGAATTTGGCATGACACAAGTCACGTTTCATTTACTATCGAAGCGAACTCAGTGGCAAGACTTTCTTCGATTTACACTCATTGAGCTTCATTAATTTTATTCATTTTACTCGTTGTCAATCTTCATCTGTCAGTGGTATTGGTATCTTCCTCACCATTGACCTGATTCTAAGACTCCGCTGGGATCCTGCACAAATGCTACCAAGATCTACAGAATGTCTTGAGGGAAGGGGTGTGCTTCTCACGCGAATTCAATGAAATATTAAAAGCACACCTGAACTTCATCATTCAGCAACGAATAGCGCTTGCACGCATGCATTGAAAAAAGTGGAGAGCCAGCGACCAAGCACTAGCCCGAGAAGCGGATGAAATAGATTGGGTGTAGTCAACACAATCAAGCCGCACACGGGCATTCCTGGTCGGAGGTTCCAACATGTTTGATCTCAGAATGTTCTGAGGTGATACGCTGGGAACTGCCATATAGGATTGTCCCATATTGTCCCCGGAGAAATCTGTACTCCGAATGGACATTCTCCATAAATGCATGCAAGCTTGCTACAGTCTGACAGTGCAAGACAACGACCTGAGCATGTTGTTATCAACCAAGCCTGCCAACTTCCATAATGTTGGCCACTCATCATCCATGATCTGAATGAGAAACCCATATAGAAAACCTAGGTCCTCCTTTTGCACCTCGAAACTTGGCTTTAAAACTCCCAATCATGTCCCAATACAATGGGCATACGGGTATACCTCAATTTTTCTGGGAAGATCTGGGAAAGACATATTCTGGTTGGTGGTTTTAACATGTTTTAACCATCTTGAAAAATATTAGTCAATGGGAAGGATTATCCCATATATTATGGAAAATGAAACATGTTCCAAACCACCAACCAGTATTTTGTTCCACTTGGACCCAGCTTCCAGATCAACGGCACCCAAAAAACCATGGACGTTCTCGCTGTGCGTCCAAGTCATTGCCGGCTTTGCAAATCTTCTAGCTTCCTTCGGGCGAAGGTGGAGGTCAAGAGCTGGTTGATCAGTAAAAACAATGGTGTATAGAGTTGTGTCTCTAATGATAATATCATGGCAAAACTGAGAGTAACTCTGTAGAACACATGATATACCAGAGACAAACATGCCAAGAACATGCGAAAAAAGGAACACAAACAGATGTAAAAAAAAAGGCGCCTCTGAAGGAGCCTTTTTGAAGCAGTTGAAGGCTTCTCAGGACCATTTCGGCTTAAATGGCAGATCAGGGGAAACATTATGCCATGGCAACCCATGGCAATCCATGGCAATCCATCCAGATACGGCGGCAGAGGGGTACAGTACTTGAGCACCAGCCGATCAAGCTCTAGGAATTTAAATCTGACCCCGAATCTGCGACACCAAGACAAACTCCGCTTGCCTCCCTCTCTTTGGACTTATCATGACTTATCAGGTTTCACATGATCAAAATGGATCAAACAAATGAATCAACATGGATTGGATGGTTGCGTGATGCTGCAGATTTCCCTGATCAAAGCGTCAAGTGCCAATGATTCAACTGGTAGCATTCCCAATTTAGTCCACCCTTGATCTGTCTGACTTTCCAATCTTTCCATCATCATCAATCAAATAACGAACTGGAAATCAACCAGAAAATCCATCCCAATCTCCCAATCTCCCAATCTCCCAATCTCCCAACGCACCGCAACCTGAAGCCGCTCTGATGCCGTGAGGGCTCGCAGTCACAGCGCTTAAGAGGTCACTTGTCAAAGGTCGCAGGAGCACCTGCCGATCCATGAAGCCATCAGCACTCTTTTCACAAACTCTGAACAAGATCCCTAAAAAAATCAAGATAATCATTCTACAAACCATTTGTGGACATATATTACTAGTTACTAGTAATTAAGGATAACTATGGTATACTATGATGAAGACCGCAGAATCCTCAGACTCAGAATATCTATGAGGCCAGCTTGTTCTCCATGTATTCTCATCTTTCTGGTGGAAGACGATGTCGGCAAACAGGAACGAGAAAGCCCATACTGCTCAAATCTGCTCAATATGTTGAGTTCGATCTTCTAATGCGAAGATTGCGAAGATTTGCGAAGGCACTCCCTCGCTAGTTAAAATATGCAGAGCTGCTTTTCATTTATGGAAAGTACTACATCCAAAGTCGTAGAACTTCGGCCAGCAGTCGTCATGAACCATGGAGGCTCTCAACACTGATTGCACCTGTCTGCCAACAGTTCGCTGCAACTCTTTTGCCAGAAGCGTACCTAACAGGTCAGTAAACATGGTCCAAGCAGAAGAATGGTTTGCCATGTTTCGACTTCATTCAACTTCTCTTCCTGTATGAGTGAACAAAAAACGACCTTGCTAAAAATTGCTGGCACTTGGGCAAGCTGTACTTCCTTGCACTTCCTCTTTTGTTCATCTTCGATGTCATGTTTCGTGGGAATTTTCATGAATGTTCTCCATGAGTATCATCGAAAAAGGAGCTACAGTATGGTTTCGTTTCGACCCATGTCCTAACAAACGCAACAAGGACATCTAAAAAGACACACATTGAACATCGCGGATTGGTTGGTAATGGCTGGTAAGTTGAACATATATGGAACATGATGGAACTATCATGAATTATCCAGTTTGATTGCCGATTTTCCAGGGCAAACTATGGCATCCTGCCGAGCAAATTTTAGTGCTGCCGGGACACCCAAGGCCCGATGATCCTGTGCACAACACAATTGGCAGAAATAAGGCTGCGCTGTCGTAGCGTCTTTTTTGTATCGTCGTCATCGTCACCATCACCATCACCATCACCATCATCATCATCATCATCATCATAGTAGATTCGTCGCACTTTCATGCAAATTCTAGAAAATATTTCAAACATATTTGATTTCCACACATTTTCATACATGTTCATACATTGTATTTAAGGCTTGCTTTGCTTTAAGAATCGCTATCCCCGGCACCTGCGTCTCCTTCTGTCCGGTGCGGCCAACAGCCACGACTGCACCCGGCGGTGCGTTTCGACGCAGCAGCGGATGTCGGACACTGTGCCAGGGATATGCGATCATCGGCTCCATGATGGATCTGGGATGGTCACTGAATGTCTGGTGAATATCGCAATGGTGAGGTTTTGCTTGCTTCCAAACAAGCAGAGTTAGTAAGTGGCAAATACCAGGCAAAAAACAACCAAAGAAGTATACTAAGAAGTGCAGATATTAAAAGCCTAAGGGCAGCGCAAAAACAACAGGAGTTCAATAGAAATAGACCGGGCCATACGCTGCCAAAAGTTTTGGAGCAGAATGGGACTGAACCATGAGGGAAAGAAGCCAGCCCCTTTGCTTGGTGATGAAGCAGGAGTGTGGACAAACCGTGAGCTTGGAAGGTCTAAGGTCAAGCATGAATTGGATCGGCTCATCAATCTATTGGCAGGTCGATCCTATTCATGGAACCACGATCGTTTTCACTCTGAGTCGGGCAAAGTCTTAGGAACTGCAACCCAGCTCGCTCCAGCTACAACGGCTGCTTAGAATTCCAGGGGTGCCAGGGGCCAAACATTCCCGTGACATTCATGTCATCGGCATTGCTAGGTGGGTCACAGTGAATTTGCTGGTGCTCCCCCGTTCCCCCAGCCGATATCATCAGACTGAGTGACAACACGCGCAGCTCCGGCAGCTGAGCCTTGCACCGAGGCCCCACAGGAACCCAGCCCGAAGGAATCCGAAGGATTTTGAGTGGCAACCCGTGGGCATTTCAAGACGATATGACCGATATTTTTGGGACTGGATCAATCACTCAACTTGGGTGTATGATGTCCCATTCTTTTCACGTTTTGCTGATGTTTCACCCAAGGGATAGGATTGTTTAGTCTGTTGATCCTATGAAACTCAGTGGCAGTGTAATGAATCATTCCTCTTCAACCTGCTAGCTGCTAGGAATCCTTACAACTCTACCCTGGATTGGATGAAACCTGCAACTAGATTTCCGCGACGGTCTTTGTAGCCGCAGTAAGTGGTGCAGCGTGACTACCCAGCACCCAAATATATCGACTTCAAAGAAGGAATCGCCAGACCTGCAGCAGTAAGGGATCTCGCAGTACATCACAAAGTACCAGCCACTCCTGGTGCATCCATCATGTGGGAAAGGCTAGACTTGGCTGTGGCAGTGCTTCAACATGCACGGGGAAAAACACAATATTTACTGTATAAATCTCGTACTTTCCACAACCGGCTACAATTTTCCATTCCATATTTTCCGAAGATAAGAATGCCCCCATATTTCCCCACCTGCCAGGTGAGGGTTGTTAGATTTTATGTCAGTTGCCTCCTCCTCCTTCTCCTCCTTCTCCTCCTCCTCCTCCGCCTCCTCCGCCTCCTCCTGCCTCGTCCTCCTCGTCCTCCTTGTCATCCTTGTCGTCCTTGTCGTCCTCGTCGTCCTTGCTCAACTGCGATCCGCGATCCACAGTGTTCTCTGCCGGACCTCAACCACGACCACCCACGCCCAGTGTTCCCTGCCGGACCTCAACCACGACCATCCACGCCCAGTGTTCCCTGCCGGACCTCAACCACGACCATCCACGCCCAGTGTTCCCTGCCGGACCTCAACCACGACCATCCACGCCCAGTGTTCCCTGCCGGACCTCAACCGCGAGTATCCATGCCCAGTGTTCCCTGCCGGACCTCAACCACGACCATCCACGCCCAGTGTTCCCTGCCGGACCTCAACCGCGAGTATCCACGCCAAAAGATATGCCACATAGAGTGCCAGAAGATATGCCAGATAGAATGTTAGAAGATATGCCAGATAGAATGCCAGAAGGTATGCCAGATAGAATGCCAGATAGAATGTCAGCTAGAATGCCAGATAGATAGAATGCCAGCAGATTTGCCAGATAATATGCCAGAAGATATGCTAGATAGAATGCCAGATGGAATGCCAGAAGATTTGCCAGATAATATGCCAGAAGATATGCCAGATAGAATGCCAGATGGAATGCCAGAAGATATGCCAGAACCCAGAAGATATGCCAGAAGATATGCCAGAACATCTGCCAGAAGATATGCCAGAACATCTGCCAGAAGATATGCCAGGTAGAATGCCAGAAGATATGCCAGATAGAATGCCAGATCGAATGCCAGAAAATATGTCAGATAGAATGCCAGAAGATTTGCCAGTAACAAAATGTATAAATGTCATGGTGGGGATCACACGAAGTAAAGTAATTTTTTCCATATATCATCGCTTGCCAAGTCAGCCATAGCCATGTTGCCAGTATATACCTGTCCTCTTCTCCCTGCGTTTGCTGAAGACGGAGCAATTGTGACTGATCCATCCTTGGCCGCCAATAGGAGTTCAGCGACAGAAGGAAACTATCCCTCAGGTACGACAGCGTGCCTCTTTTTAAATATTATATATATTATATACATCATTATGTGTATATCTAAAAACATATATATATATATACCTTACGCATAGCAGCGTGTAATGATGTGTAATGTGTGTGCGCACAGCCCTGATATGCACTGCATAAGCCCTAGGCAGCTGCCAGGAATCTTGGAGTCCGTTGTGGTGCCATCTTCGAGGTCAAAAAAGGGCGCATGAAGCAATCGCGCCAGCGCCTTTGCTACATCCTTAGATGCTGTGAATTGGCGCCTGAATCTTCGCCAAAAATCTGCCCGACATGGCTTCTTGCCTGTTTCAAGGACTTTGGCTCGTTTGACGAGAATCTATCTGCCCAAATTGCATGTTTGGGGTTTGTGTGTCTGTGTGTGTCCTGCCTGTGGAATTGGTGTTTGTTGTTTTTGCGTTCGTTTGACAGGTTTTTTGATTAATGCTGGGCTCTGATTAGTGTGGCCCCCCCCAACAATTTTAGTCTACTCAATAACTCGGCATTTTCTGCGCGCTTCCTCAACAATTTTTAGGATAGTCAACTTAAGCAAGGATTTCAATTGACATCAATCTACTTTCAATTGATTTTCCTTTTAAACCTCAAAGAAATGTATTGATAAGAAAGGATTTCAATTGAAATCAATTTAATTTCAATTCATTTGAATCTACTTTCAATTGATTTTCCTTTTAAACCTCAAAGAAATCTATTGACAGAAAGGATTTCAATGGATATGGCTTTCTAAAGTAAATGGACCAGCTTTACCCAAAGAAAGGTGTATATAAAGGTGGATAAAGCTCCTCCTGAAAAAAACTGCTGACAATAGAGCCTCACCCCCCACAGCAAGACGCTCAATTAGGAAGAAAAAAACAACACAATAGGGTGCCAGCACACTAATCGGAGGCTAACATTACCCGTCTTGCGCATGCGTTTGGCACGCATTTTATCATTTTAGTGTTAAAGGTTGAACGGTGCTATCCTGCAGTTTTTGCACGGCAAAGGCAGTTCCAATCCGATCAATTGCAATAGAGCAACACCAATGCGCACACAACTTCATGATGCACTTAAGTACCAATCCTATAGCATCTTTGAAATATTCTTTTATCATATTATAAATTATAATCATAATATTTCATAATTATATGAATTTCCTCAAATACCACTATAATAGTTGGGTATTCTATCATACTTTTTCAATACTTTTTCCCTAAATCACAGAAGTTCCAACTTGGCCATAGAGTCGATGGCGCCGCAGCCGGGTAAACCCGTCACCAGCAGCTGCTTCTGTGTCTGCGGTGCTGGTGCCGTAGGTGCTGGTGCCGTAGGTGCTGGTGCCGAGGCAACAACTGTTGAGCCTGGCTCCACAAATCAACATGGTCACAGCTGGAATGGTGAGTGTATCAGCCATGTATCAGCCATGTATCACTGAGAACGTGTTAGAAGCAAAGTTCGGGAATTCAGCTCAATTCTGTCTCTGCAGAACTGTAGTTTCAAGAAATCATCTTGCAAAAGGATGAGAGAGGAACAGGGCCCACAGCCAAAGTGCAAAGTGGTGTGTGCGAAAGCGCATCGGTCAGACAAGTTGCGGCGATCATTTGTTTATATATTCAGACCCTTCGCTTGATCTGCAGCCATGTCAAAGTCTAATGTTGTCTCCAAAACGTCCTACTAGTCCTGCATTGCTGCCGGGTGAAGCTCCCAAATATACAAACAAGAAGAACACAATACAGTAATAACTAATAACATGTAATAACATGTGATAACATGTAATAACAAAATCACCCTAAAAAAACGAATGAGTAAATCATTTGAAGTCTGCTTCTACTGCAAATCAACGTCCATGATTTCTTCGGATCGCGTGCCTTGAAGCGGCAACCACCAAAGGTCGTCGCCTCTGCAGTTCAGGGAAACTACAGTACCCCCTTCCAGCAAAACTTCAAAATTTTGGAAGTCTTTGGAAGAATCTCTGAATTGACCTAATTGAACGGATGATAACTCTGATAACTGATGTATCGAACGGATTGGCACGGTGAACATCTGTTGCACGCAGGTGGCAATTTGCAATTTTGCTGGGTGTGAACAAAGCAACAGGACAAATAGTGGAAAGGGAGACAAAGAAGAACAACAAGAAAAACAACAAAGAAGAAGCAACACAAGAAAAAGGCTGAAGAACAGCGAGAACAACAACCAACAAAAACAATGCATACCATAAATCAAGAGAAACAATTACAACAAAGGCATATCTCCTTGCCTTTCAAGCAACTAAGGTGGTGCAACAATAGATGGATCACCAATATTCAGCAATCCATTCGTTCCTCAAAGACTGAATAAGTTCAGCAGGTTTCTAATGTTTCCATGAGCCAACATCATCAGAGACAAAAACATCAAAACATTCAAAACCACTAATTATCCTTTTTCACGAACCATTTTCACTCTATGCTTTGCATAGCCCCAAATATCCCGTACTCCACTAGTCCCATGATAAAAAAAAAAGCGCCTGTGGAGACACCCACATGCACAGGGGGTGCTAGCTGGTTCCGCCAAGTGGATAAGGTGCTGGGACTGACACTGATCGCGACCTTCAGCCACGGCCTTGGCAAAAGAAAATGTCTGGAACTACTGAGATATTTCCAAAGTCAACAGGCAAAACCGTCACAACCTGAATTCAAGTGGACTCTGGAACTATCATAACTATCCTCAAGTTCTCAAATTAGATATTTTTTTTGCACTTGCTAACAGCAGCTGAAAAAGAGATTGCTGATCCTGAAGAATTTCGCCCGCCGAAAAAAAGGAACCCAACGACCCACTGGGGGACTCCATCGTGCAGATCGTTGCTGCAAAAATTCCGGCTTCATGGAGCAGTGTATACTATAGATGTTGAAAACGACTTGCAGGAACCACCCGGAACTAATCACTGTATATTTTTTTGGCTTTGTCATGTGTATTACCTTAAACTTAAAAAAACAAAACATGAAGTCCTGCCGAAAAATCCGCGGCTCAAGGCCGCAATTTTTTGCAGCTCGAGGTGCTCAGTGGATCCACTGAGATCCATTGAAACCCAGAGTTGACCCTTGGATGCAGCTGCTGTGGACTGTAGGGACTCTCGCTGAAGTGTCAAGAGCACATATCCTCAGCGACCGGATGCCAAATTTAGAAATGTCATGAATTGTTTGTGTTGTTTTTACTGATCAAATCAGAGCCCTACACATAACACATACTGGATGTATCATCTGTGAGTATTTGTGTGTATGTACGAGTAATGTGCACATATTTTATTTGTAGGCGCCTTCGCATATACTTATCCGATGCATTACTAAATATGCAAAAAACACAGAGTTAATGTGACAAAATTTGATACGATGTCAAGCTACTGAGAGCCTCCGATAAATTGCCTCTGGCGAATAGGACCTTGATACTTCACTATTGTTGTCCCAAAACAACTTTACAGCCTGAATCGAGCCCCTTTTAACAGTCAAGATGTCCCAGTCTTTTAAGTTCAAAGTTGCTAGAAATGAAGCCTGTCCAAGCATCCGCTTCGGCCTGTTGAAACGACCACTTTTCCTGACAGAGGCTCTTCAATGCCAGAGCACTCAGATGGAAACTGCATGAGATTGCAACATCTGCAATCTCTCTACCGATTATCTACGATTGTAAGATCCGCAGCACACAGAATGATTGTGTCGTGTGAATCTTGTGGCAATATTCGCCCAAACATCCCATGCAACTCTCCCAGTCGCCTGAAGCATAGGTCCACGCAGTGCCCGCAGCCAGCCCAACAGGAACCACACCGCCGCTGCTTGCAGTTACGACAGCTACAGCCAGGTCGCAATGGATCTCCACGTCGATTGGCTCCTAACAGGCTATCTCTGGGGCTCGGTGCACCACTGAGATACTCCACTGGTGTCCATTTGAGATGTTTCAGTTACTGTTTAAGTACAATAGGTTCCAAATGGATCTATATGGTGCTAAGTGGTTCCAAACGCTTCTACAGTAAAGGCTTCTAAATGGTTCAAACGGCTCTAGGCAATATCTTCCATGGTCAAAAATGCCAAGATCAGCGGCCATCTCCTCACCCAAGTCCAGTGGATCTGGTGGCTGCTCAGGTGGATCTAGATAAACACGCACATCTTTGCGGTGTCCTTAGGAAATTCCAGTACCACCGTTACCACTGTTACAAACATATCCCAGACTTTAGGCATGCCAGGTACATGCCAAGTATCTTTCTCGGGAGACTCTATACTAGATTACTTGGAGAAACATATGGAAAGGACGCGGGGTTGCCTTAGTCTTGGGATGTCTTGGGATTATGTTGATGGTTTCGCGGTAAACCCTATATATATTAATACTGTAATATATACTAGTAAATTTCGTGAAGTCCTGTTTATTTGCCCAATATGCGTTTATGGTCCAATTCTGTTAGCGGGGGGGGTCAATATGCGTTTAAGGTGTATCAAAAAAAAAATCGTGCGCCATGAACGCATATTGGGGAATCTAACCACTCATGTCAGGAAAACCCATTTACCAACATTTACCATGAATGCAGGGAACCATCGAAAAAAAATAGTACATGTTGCGAGGTCCATTTTTTGTGTAATATGTGTGTTTAATGTATTTTGGGTGGCAGGGACCTTAATTTCCCTTTTCAGTGTGAAATAAGATTTTGGCGGATTTCTGCCAGCTATACCAATCAACCATGTGATTTACTGGGTTTGAGGAAAAATACCATCGGATTGTGTGAGGATATCATCCGAATTCTCTCAGGATATCCACATATATCAAGAGAAAGTTCTTGTGGCAGTCAGAATATCCTGAACGTACATCAAGACAGTTTCCAAGATTTTTTGGATGTACATGATAAAACTGTTTAAAGGAAAATGAACAACATGGCAACATGTTCAAAGGATAAAATGGGGCATTTTGGAGGATGTCACTTTTGGAATCTGATGGAAATTTCGTTTTTGCGGATACCATCACAGTTTCCGAAGGATAAAACAATCTCTGAGGATCAGAATTTTCTGAGTATGTTCTAGGATTCTAGGATATCAGCAGACCTCTGGGGGATACATTCAGAAATTTCTGAGGGTCATCAGATTTATCTGAGGATATCATGAACCATTTCCGAGAATATCAGGATTTACAGATGATCATCAGAACGTTTGAAGGATATCATGAGGAGTTTATCAGGATATCATTTTCGCGACATGCATCAGGTAATTTTGAGCACGGAAAAAGAGGCAAACACAACAAGTCAAACAGCGCGTGCTGTATGTATACAAAATAACGGCATGCTTTGTGTTTGTTTCTCCTTTGAGAATCAGATTTGCCAAGGCTCATCATTCTGACAATCTCTGGATATATCTGGTGATTGAATATCAAATACATTTGATGATTATCATCATGCTTTGGTCTATTTTAAAATAAATATAGCTTTGATGGTCAGGGATTAAACAACAAAACAAGTAAAACACACTGCGTGTTGTCTGTGTACACAATAGGGCCGTGCTTCGTGCTTGACTTTGCTCTTGGAGATTTTTTTTTTGCAACGATCGTCGTGCTGACGAACACCGGATATATCCAATGATTATTGGAATTGTCATTAACCGAAATTTCTGGTGATCGTCAAAAAAAATCTAAAGAATCCTCAGAATTTTCTGAGGATCGTCATCCTCAGAAATTTCTGAGGACCCTCAGAATTTTCTGAGGATCGTCATCCTCAGAATTTTCTGAAGATCCTTATGCTGAGAATTTTCTGAGGGTCCTCATCCTCAGAATTTTCTGAGGATCGTCATCCTCAGAATTTTCTGAGGATCCTCAGAATTTTCTGAGGATCGTCATCCTCAGAATTTTCTGAGGATCCTCAGAATTTTCTGAGGATCGTCATCCTCAGAATTTTCTGAGGATCCTCAGAATTTTCTGAGGATCGTCATCCTCAGAATTTTCTGAGAATCCTCAGAATTTTCTGTCATCCTCAGAATTTTCTGAGGATCGTCATCCTCAGAATTTTCTGAGGATCCTCAGAATTTTCCGAGGATCGTCATCCTCAGAATTTTCTGAGGATCCTCAGAATTTTCTGAGGATCGTCATCCTCAGAATTTTCCGAGGATCCTCAGAATTTTCGCTCAATAAGCGTTTTTTTCATGAAAATGTGCCAAAAAAACGATTATTTTCAAACAAAAAAACGCTTATCGAGTGAAAATTCTGAGGATCCTCAGAAAATTCTGAGGATGACGATCCTCAGAAAATTCTGAGGATGACGATCCTCAGAAAATTCTGAGGATGACGATTCTCAGAAAATTCTGAGGACCCAGAACTTCCATTCCTCCTTATTTAAGGAATTCCTCCTTATTTAGGGAATTCCTCCTTAAAATTCCTCCTTAAATTAAGGTGGAATTTTTGAAAAATTCCTCCTTAAAATTCCTCCTTAAATTTTCAATTGCAAGGAGATCTTGCACCTCCTTCAGCAGGAGACTTGAAACCTCCTTATCCCAGATCCTGGCAGCAAAACTTTTCACTTCAGCTCTGGAATCACTTGTGCTCGAAAACTTTGCAGAACACTCATGCCTATGGAATAAGGGTTGTGGCTTCCACCTTTCACAGCTCCTAAGTGAGCTAGGAAGCCACCAAAGTCTTCGTCTCGATATGTCCAACTGTCTGATGGACAAGAGTTCTGGAGCAATAAATCTAAGAAGCTGTGGTGCTTTGGTTTGACCTTCTAAGTATGGTCAGTCTCGTTTTCCAAGCTCTTGCACAACAGCAAAACTTTCTGCCAGGCAGCAGCATTGACTGGTGATTCCATAGATTCTTGGACAAGAAAGAATAACATTGCCACAGTTCTGTGGCAGCCATCTTGATTGTATATTCAAACACATTGTCATCAGCCAAAAATTCATCGCAGATTTGTTTTGCAAGAGCAATCAAACCTCGAGCTTCTGCAGCTTTGGCTCGAAGTTTTGGACTTGAACTGGCTTTCTTTCTGATCATGAGGACTGTCAAAGTAGGAAGCCCGTTTTCCACACCTTCAGTCTTGTAGTAGCTTTGAATTCTGTGGAACAAGCTTTTCACCCTTTCTTTGACATTGTTGCCAGGCAAGTGATTTCCAGAGGCAATTAAATGGTGAAAAACATTGCCCATAAAATCTGCTGCCACGCCCAAGTCCACAATGTGAAGCCAGTCCAAAAGAAATTGTTTGCTTGTCAGTCCTGGTGTTTGAAACAATTCATTGATGTCAATGCCAGAATTGGAAATGGATTGCAACAAAGTGAAATGGTCCAAAGGATCAAATGCCTTGCAGCTTTCAAAGTTTCGAATTTCAATTGGTTTGCACAAGCACAAATGGCAGCATCCTTGTTTGTCTCGCCATCCAGGAAATTGGAAAACTTCTTTTCTCATAGCCCAATCACCTCTCACTTCAAGTAAAAAAGCAGTGAAAGGCAATGCCTTGCCATTGAATGTGCTTCGTTTTTTGTCGCCTGGGTGCCAAAAGCTGCCATCATGCCTTGCTGAAGGCCAAGTGCAATTGGCTAAGTGAATAAAAGACCAAGACAAAATTCCTAACATCTTCGACAAAGTTACTCCCTTGATGCACCAGTGCTTTGGAATACAGCACAAAGGGATTCGCAAAGTACCATTAGGTGGAAGTAAGCCAGGAAAATTCAATGAGATGCATTCCAAAGTTTGACTTCTGTCATAATTGTAAGGTGTGCCATCGATCCAAAGGCCAAGTCCTATGGCTTCTCGAACTTGGAACTGCATTTGCATGTTCGCCAAATGTTTTTTGCTGAGTTCACACATGCCACCAGTCTGCAGCAAGTCTTTCTTCTCAGAGCGCTTCGAGAAGACAAAATGAATCTCATGTGGCAAAAGAAAAGGTATCTTCTTCATCTCTTCTGCTTGTGTTTCAGGATTGTAGCAAGGGATCAATGCAATGTATTCATTGAACCACAGGCAGTTCTTCAACATTTTTCTTTTCATATCCCTTGCCAAATTCTTTTCCCAATTGGCTTGCTTCTCACCACTGCCAGATTTCTCTGCACCTTTGACCAAATCTTTCACACCAGCGGCTCCAGCTATTTGTGCATCTTTCATGAGCTCATTGGCTCTTCTAGCAGAGACAGTCTTGGTCAAAAACAAATTGGACACATTGTGTCGAAACCTCTTCTGGTCAGGTTCCCTAAGGGTAGACAAATCTACCTTTCTCTTGTGAAACATGGCTTGAGCTGGAAAAACATGTCAACATAAAAGTTCATAAGATCTCAGAAGACAAGAAGTTACACATTGTATTTAGTTAATGCTAAATTTGGCCAATGCTTTGAAACAGGGAAACAGTAAAGGAGATCTTACACCTCCTTGAGTCTTGTACACCAGCTTAGAAGCAGGCTCTTTTTCCAGCGACAGTTACCAGCTGCGCATCTTCCAAGCAGATCCCTGCGATATTTTAATCTGCATTTCCACATTCCAAAACTGACAACTGCACCAAATGCGCTTTCCAAAATCTAAGGGCCAAACAGCTCCTACAGCAATGCCTGGTGAGTTTTCACCTTGGCTTTTGCTTCTTGCAGCTTCTCTTGGCTGGAAGCAAGCCATGCTTTGGCAGCAGGCAATGATTTCGAAAGGCTTTCAGGAGAAGTGTCCTCAGGAGCAAGATCTTCACTGGCTGCGACATAGGATCGAAGGTTGGCAATGGCTTTCAACTGCTCTTGACACCAAGTCTGAAGACCTTTGCCTTTGGCATGGAAGCTTGGGTCACCTTTGATTTCCAAACGACAGGCCAGGTCCTGGGCCTTGGCAAGCCCCTTCTCCCAGGCATTCTTGCAGGAATTCAGACTGTTGCACACATTCTGAAACTCCTTCAAAGGCTTACTGACCCCCTTGTCATCCAAAGCCTGGCCTGAGATCTGCTTGTCCATTGGGTTCACAAATTTCTTCTCAATGGTGGCCAGTGGCTGCTTCCTCCATGGAGGCAGTTCCTTTGGAGGTTCCATTGAACCTTTCACTGAAAACTGAAAAGTGTAATGATGAAGTAAGTTGTGATGTCTATGAATCTCCAGTTCCAAATCCGATGGTTTCTATCTTGGATCCAAAGTGATTTTTATTGGAGGTTAAAATTGGTTAAAATTAAAATTGCCAATTTTAATTTTAACCTATCCTGCCTTTAAAAGTAATACATAAACTGGTTAAAATTAAAATTGGCAATTTTAATTTTAACCAATTTTAACCTCCTTATTTTTCCAATTTGAAACCTTTACAGTCATCATGCATGACCTGAGTGAATTGTATCCAGAGTTGCCAAGAGCCACTCAAACAAAGGAAATGGATGGGCATCAGCTTCGGCCAAGGAGATCTTGCACCTCCTTTTTGATTCCAGTATTGGACACTAGTGCAATGATTGTGATACCTCAGGTTCAGATCATCAGCTCTCATCATCATTCCAAAGCTGATCATGTGCATCCATCAAGGCTTCAAAAATGATTCTACAGGTCCATCACAACTACATTGATCAATATGACTCGACAGCTTCAGCCATGCAGAAATGCTCATATCACAGATATCATGTTTTACTTAAATTTAAATTTAGTTTATCAAGGAGATCTGGCACCTCCTTAAAGATTCGCTTGCGCCCATAATCTCCAATCATTTTTCCAGGGAAGCTCAATTGACTCAATCTACATTTGAATCCTCATCCTCTTTTGATTTTTCGGCTTGCTCTCCAGCATCAATAGGTGATGTAGGAGAATATGGGGTTACAGCAGGACCTGATCAGGAGGCATGATGATGAACATAATGCACAGTGCATGGTTGACATGAGATGCTTTCAAATCCACAGTCACAGAAAACTCCAGCCTGTGTAGATCATTCCTTCATCCAGGAAATGTTCTCAAGTAGCTTGTAGAAGGCGAGGTGGCAGGCGCTGGGGTACTTGGAGGGGGCATTGGAAGGGGCATTGGAGAAGCACCTGGAGGGTCATGAGAACTTGGAGGGGCACCTGGAATAGGTGCTGGAGGAGGTGTATTTGGAGGTGGTAAAGGTTGCGATTGGGCATTGACATGAGGTGTCAATGCCTGGATCACCTGGTTTTGTAGCCTGATCAGCTCCAAAACACGGTCAATCTCCTCATCTCCAGGCCTCCTGCGAGAGGAACTTGATTGTCCAGCTCCCATAGCAACAGCAAGAAAAAAAATCGAGCACTGAAACAGGAGCTAGAAAGCCAAAGCAGCTTCAGTTGCAAAATCCATTCTCAACACTGCAATTGCCATGCCAAACAATTTCAACATTCCAAATTCCAGACAAAACTTCTCAAATCCAGAATTCCAACCCAACATTAAACATTAAAACCACATCCTATGAAAGTCTATAAGCCATTTTTGAAATCCACCCAGGCAGTAAACTCTGAAGTTCCAAATGTCAGGAGATCTTGCACCTCCTTAAGACAGAAAAGTGGAAAGACTATTTCCTATTTTCCTATTGAGAACTCTCAGGAGATTTTACACCTCCTTGAAACATGCAACAGAAATCAGCAGCCATTTTTTTGCAATTTCATCCAATCTAATCCACATCCTGTCCAACCTTCCACTTTCGAATTTCCTCATTCAAAAATTCAATCACAGATTGTTCGGTAGCACCATTGTGCAAATCAGCAGTGCATTTCTGGGCCAAATCCAAGCCAACTTCTCTTGAAATTTTGTTCAAAGTGAAAGATTTGTTTTGTTTCTTGTCTCCAAAATTTCGTCTGACACCTAAAGCACCATACTTTCGACTGCCTTTGGCAGGATAATCTTCCAAGCGATATTCAGGAGATGCCAAGTCAACAGCAGCAGGTTCAGGATCAGCCACTGCAACAGCCGGCCGAGCTTCAACATCCTCTTCTTCAGAAGTGCCAAGTACTGCTTCACATGCAGCACGCTTTTTCAAGATTGCAGCAGGCCTTTCAAGACTGCAGCAGGCCTTTTCAAGACTGCAGCAGGCCTTTTCAAGACTGCAGCAGGCTTTTTCCCACCTGCAGATTGCCTATAGATCTTCAAAGATTCATTGGGAATTTCAGATTCAAATTTGTTTTCACCAAAAGCAGCAATGGCGAAGCCATTTGGTCCTTCACTCATAGTAGCTTTCTCCACCTTGCTATCCACAAAGCGACATACCACCATGGCAGTAGAATCGATCCAGGTTCCAACACTCACAGGCTTCTTAGGACTCGCTTGGCTCTCTTCACTCGACACTTCTATCAATTGATGCTCTTGGCTATCCAATGTTTCTGAGCTGTGGCCTGGAGGAAGTTTTTGCAAAAGTGGTTCATTCACAGGCAACTGTGGGATGGAGCTCGCATTGGAACTTTGTCTCATGAGCCTTCGCTTGGCAATGGCTTTCTGAACAAACTTGCCTTTCTGCCGGTTCCCATGGAATTCTGAGCACTCCAGATAGATCTTCACAAGCTTACCCATCCAAGGCTCATATTTCTTACTTGAAATTGACCATTTTGTTTTTGTTCTGATGTGTTGCACACATTCGACAATTGCAGAAGACCACTTCTTCGCTTCGTCACTCAAAGTGCGAGGGTTGACTTTCAAGGCAGCTTCCTTCAAGCAGTCTTTGGATGGTCGAATTGTTTTCTGGAACATCAAGCCCAGAAATTTTCGATAATGCTTGCAAACTTGATCAATTTCAACATCCAAGTACTCCTTGGGATCCAAACAAGCCACCTCTGCTTTCAAACATGTGCAAAGGTCTTGAACAGAAGCAGTGTTCTTAGCTCTATTCATCTTGAGAAATCAACTGCAGATGCGATGCAGAAACAGTACATGCAGGAAATCAAAACACCAAAAGGAGATCTTGCATCTCCTTGAAGCAACCTCCAAAGGTTGGTCTTGATGCAATGATGATGTCAAAGATGTATCTAAAAACAGTGAAAAAAATCCTCCTTAAAAAAAGATTAAGGAGGAATTTTCAAAAAAAAACACCTTAATTAAGGAGAATTCCTCCTTAATTAAGGTGGAATTCCTTAATTAAGGAAAAATTCCTCCTTAATTAAGGGAATTCCTCCTTAATTAAGGTGGAATTCCTTAAAAAAAACTCCTTAAATTAAATAAGGAGGAATGGAAGTTCTGGGGATCCTCAGAAAATTCTGAGGATCCTCAGAAAATTCTGGGGATGACGACCCTCAGAAAATTCTGAGGATGACGATCCTCAGAAAATTCTGAGGATCCTCAGAAAATTCTGAGGATGACGATCCTCAGAAAATTCTGAGGATCCGCAGAAAATTCTGAGGATGACGATCCTCAGAAAATTCTGAGGATCCTCAGAAAATTCTGAGGATGACGATCCTCAGAAAATTCTGAGGATGAGGACCCTCAGAAATTTCTCAGCATAAGGATCTTCAGAAAATTCTGAGGATGACGATCCTCAGAAAATTCTGAGGTTCCTCAGAAAATTCTGAGGATGAGGATCCTCAGAAAATTCTGAGGATCTTCAAAGAGTCTGAGGATGAGGATCCTCAAAAAAAGCTGATGATTCCTCAGGAAAATCTGAAGGCTCCTCCGAAAATTTTGAGGGTTCCTCAGTAAATTTGGAGGAATCTCCAGAATTGTTTGTTTGGTAACCATCAAAAAATTCTGATATATATATATATATGAAATTATGCTAATCAAGGATCAGTTTTAGTTGCAACACATCAGCTACAAAGTCCGAGGATATTTTGTAGCTGATATTTTCAGCGCAAATTGCGACTGTTTTCTGCGGATATCACCAGCATCTCATCATAACCTTTCTAAGGATATCATCGGAATTATCATCAGAAGTTTGTGAGGATTATCGGACCTGTCTAAGGATATCATCAGAATGGACTCATCAAAATTTCAGCAGAAATTTAGCACGTTACCAGCCATAAACTCTGGGGATATCATCAGGATTTCCTGATACCAGCCCAGAGGATCAGCATATAGTTTCTCATCAGGATGTCACATGATATCATATCACCAAAGTTTTCGGAGGATAACATCAGAATTTTACTATAGGGACCGTTGTTTTTCAAAATTTGAGAGCGGCAACGCTTCAAACCGTTTGGCTTTGAAAGATTGGGGCGGTTGTCCTCAGACTTGTTTGTTCGTTATTGGTGCCCGCATGCCAACATGAATATGTTGTTTCTTCATGAAGCGTTTGTTCGTTTGACTTTCCGGGATAATGATAATAACATTTAGTTGTGAGAATGCTGCTCAGGATCATCCAGCGGATAAGATGCTCAGGATCATCCAGCCGAGAAGCATGCTATAATGAGATTCCATTGCAACAAAAATAAAACTTAAATGACTATATCAACGCAGATTGGCATATAGGAAAGTGAATATTTTTGTGGTTCCGTCACTTCCAAACAGGCGATATGCAAATTTACAGTCTAATTTGTCAAAAAGGAAAACAGCAAATGTTGTTTTTCACTCTCCAAGCACTCAAAACGCATATAGCGCAATCATTATCAGAAAATTGAATAAACCTTAAGCTCAGGAATGGCAAGATCTGACAATGTTTGCGGGTTGAATGTCCGGGCAAGGTCCTGCACATACCACCGGGAAAACCACTTGCTCAATATGCGTTTTCAACTTAGAATCATCGAAAATTAAGCGCAAAAACCTTCCATTTTGAGCTTTCATGTAGTCAAAACGCTTATTGAGGGTCCACCCTCAGAATATTCGCTAAAATTAGGGTTCACGAAATTCCTTAATATATACCCTGATTCCTAGATCAAAACGTGAGAATAACTCCTATCAAACGACTTAGGGGATCAAAAGGCAACTTGTTCAAACACCAAGAACTGTGATCCTAACGTGATTCTGTGATACAGTTTCGGGACAAGCGACCGTCCAATTAAAGCAATGCTCTAAGCTACCATGAAACGCCATAGGTTGCCATGGTTCTGCACCTTTATGTTTGTTGTTGGGAAAACTTACTAGCTTTCTGAATAGAGAAATGATATGACCAAATCAAAAAAAATGTAACTGATTTCCAAAAGGGCAAAGGCACCTAAAGCTACAGAGCGGCCCCAGTCGAGTTTGAGGCCCAGGGCTGTCTCCAGACCATTTTGGATGTCCAAGGATCTGGCCTGAACGAAACCCAACACGCGGATTGGCCCGATTGAAAATTCAAAACATAAGTGGGTGAACTTTCAAGGAACCTAGGCAGCACGGGCCCATTCTCATCGATTTTTGACGTCACTTTTCATTCGATCTGGGCAAATTAGATCAAATTATATTATGGTTATTTGCCAAACTATTGAGGTCTATCGTGTACATGCTTTATCTCAGCATACGCCATGATACGCCATGATGAAACAATGACCCACACTGTAGCGTGGCAGCTTGGTAGGCCGATCAATATGTTGGGCGGCGCCTTCTCAGTCTGCGCGTGCCAAAATGCGAAGGACGGCAGCGTCTCTCCAAGTAATGTCTTTCCAAAGGTGCTGTCACCATAGGCCACGTAGCTGTTGTCGTCCAAGCGGCAGCTGATGCGAAGGAAACGCAATCCACTGCCTGGCGTGGGGATGTGGCTTGATGTCGCATGGCTATGGCTTGATGTTCTCTATACGGCGGTTGATCTAAATTCCTTTATCTGTTTTTTTCCGCGAATCTTTCGCGAACTCCATGTTGATCTTTTGCGGAACCCATGTTAAGCAACAACTCCTCTTATCAAGATTCGTTCATCACTTGCCAAGTCACACCATATTATCACGGATCACTTCTTCATCGCCTTGTAAACATGCAGCTGGCATCACGGAATCCCCTTTTCAGGACAGGTTGTTGCTGATTAGGCAATTTTTCTGAAAGGCTTACTGGGCCCACTCCTTCGCAGAACTTTCGCGGAACTTTCGCGAAAATACCCCTATCCGCAGACCCCAGCCATCAGCAGGGGGGCGCATCAGAGGAAAAAGCAAACACCAGGCACCTTGGCGTTTGGCTCTCGCAAAGCCTCACTTTTGGAAGCTTGCCTGCTGCATTTGGAGCTTGTTTCTTGAGACTTCAGAAAGCAACGTTAGGCAGTACCAGCGGCAGGTGCAAGGATGTGTTTGAGGACCATGGTATTTGGCTGTGGCGAAGCCTCACCTTCGGAAGCTTGGCTGCTACCTATGCAGGGAAAGGTAAATGCAGGAGGTGGTAGCCCTTAACAAGCTGTAATGTATACAATAAACATCATTCATCATCTCCAACTTTTGCGAAACTTTCGCGAATAAAAAAATCTGTCGCGAACTCGCAAAAAAACTTTCGCGAGGGTTCCCAGCACAACATGAACGGTCTTCGCAGCTCAAACTCTTTACAAGGACCTTTAGATCGATCACCATATGAACAATCGAAAACATATAAGAAAAACAATGTTGTTTTCAAAGACGTGGCAAATATGTTGTCATGGTTGTTGTCGTTGACGTTTGCTGTCGTTGTTGTTAGCATCCCAGCGAACATAAGAAGTTACTGCGCAGTGGCGCCCCAGGGAACCCTAATCAGCTCGGCTAGCTACAAGCAATATCAAAAACATGCTCGAAGATTCTTGCATACACTTGAAGACGTTAATAGTGCGATTCCACTGTGATTCCTGCACTCCGCTGTTCCCAGCTTCAAAACTGGCTGTCAAATTCATCATTATACCAATATTTAATCGTATGTTATCGACTTATCGCAATAGAACACTGGATGTTTTCTTCCCTGCCAGCATCCGATATTCAAAAAGACTGGTCTCCTGTGGAGACCGGAGCACCAAAGGCATCAATGCCACAATCGAAAATGTCTGGAACCTCGCTGTCAGTGTGCAGTGGGCTGGTTGATCTGGTTGTATCTGGCTATAGGATGTTATAATATGTTATAGCGATACTGCTGGTGTCTCCATATTTTGCCAAGAAACAACATACATTCAACAGGGTTTACTTATTTTTAATGCGGACGCGTTTGCCGAACATTACCCTGACATCCCCAGTCAGCATCCCCAGGGCATCCTCAGTCAGCAAAAAAACATCCCCCATAGGATGCCGCGACGCCACATGACCATTATTCACCTGTGCTTCCAGCACTCCCTATGTGTTGTGCACCGGGCAGCCTTTGTGAGTCCCTCTTTCCGAAAGATCTCAGTAGCTTTCCTGCGATGGCGGAGTCCATGGACAAGTTGTGATGAGCAAATCATTGGAACCCCAGAAGAAACACATGTTCTGATAGCCTTAGAAACAAGATTGCTGAGGGGATCGTAGCATATTCATGCATGCCTTCTGCTCATGCCTTCTGTGAAATGAAAAGCCATGCTTTTCGGACCTGGCAAGGTCTTTCCGATGTGGAGATCTCATGTCTCTATGATGTCTGCTTCCACAATCATCCATTGCTTATTTACTGCGTTCCTAGGCTCAGAACATAATTGAAATAAGGTTCTCTGATTATTTAACGCAGCTATGGAAAATCATCATTTCTAATCGGTAAATCATACATCAATTATTCGACCTATTCCTCTGGGCCACTTTCCAATTCCACAGCTAAGATTTTCCAGGAAATCGACCCCCATGGCCTGAGAACATCAGTCTTCACATTCTCAAGCAGCAAGCTGCGACAACAACGGCAGCAAGCAGCATAGGCTTCGAGCACATCCTACGGTGCCGAGATGTGCTGAGGGCCATCCCCGTCGCTTGGCCTTGCCAATTCCTATACACTGGCCCTTCCGAATCCTTCCCCAAACTAACCTCTGCTAACCGTTGCAAATGGTGCTCAGTGGCATATTCCATCCCTTCCAGCCGTTCCGGCCCGTGCCACACCTTCATCTTTGTATCAAACGGTGTCATAAGGCCATAGGTTCTTGTCATGGCCACACCTGTCATTGGATCCACTGCCTGTGCGGGGGTCGAGCTCCCAACCCTCATAGCATGTCGTTGTCTCATCATGTCTCATCCACATACCTAGATTGACCTGGCAGGGATCACCCAATTCCTGGCAACATCTTCAAGTCATATTCTGTACACGATTAGAATGATTAGATAATTCTTTCAGACTGATGTCTTACTGAAACTGCCTATATAGGTGTCTCCCGAGCTGTGCTTCCAACATCGCCGAAACATTCACTTGTGTGACGAAGTGACAAAACTTGGACCAGTTATCAACCAAAAGGTTTTCGAACCTGATTGATAACTTGGTATAAGAACCATGTTTTCAACCCTGGTTTTTCAAGTTTTCAGTGCCAAATATCATCAACACTGAAATGGAATACTCACTGAAATGGAATACTCTGTTTTATCGGTGCAAGTGAGCCAGATTTCTTCAGTCATCCCTGGGGTCCCTGGGGTCCCTGGGGTCCCTTGGGGTCCGTGGGGTCCCTTGGATCCCTTGGGGTCCCTGGGGTCCCTGGGGTCCTGGGGTGTTTCCACCTCCCACAGCATGTGCCTCCCAAATCATTTGTCTTGCATCAGCTTCATCCACAGCTATCGTCTCTCCAGGGATTTCATCTTTGAGAATCCTGAGATCACCGAACTTCTAAGCATTTCTGGGCTATGGATGGCTATGGGACTCACATGCAACTCATATTGACATATGTATATAATATATATATACACATATTAATTATGAAATTGTAACATCAATATCTTTCGGACATGTTCCGTCGACTTCTTCTTTTGGATGTAAATTTCTGCTCTTGACACAACCGTTGAGGTTTCCCAACCATTTTTTGTCTTCGAAAAAAGACTCAAGGGCCAAATGTCAAGAATGTAGACCTGGCGAATGTCATTGATACCTACAGATATGAGTGGCGGACAAAATTAATTGTTCCCCAAAATTCCCAAAGGTAAGACTGGGTCGTCCCTTATCGGTTGTCAAGCTTTTCGTTTTTCAAAACATCCAGTAGGCAGAAGAAGTAGTAGTAGTAGTAGTAGTACATGGGGCATGGTCTCGGCAAGTGAGAATAATTGTAAACATGGGTAGCCGTTGGTATCGGTTGGGGACTCGGTGAGAATGGTGCATGAATGGCCGCAAACAATATGCTTGGTGCTCTCCAAGAGAAAGCTAGCTGAGGTAGCTGTTTACAGCCCTGTTTGTAGCCGCTGCTGTAGCAATAAACTCCCTACCGCAGATTCTTGTGGGAACATGTCGTATCGGTGCTGGGTCGTCCCCGATCGGTTGTGAAAAGGTTTCGTGAAGACATGAAAAGTTCAAGGCAGCTCCCTTCTGCTTTCAAATGCTAATATTTTTTTCACAAGTTCACAGTATCGGAGAAATTCCGTTCTTGTTTCAAACTTCAAGGCTTCACGAATCAATCCTCGTAGTCATCGTCTTCATCCTCATCAGTCCCAATGCTCTTCAAAAGGACACGCTTGTTCTCATCCAACTGCTCCACGCACTCGCTGACAATTGACTCAACGAGCTGCTCGTCCACCAGGAGGTCTTTCTTTGATGTTTCCACACGTTCCCAAGATGGTCGAGCCACTTTTGCCCCAATCCTCGCGCTAAGGGCGATGAGGGGCTCTATACCATTCCTGCTAAACACCTGAGCACCATCGACTCCTTTGACACGCGCCAATGCCAACTCTCTTGGATTCTTCTTGTACTTAGCTGCAAAGGCTTTGATAGATCGCCAGTAGATCATACATGGCTCGAGCTGCCGAATTCCCTCGATGAGAGGAAACATCGACAAGACAAGATCTGTTATCACAAACCAGCTTGAGCTGTTGTAGGCAAGAAGAGGGATCAGCTGTTGACATGCCACCCTGAGTGCTGCCACTGGGCTGTGCTGTAGCAGATCAGCCCAGTTGATCAATGGGGCTCTTGATGCAGCATCTCGGTTGAATGTCTCGTACAACTCCTTGCTCACTGCCGCAGCTGGGTTCAGATAGTCATTCAACGACTCCGACGGCTCATTGGCCATCTCAGAGCCAAGCTGAGGGCATCTCAACTTAAGGCATGCCGCCCTTTCACGAGCTTTATGATAGGCATCGTGTGCAGACATGTTCACCGGCTTTACCAGCTGAAGCACACTGCATGCGAAGACCTGGGCAACTTGGTCAGTAGTTACCTCGCGGTACAAGACCTTTTCAAACATAGCCATGACAGAGTCTATTGACTCTTGCGGGAGTCGTTCAAAGAATGGTGCAGCTGACAGGTAATGCGCAGTAGGGCGGGCAGTTAAGAGTGGTGCCGTTGCGGTCCCATCAAAGAGCCTTGAAGCGTGACGTGGGCGAAACAAACTCAAAAGAGCAGTAGCGATGTGCCCAGGAGTGTCCATGGCAGCTGCAATCCCAGCAGCCCAGCGCTGATCCACTGTGTACACCGTATAGTTCCCAGGAAGCAGATCAAGACATCTATTCATGCTTTCGAGATCCATGCCTGATGCCGCAGCCATTCCTGCCATGGCTAGTGAGATCGTGTTTGCGTACCCAAGTGAAGGGACCATGTCACCAGTGTCGAGTTGGAGGAGTGGTTGGAAGAAGAACCGGTATGTTTGCCAAAGCACAGTGAGCCCAAGACGTATGTGCATTGACTCCACAGAGTCCCCTTGGATGTATGGGATAAGGAACTCAGGATTGTACCCTGGTGCAGCATTGGAGAGCGAATTTGCTCGAGCAACTCCTACCATGGTGCCTGCTGTGCCACTCTGAAGTCGGTAACCAGCAGAAGGTCCTGCAGACTGAAGCTGCTTGTGAAAGCGGTTTGCACGGGTGATATCATGGTTGGTCAATGCCTCTTCGAAGGTGGTTACTTGTGTCTTCTTCATGCTCACCCGGAAGTCCTGGTCATCTTGGTCGTCATCTGACCCAGGAACTTGTGACGCCTTCTTCTTTGCCTGAGCCTTAGCCAACCTTGCTTTTGCATGTGCAAGTAGTGGCATCGCTTGGTGACAACTGATCAAAATCACACGTGATTTCGTGAAGTACCTTGAGCCAAAATGGCTACGGATACTCATAGGTGTCTATCTCTTAAAGCCAAAACAAATCAGGATTATATTATATATATAATTGTGATTCATTGTGCATGTCAAAACGGAAAAGCATAACTTATTCCATGCTCAAACGGCCAACACAATCCCCTAGGAAAACGCCAGGAAGTTATCGCTGGCAAAACCAGCAAGACAATGTTTTTTCAAAGCTTTCTTCGACCTCCAAAGTGTTCCAAACCCTCATTGAAGTTGGTTTGATGTATTTTGATGTCAGATCTAAGATGCACATTTGTTTTTTCATCCATGTTTTCATCAATATCAATATATCCATGATAAAATCGCAAAACGCCAAGCTTCTGTTGTGTCTGCTTCCCCACCAGCAGCCTTGGGCATGGACTGATCCCGCAGTTCACCTCATCATCGAGGCGTCCGTAGATGAAGTAATCCACGATGGGCGCAGCAGCCAAGGCTTCCTCTCCTATGCCCGACCGGCACCATAGCGATATGGCTAGGAATGCTCTCATATCTGTGACTCATTTTAGGGTATAACATCGTATCAATAGATGTGTATATATATATATATACACATAATTACACATACATATGACATATGGATCATATTTAGCCATAGACTAAAACAGTTGGTCTATGGATGAGAAAGATTAGGAGATTCTGCAGAACATGTGCGAGGCCTTTGGTTTTCGAAATAACTTGGTAGGCAGAGCCCTGGGAACATCTGCAGATTGTCAGTGCACTCAGTCATTGGCCCAGTCATGGGCTTTTTTTATCTGAAAGAACCATGACATGAACCATTTGAAAGGTATTTGAAAGGTGTGCTTACCGCGACTATCAAGAACTAGAGAGACACTATTAAAACATCACCCAAAGATCAGTGATTTTCAACGATTTGCTGTCTGTTACCTCAACAGAACAACACAAAACGCTTGTCATTCTCTGGGAATCTGATGCAAATCCTGCTACGAGCGTGTCTCTCATGGTTCATGCTCACGGCGCCATAGGAGGTTCTTCCAATTCAAATTACGGAGAAATTCCTGAGAAAGCAAAGATATCTAAGGCAAAAACACTATTATCACAGCCTGAAAATCTAAGATATCTAAGCATGATCTAAGCATTGACCGAAAAATCGTCACGACTTGCGGTACTTTTCTTCAGGATGTTCCGGGCCACCTAATCACGAGACAAGGCTCTGCTGTGTTGATCATGGAAGAGCACAGCATCCTCGGCACAGCTGTCGTCCCTTTGACTGGCGGATACTGGCGGCTTCAGGACGGATTTCCCATGGATTGTGATTGATAATCCCCAATTAATTGTGGATAGATGTGGATAGTTGGGTTATACTATCAATATTGGATTATTATCAAGGTGGATAATATTGGATAGTATATTAAATCAACATTGGATATAATCATATTATTATCTGGATATATTGGTGGATAACCCCAGAATACCCCAGATCATAATCGCCCAACAGGGGTGTTGAAGAGTAACTGCAACATCCGCAACACACAGGTTATCCCCGAGGCTCTGCTAGGACCTGTTCAAGCTACTTGAACGATCTTGATTGTGGCAAATCAAAACGCGGCAGCGTGAGGCTGTGCAATGTGGTCTAACTTCTGATTCGACCTCAAACAGGGTGTAAATGGATAGCAGTATAATGTGTATATACACATAAGACACTTCACGTATATATATAATATATAATATATATAATATATATATATATATATTGATATAAAGACCAAGAACCACAGGATCACATCCCTTTGCGATGGTTTGAACACAAACACGTTTTATTTCTGTTCAGGCTCTTTTTTTTGTTGACTCAGTGCCCTTTCTCCAAGCTTCTGCCCAAGCCTTTTGCAGCTTTGGCATGGTCTGCTTCGCCCAAGACCTTAGGAGGATCCCAATGGACCTAAGTTTCACTTCAAGGCTACGGGCTACGGGCCAAGGTGCATAGTGGCATAGTAAGCTGGGAGGCGGCTGTTACCACAACTCCAACTTGGATTTCATGGGATGTCTGTGTCCACTCCCACCTGTCGGATCCCATCGGAACTGCATCGACTGTATTGGAATTTCATAGCTAATCGTCAGTGTGGGGACCTGTATCCGCTGCCTAAGGGACGTCATGTAATGATAAAATGTTGTAGAGACCAGGAAACAGGAAGCTGAAACACTCACTGTTTTAGGCTACGGCTCTAGTGGTGTACACACACATAGCTGATGCGTCCTGATGCTGGGGGGAAGCCCAGAAGTAATGCCGTGGCCGGGTTGTTGTTGGCGATTTGAGACTGGCAAGAAATTGTCGCAGCTGTGATGACTGTGCCCCTGAAAACCAATAAGGGCACAAGAAGCCCAATTTTTTTGGCAACTTCCTACGAAATGCGCACTTTGATATTTCGCCATATACTAAAAAAACAGGTCACCAAGTTCTTTAATCCGAAAATCGAGGTGAATTTCAAGGTGATGGATTCTGAAATGCTAAAACCCAAGGTGTCAGATCTGCCCTTCGATGTTTTCCATGGGGATTCCCTCCGGGTTTTTCCCATTGTTTTTCCGAGGCTCACAGCAGTAGTATCCCAAAAGCTGAAAATCTCAGCGAGTTTGGGTTCCAAATTCACCAGCTGACGGTTCAGGGTCATAAAACCCATCCCGAACCTTAGTGTTGGGAGTTGGTCAGTGCTGAGCCATGTATTCAATAGCCCGTTTTCCTATTCTCATCTATTCTCCTATCCCATGAAATATGGCTGGGTAGCCATTAGCAATCAACAGAGATATTCTTCATGGCTCTATTCAGTACACAGATGATCAACATGACATGACAAATCAGAGGAGACCTTCTGCATAAAGCCTGTCAACTGATGGCACCTGAGGGTTGGAAGACTGTTTCCACTAGGCATCATCAGGTTTCCAAAAGTGTCAGCCATGATGAGTTTTTAACTATTTGCACACATGATCTGTATACTTATACTGCTTGGACTTGTCATGATCATTTTTAGTGGTGACCCACTGCTTATGCTGCTGACTGTTTCATTCTCCTCGTATTCCCGATGATCCTACTCGGCCAAGCCCTGTCCGAATCTCTTAACGGGAGAGGATACGCAATCATTGTATGGCTTCAATTGTAGACCCTTCAGAACCCTCCCATCCACTCGCAAACACACATATATGGATCTGTGTTTCGTCGAGGTCGAGCCACTCATCATAACCGAAGGCTTGTACCACAGGCCACTTCTCAACAGTCATCTTTAGGTCCTCATCAACGGTGGCAATTTGGACATCCCACATATACATGAAGACTATTTTTTATGGCAAAATCATCTCAATATTTTGTGTGAATTGTCCGTTGCCACGTTTGAGTACAGGGTACAATGAACATCATCATGAATATCCCATTCATCATGATTAATCATGATTATATAATCGTGATTTATAATGATTAATCACTATCGTTAATCACCATTAACCACCATTAACCATAATTTGGGTAAATTACCAAAGGCAACAACTTGGTGTAACTCGGCCCTGCTACTTGACTCGGCCTGAGAGAGTTCGTTCTGGCCGACAAAGACGCCCAACTTTTGACAGTCCTGCGAAGCAGCCAATCGAATTGTGCAATATACAATTAACTATATAATATATATATAGAGAGATAATATAATATATAATAATATATAATTATAATATATAATATATAATATATAATATATAATATACAAAATCCCCATATATAATCCCTATATAATAATATTTAATATATAATATATATAATAATAATAATAATAACAATAATAATATATAATAATAATATAATAATAATAATAAAAACAAAAAATAAAATAATAATAATAATACGTATATATATATATAAGAATAATGTATTATATAAGTCGACTAATCGATTCGTATGTATATATAATCCCATAAAATTCCCTCGTAATATTACCTGGAACCTGGGAGGTGCCATTTAATAAGGACACCCCTAGGTTCAAAGGGCCCCGGGTCCCACAAAAGCCAAAACCATTCCATGGCATACCAAAAAATAATGTAAGCAGTTGAAGGACCATCATTTTATAAAACATATCAAAAAGATAGTAATAAGGTGACCCATTGCATAATTCCCTAAAAAATGTTTAGAATTTTAGTATGAAATGGAAGTCACAAGGAAACCACCAAACGTGGTCCTTATTTTTTCAGGGCGGGTCTTATACAGACACCCGGGCTGTTAAATTCTAGAAGGGATATTACGAGGGTGATTATTAATATGTATATAGTGGGGCCACGTGGTGCTTTTAGTAGCTTACAATGCTTGGAATGCTGGGGTGAATGATGTCGTTGCAAAACTAACCACCTTTCACCTTTGAGCAAACATGCTCAAAATATCTCGAATGATCAAAAGATTCTTAACTCAGCTGGACAAACTCATTCGATACCCAACGTAACATCCAACCTCAAACAATGCCGGTTTGTATCGTTTTGTCAGTTCTTTGTTTTCTACATGGGGCATATCCCTCTGCCATGCTAAATACGTAAACTTGAATTCCAGCCCAAGCATGAGCAAAACACAACATGAAACAAAAACGCTGGTTCTACCCAACTTGAAATCTGGCAAAATCAGCACGGACGATGGTCTCTGCAGATGTCCAAAAACGTCAACATAGTTTCCCGGCGAAGATTCTACAATTCTCCACAGCATGAACGGAACAACTATTCCAGAATCTTCACCTATCCAGTTCAGGTTTTCATGAGGGGTACATGGGTTTTTTTCAAATGAAGGATCCCCAAGTCACCATGGGTTTCAATATGTTTCAATAGAAAAATGATGCAAAAATGGTCTAATGACTGGATGATTTGCTCCCATGACTTAGGCACCCCAACCTTCACCATCTCGATGAAGGTTCCGATCCTTGGAGGAGTAGTTGGATTTACAGCCTCTCTGGAGGTCCGTTTCTATATGTTTCCCTCTGGTAATTTAACATAGCTATTGAACATGGCCCATTTATAGTTGATTTATCTATTAAAAATGGTGATTTTTCATAGTTATGTTAGTTTACCAGAGGGTAATCATCGCATGATGTGACTAGAACGGCTATAGACATGGCTTTTGCGTCGGATGAATGCCAAACTCTTGGTAGAGGCGAGTCTCACATGTGATTGATGCTTCCATTGAATCTCTCTCTCTCTCTCTCTCTCTGTCTCTCTCTATGTATGTATACATATATATATATACATATGGACATAGCGTTAAATCATATCTATTGATATCTATTGATATCTATTATCCACAATACAAACACAAAGTCGCACAGGTGACAGGCGCAACTTGCTGCAAGCTCTGAACATATCATTCCTCCAACCTCCAACCGTCCTCTCCTCCCAGCGTCTTCTTATCTTCGTAGTAGTCCACGTCTGAATCATCTGACGCCACCAGGGAAGTCGCATCCCATCCTCAGTGATCATTGGTAGTGGATGCCTTCCAGCTGTATGCTGTATCACTTTATATTACATATCACAATATATTACATAATATGTACAATATACATCATATTATGATGGATTATTAGCATGGATAATTATGATGTATATGATGTATTAATCTGTACCAGTCTGTAAAGATTATATATAGTTTATTGTTATGTATCATTAATTCTCGTTTTTTTCAGTACCCAAACGGACCCAAGTCCGATGTCAAGCAACTTGCGCTTCGCAACGTGAGATCCTGGAAATCCGCCTGCAAGCTGCGGCTACCCAGGGTGCCAGGCGACTCACCATGTTTTGACACATCGGCCCACGAAAATCCAAGGCCAGTATCGGACACTGAAAAATACCATGTTCGCAAAAAAAAATGTTGCGTGCCATCACTCACAAAAGTCCCTGAAATTTCTGGCATCTTGAATCTTTTTTTACCAAAAACAATCCAAAACAATATGGTTTGGGTTTATCTGAAAATAGGCGACACCCAATTCCAGGGGATTATCATCAGCTTCCTTATGAACATTGTTATTTTTTGGGATATCCCCCATTGTCAGACACACAGCTCTTACATATTTGCATAGCTCAGAGTTCAGGATCCACTGAAAACAAATTTCTTGAGGAACAGCACAACAAAGTATCAAGATGTATCAAGCTTGCACCCTTGCGGAAAGCACCAACAAAAACACCAGAACGGCTGTTTAAATTGCTGTTACATCGTCAAGTCCTGAAAGAGAAATATCATGAAATCGCCTCTCAGGGATATGAAGTTCCGGGCAATTCACCAAATCTTCCAATCGGGGTTATGGTATGTTATGGTTAAGGTTGCATCAGTGGCATCAATCCGAAGTTGTGTCTGGCCTTTTTGCAGAAAATCAAGTTCCGCTCACTCAAGCACACCTCACATCTTCAAAAATGACCAGGTGTCAAACCCTCAGGAGGGTGAACTACAGCAATTGGCCACGTATTCTCCTTCCAACATGATTTTTTCGTCACCTAGTGTGTGACTGTCAAGCAGTTTCACTAACAGTTTTGTGGTAGTCACTGGCTTCCAGTGGATGCCTGTGCGGACCTTACCAAGAGTCACTGGTGCTGGCACTCTATTACATCTGGAGCTCATGCCGCAGAATACAGTGCAGAATGTGCACAGTGAGATGTTCGCATTGCCACAGTGACTATACTATATACATTGCCATCTCGACATCCAGTGAAAGGAAAACAACAAATATTTGAGCCCAAACGATCTTGATATCTGTCAAGTTGCTAGAGATTCCTCGTATCTGCCACTCACAGAGCTCATTGCCTCTCGCCCACTCAAACCCAAAAGAAGCCAGTTAAAGACAGCCTGACGTGACGCGAAGAAAACGGACTGGACCTCTTGCTGTTGGGTAGTTCTGGGGTGCAATATATGCACCCAATAAGTGGGTATGCATGGCCATATTTATTACATTTTTTATTCCAAGTTTTTTGGGTTCTAACCGTGGATACCATGGTTATCTCCAGCTGTACAACCCCAGCGCCAAGGCACAAGTAGCAATTTCGACGATATTGCTATGAGTCAATCAAAACCATTGCCATAACCCATAGCCGCCATAGTCAATTGCCAATACCCGCATACCCTGCATCAAATAGTTGCTAGTTGTATCAGTTATAAGTTATATTAAATACACTTATGTTCATACCGGAAAAGCTAGTGTGGCACATGAAATCTATATCATGATTGAATCAAATTGCACTACGTACCCATTTTGGGTATTGCAAATTTGGTAATCATACCTATGGTACAATCATAGTCACAATGATTATACTTAGGATGAGGGGACTATAATAATAGTAATAATGCAAAATCTCAAAAAATAATAATATAGAAATAATTATATAGTAATTCAAAGTCTAATGACCATATCTATGACTGATAATAACTGACAATAAAAAAACACACAATAATACACAACAGTAAAAAAACTGATAATAACTATTGAGACCCATCCCCGGGCTCCCGATGTTCGCGCCTCATTGGCACGGCTGAAAGAGGCATCTGGGCCGATGGCGATGAGCAAAGCGTCCAGGCCTCACAGGGATACACTGCGATAGAATCATGAATACATATTATATACATATATATATATATATATTTATATTGTATGTAATACACAAATCGCCGACCCCGGCCATCAGCAAGAGGGAGCGCGCCAGAGGAAAAGACCACCAGCACCACCAGCACCAGCACCATCCGAGCACAAGGTCCGTGCTTCAAGGACGCGGCTTTGCGCTGACAGGCTACCTTTTCGGGCGCGCGGGAAGCGAATTTGGACCTAGTTTTTGTACTGTTTCAGAAGGCAGTGTTACTTTTTCGGATGCGCGGGAAAGGGTTCGGAGCCAGTTTTTGTAACGTCGCCGAAGGCACCATGCAGTTTTGTGCTGGCGGGGGCTACTTTTTTGGACGGTCGGCAAGAGGCTTTGGAGCTAGTTTTTGTAACCTTTTAGAAGGCAGCGTTAGGCAGTGGAGGCGGCCATGCAAGGAGCAGGTCCGTCCTTCAGGGACATGCAGTTTTGCGCTGGCGGAGGCTACTTTTTTGGACGCTTGTCAGATGGATTTGAAGCTAGTTTTTGTAAGTTTCAGAAGGCAGCGTTAGGCAGTGGAGGCGGCCATGCAAGGAGCAGGTCCGTCCTTCAGGGAAATGCAGTTTTGCACTGACAGAAGCTACGTTTTTGGACGCTTGGCAGGCCCGTCCTTCAGGGACATGCAGTTTTGCGCTGGCGGAGGCTACTTTTTTGGACGCTTGTCAGATGGATTTGAAGCTAGTTTTTGTAAGTTCAGAAGGCAGCGCTAGGCAGTGGAGGCGGCCATCCAAGCACCAGGTCCGTCCTTCAGGGACATGCAGCCTTGCGCTGGCGGAGGCAAGCACCAGGTCCGTCCTTCAGGGACATGCAGTTTTGCGCTGGCAGAGGCTACTTTTTTGGACGCTTGTCAGATGGATTTGAAGCTAGTTTTTGTAAGTTTCAGAAGGCAGCGTTAGGCAGTGGAGGCGGCCATCAAAGCACCAGGTCCGTCCTTCAGGGACATGCAGTTTTGCGCTGGCAGAGGCTACTTTTTTGGACGCTTGTCAGATGGATCTGAAGCTAGTTTTTGTAAGTTTCAGAAGGCAGCGTTACGCAGTGAAGGCGGCCATCCAAGCACCAGGTCCGTCCTTCAGGGACATGCAGCCTTGCGCTGGCGGAGGCAAGCACCAGGTCCGTCCTTCAGGGACATGCAGTTTTGCGCTGGCGGAGGCTACTTTTTTGGGCGATCGGCAAGAGGCTTTGGAGCTAGTTTTTGTAACCTTTTAGAAGGCAGCGTTAGGCAGTGGAGGCGGCCATCCAAGCACCAGGTCCGTCCTTCAGGGACATGCAGTTTTGCGCTGGCGGAGGCTACTTTTTTGGACGCTTGTCAGATGGATTTGAAGCTAGTTTTTGTAAGTTCAGAAGGCAGCGCTAGGCAGTGGAGGCGGCCATCCAAGCACCAGGTCCGTCCTTCAGGGACATGCAGCCTTGCGCTGGCGGAGGCAAGCACCAGGTCCGTCCTTCAGGGACATGCAGTTTTGCGCTGGCGGAGGCTACTTTTTTGGACGCTTGTCAAATGGATTTGAAGCTAGTTTTTGTAAGTTTCAGAAGGCAGCGTTAGGCAGTGGAGGCGGCCATCAAAGCACCAGGTCCGTCCTTCAGGGACATGCAGTTTTGCGCTGGCGGAGGCTACTTTTTTGGACGATCGGCAAGAGGCTTTGGAGCTAGTTTTTGTAACCTTTTAGAAGGCAGCGTTAGGCAGTGGAGGCGGCCATCCAAGCACCAGGTCCGTCCTTCAGGGACATGCAGTTTTGCGCTGGCGGAGGCTACTTTTTTGGACGCTTGTCAGATGGATTTGAAGCTAGTTTTTGTAAGTTTCAGAAGGCAGCGTTAGGCAGTGGAGGCGGCCATCCAAGCACCAGGTCCGTCCTTCAGGGACATGCAGTTTTGCGCTGGCGGAGGCTACTTTTTTGGACGCTTGTCAGATGGATTTGAACCCAGAACTTCCATTCATCCTCATTTAAGGAATTCCTCCTTATTTAAGGAATTCCTCCTTAAAATTCCTCCTTAAATTAAGGTGGAATTTTTGAAAAATTCCTCCTTAAAATTCCTCCTTAAATTTTCAATTGCAAGGGGATCTTGCACCTCCTTCAGCAGGAGACTTGAAACCTCCTTATCCCAGATTCTGGCAGCAAAACTTTTCACTTCAGCTCTGAAATCACTTGTGCTCGAAAACTTTGCAGAACACTCATGCCTATGGAATAAGGGTTGTGGCTTCCACCTTTCACAGCTCCTAAGTGAGCTAGGAAGCCACCAAAGTCTTCGTCTCGATATGTCCAACTGTTTGATGGACAAGAGTTCTGGAGCAATAAATCTAAGAAGCTGTGGTGCTTTGGTTTGATCTTCCAAGTATGGCCAGTCTCGTTTTCCAAGCTCTTGCACAACAGCAAAAACTTTCTGCCATGCAGCAGCATTGACTGGTGATTCCATAGATTCTTGGACAAGAAAGAATAACAGTGCCACAGTTCTGTGGCAGCCATCTTGATTGTATATTCAAGCACATTGTCATCAGCCAAAAATTCATCGCAGATTTGTTTTGCAAAAGTAATCAACCCTCGAGCTTCTGCAGCTTTGGCTCGAAGTTTTGGACTTGAACTGGCTTTCTTTCTGATCATGATGACTGTCAAAGTAGGAAGCTTGTTTTCCACACCTTCAGTCTTGTAGTAGCTTTGAATTCTGTGGAACAAGCTTTTCACCCTTTCTCTGACATTGTTGCCAGGCAAGTGATTTCCAGAGGCAATTAAATGGTGAAAAACATTGCCCATAAAATCTGCTGCCACGCCCAAGTCCACAATGTGAAGTCAGTCCAAAAGAAATTGTTTGCTTGTCAGTCCTGGTGTTTGAAACAATTCATTGATGTCAATGCCAGAATCGGAAATGGATTGCAACAAAGTGAAATGGTCCAAAGGATCAAATGCCTTGCAGCTTTCAAAGTTTCGAATTTCAATTGGTTTGCACAAGCACAAATGGCAGCATCCTTGTTTGTCTCGCCATCCAGGAAATTGGAAAACTTCTTTTCTCATAGCCCAATCACCTCTCACTTCAAGTAAAAAAGCAGTGAAAGGCAATGCCTTGCCATTGAATGTGCTTCGTTTTTTGTCGCCTGGGTGCCAAAAGCTGCCATCATGCCTTGCTGAAGGCCAAGTGCAATTGGCTAAGTGAATAAAAGACCAAGACAAAATTCCTAACATCTTCGACGAAGTTACTCCCTTGATGCACCAGTGCTTTGGAATACAGCACAAAGGGATTCGCAAAGTACCATTAGGTGGAAGTAAGCCAGGAAAATTCAATGAGATGCATTCCAAAGTTTGACTTCTGTCATAATTGTAAGGTGTGCCATCGACACTTCTATCAATTGATGCTCTTGGCTATCCAATGTTTCTGAGCTGTGGCCTGGAGGATTTTTTTGCAAAAGTGGTTCATTCACAGGCAACTGTGGGATGGAGCTCGCATTGGAGCTTTGTCTCATGAGCCTTTGCTTGGCAATGGCTTTCTGAACAAACTTGCCTTTCTGCCGGTTCCCATGGAATTCTGAGCACTCCAGATAGATCTTCACAAGCTCACCCATCCAAGGCTCATATTTCCTACTTGAAATTGACCATTTTGCTTTTGTTCGGATGTGTTGCACACATTCGACAATTGCAGAAGACCACTTCTTCGCTTCGTCACTCAAAGTGCGAGGGTTGACTTTCAAGGCAGCTTCCTTCAAGCAGTCTTTGGATGGTCGAATTGTTTTCTGGAACATCAAGCCCAGAAATTTTCGATAATGCTTGCATACTTGATCAATTTCAACATCCAAGTAATCCTTGGGATCCAAACAAGCCACCTCTGCTTTCAAACATTTGCAACGGTCTTGCAGTGTTCTTAGCTCTACTCATCTTGAGAAATCAACTGCAGATGCGATGCACAAACATTACATGCAGGAAATCAAAACACCAAAAGGAGATCTTGCATCTCCTTGAAGCAACCTCCAAAGGTTGGTCTTGATGCAATGATGATGTCAAAGATGTATCTAAAAACAGTGAAAAAATCCTCCTAAAAAAAAATAAGGAGGAATTTTCAAAAAAAAACACCTTAATTAAGGAGAATTCCTCCTTAATTAAGGTGGAATTCCTGAATTAGGGGAAAATTCCTCCTTAATTAAGGGAATTCCTCCTTAATTAAGGTGGAATTCCTTAAAAAAAAAACTCCCTAAATTAAATAAGGAGGAATGGAAGTTCTGGGAAGCTAGTTTTTGTAAGTTTCAGAAGGCAGCGTTAGGCAGTGGAGGCGGCCATCCAAGCACCAGGTCCGTCCTTCAGGGACATGCAGTTTTGCGCTGGCGGAGGCTACTTTTTTGGACGCTTGTCAGATGGATTTGAAGCTAGTTTTTGTAAGTTTCATAAGGCAGCGTTAGGCAGTGGAGGCGGCCATCCAAGCACCAGGTCCGTCCTTCAGGGACGATTGTACAATCATCCCGCAGGTGGGGCATGGGTGCATGCACGCACCATGGCGAACATGAAACTGCCTATCGCATCCACACGGCCAGTTTTGATAGTCAGTGCTCGTCATAATGTCGTTACAGAAGGGGCATGTGTATTCGTAGATGGACACTGCCTCGGCTGGGTCACTGGGTTGCAAAATCGTCACGGAGGCAGGCACGGGGCAGAAGGCGCCGCGGACACATAGTTGTTTGCTTTTTGCACAGCCACTGTCTGAATTTCACATCGAACTTCTTCTAAAATTGAGTCATGCCGTGGCGCCTGCCGCGCTCTCTCAATGGCGTCAAGCGTTGCTTCGCTCTCTATCTATCTATCGATCTGTCTATCTATCTGTCTGTCTGTCTGTCTGCCTGTCTGTATCTATCTATCTATCTATATCTATCTATATCTATCTATATCTATCTATATCTATCTAAATCTATCTATATCTATCTATATCTATCTATATCTATCTATATCTATCTGTATCTATCTGTATCTATCTATATCTATCTGTATCTATCTATATCTATCTATATCTATCTATATCTATCTATATCTATCTATATCTATATCTATATCTATCTATATCTATCTATATCTATCTATATCTATCTATATCTATCTATATCTATATCTATATCTATCTATATCTATATCTATATCTATCTATCTATCTATCTACCTATCTACCTATCTACCTATCTACCTATCTACCTATCTACCTATCTACCTATCTACCTATCTACCTATCTATCTATCTAACTATCTATCTATCTATCTATCTATCTATCTATATCTCTATCTAATCTAATCTAATCTAATCTATCTATCTACCTATCTCTCTGTCTGTCTGCCTGTCTGTCTATCTATCTACCTATCGATCGATCGTTCTGTTGTTCTTCCGATCTATCTAATCTAATCTAATCCAATCCTATCCACCGTATCCATTTTTCTTAACCATCTGGCTACCGCACTGCGCGGGGTGATCTGAAGACTTCTCACGCCTCAAACAAGCATGCTTCCAAACATGCCGGTGTGTCGAAGCGTTTCTGTTGTACCAAAGGGTGTTTGCTGTCAGCTTGAATAGTAGTCGGCGGCAGGGGGCGGCAGCCCTTATATATAATTATGTCTATATATATATATGTATCAAACCTATATATATAATTAAATATAATTAATTGTGTACCTATATCTATCTATCTATCTGTCTGTCTATCTATCTATCTATCTATAAGTGTGTATATATATACATAATTATCGTAAAAGTTATGTAAACGTATATGCATGTGCTGTGCAAGTATATATTAAAATGTTATATATATATATATATATTATGTATATTGTATAGTCAATATGAGCGAAACAGTACGCCTGAAACTTGGTTATCCTTTGAATCCACTGCGTGATTGTCTATTTTGAACCTCACAGGCTCTTAGTACCAGTATCACATCACATATACCATAATAACGAGACGCTGGGAAAAAACACTAGCTTGCTGGAAAACTAGGAGAATACATAACTTATCATAACCTATGCATAAACTACAAGTTGTCTCAATTTGTGGATTCTCCATGTGATTCCACTTGCCCATTGTTCCGATAGTATTCTTCTTCAACACCTTTCCAAGCACTTGCCCAAATCCCTGGTCTTTTTCGATCCACCAAACGGATCTCGAATTCAAAGGGTCGCTTGTTAGCTTGAGGAAACACATCCTCTGAATGGTGAATACATGTTAATAGTTAATACCGTGTTTGACCTCTCAAATACTGCAAGTACCCAATCAAAATCCATCAACTGATCACCTTCCACAGGCATCAACAAACTCACAAGGGGATCCCCGGTGAAAACGCGCCTTCCGCCCTCCTCAAGTCCTGCAGCTGCTGCCAGCGCTGATGACACGCTTCTGCCGTGTCCACATCGCCGGGGGGCCACGCCGACATCGTTGGATTTTTGAATGGGATTGGAGGTCAAAGAACTGGGGCTCAGAAAACATTGAAATCATCTGACTGCTTGGTTCACTATAGAATTCTATCGATTTGTAGTTTCGTTGTCATTGGATCTAGTAGCGGCCACACAAATATCAGCCTGTGGAGGAGTTGCTGATCTATCCATGTGATGGTTTGCATGTTTCCTTTTGCTTCCTCAAGAATCAGCTGCGGGAATGAGTTCAGCATGAGAAATAAGGCAGCATGACTGCCAAGTGGCAAGTCCCGCAGATTGTGTTCTATAGTCAAAATGTCAGCAATTTCAGTGGTGCGTAGATTGACATCCCAGAATCAACTTTCAGATCTGAGCACAACTGAGGTAACTGAACCCTTTGGTGCCGTCACCTCACAGATCGGTGGTCCAAAGGCCGTGCCCAGCAATGCCAACTTCGCCCGATGCGGTGCCAAGGGCAGGGGCCGCGCTCGGCGCCCCAGCAAGGTGAGCTGCCCGGAGGTGAGAAATCCTAACCTCCAGAGATCGGAGCTGTTTGGGCAGGGCCGGGCCACTTTTTCCATTGAAAAATCATGTTCAATCTGTATCCTCTTTCAAGCTGTGAATGGAAAGATTATGAAAGAAGATATAAGAATGCATGGAAATATGGTGATGGTCTACGAAGTTCCAATGTGAAGATACACGAAGTGCTTGGAAAGATGGGGGGACAAACTATGACAAATGGAGCCAGTAGCTACCCCCTCCGAAAATCCGGCAGATTTTCCCAATAGATTGCGTTCTTGAGAAACTCCACACGGTCGGACAATGATTCTGGAAATATCTGGAAATCTCAAACATGTCACCATGGCTGCGACTATGCTTTTGTGAATGCCCTTTTTCTGAAAAGGATACTTTAGCCAAGAGGTATTACGCATGAAGTGAATGTAAAGTCAGGTCAAGTCTCAGCAGAAATTGTCGAAAGTGAGTGGACACAGTCGTTGAATTCACCAACGGAGAGCTTGCGAGAAATTGTTCACTGCCTAAAATCCTTTGACATCTGAATCTTTCAGAATAATCAGCAATTTCGTCAGATCATTAATCGAACTCGCTTGTTGGCAGTGCGACCACAATTGCCTTCTCAACTGACGCAGTGAACTTCGAACTGAACCTGATTTGCACAGTTAGACTTGCTGAGTTGGATATTCAGATTCTGCTTCGAGCATGCAAATACAGGGGGTTTGAAACACTAACCCTAGCATGCACTTGACATCACTTGACAAAGCTGGGATGAGTCAAGCCAGTAAAAATACTTTGATTCCAATATTTTTTTCCGCTTTTGCATCGCGCTTCTATTCAGCCAAAACATCAGTCCACACATAGCCAGTCTAAATTGCTGAGAGCATGAAAACTTCAATTCCAAGGGGAAATTGAAATTTTTCGGTTCTCTCAGGTTGAAGATGGTTGAAGGGTTTCCTGTGGCTTTCCGGTTTCAAGTCCACGGAGTTCACGGCGCTTCAGATCTCTAAAGTGCCGGAAGGGGCGCTCGTTGTCTCGTTTGCCATGTCAGGGATCTGGTTACAAGACTCTTTCCGAAGCAAGGAAAATTGTTACAATCTCAACTCCGAACTGGAAAGGCAGTAATTAAGATCAATGGTTCTGCCTGCATCCGGAGGGTCCAGCAGAGCTTGACAGGCATCGACGCTGGTATTCAGGACCTCTGGTAGACCTGCCACGAAATGCGCGAGTCTGGTGGAAAAAAGATGCTGGGATGTGAATGATACCACGAATGCCAAAACGTTACAAATGAATACAAATTACTTTACTTCGAGTTATCCCCACCATGACATCTATACGTTTTGTTACTGGCAAATCTTCTGGCATTCTATCTGACATATCTTCTGGCATTTTATCTGACATATCTTCTGGCATTCTATCTGGCATTTCTTCTGGCATTCTACCTGGCATATCTTCTGGCATATGTTCTGGCATATCTTCTGGCACTCTATCTGGCATATCTTCTGGCATATCTTCTGACATTCTATCTGGCATTCGCAAATCTTCTGGCATTCTATCTGGCAAACATTCTGGCAGTTTATCTGGCATACCTTCTGTTTTTCTATCTGACATTCTATCTGGCATACCTTCTGGCATTCTATCTGGCATATCTTCTGGCATTCTATCTGGCAAACATTCTGGCACTTTATCTGGCATATCTTCTGGCGTTCTTTCTGACATTCTATCTGGCGTTCTATCTGGCATATCTTCTGGCATTCTATCTGGCCGTCGAGGTCCAGCGGTGCTCACTGAGCTCGGAGGGGGCCAGGTTGAGGTCCAGCGGTGCTCACTGAGCTCGGACGGTCCCAGGTTGAGGTCCACCGGTGCTCACTAAGCTCGGAAGGTCCCAGGTTGAGGTGCAGCGGTGCCCAGTGCGCTCCGACCCTTGCAGTTCAGGTCCAGCAGTGGCCACTGCGTGCGGAAGTTGGCGAAGAGCTTGGCGAAGGGTTGGCAAGACAGAAGTGGACATGGAAGTGGAGGCAGAGGTGGTGGAGGAGAACGAGGAGGAGGAGAAGAAGGAGGAGGAGAAGGAGGAGGAGAAGAAGAACAACTCTGATAAAATCTAACAACCCTCACCTGGCAGGTGGGGAATGACATGATTAGCCATCCCGCGGTGCCTAGCCAGGTTTTGTGCCATGGTGGAAGAACAAAATATATGGAAATGTGTGGAAATATGATATAACATGAGCGTGAAATCCTGGATCAATTGTCCAACAACAAACTCATGAACCTGGGAAAATGCCCGTGCAAAGAGACTGGCAATATCGCTGCTTCGCTTGCAGCTTGTGCTTGACAAATTTAGTGACTCCAGTGGTTCATGCCGGAGTTCCAAAGAATGTAACTTGCAAACATCATGGATCAAATTGATGCCTTGGACATGACAGTTTCTATCGTGATCAAAGGGGTTTTCTTGAGAGAATCTTATATTCTAGGTCTCAGTTTCTATCTCTGTCGTCGGGTGTCCACTTTGGTGACAATTACAGACCAAAAAACATATCATGTATTAATATATATATTAATATACATATAATTATATATATATATATATTAATAATGTACCCACGTATAACATACAATATATATATATATATAATTTTATATAACTTAGAAGTATCTCCTGTCTGGGTTTCCACAATATGCTGCTATTGTCTCCTTGCCACTAGATCCACTAGTTGCAGGAAAACACAATGATCTCATATGATCTCTAGCTCAGTTCCACTAGAATAAGAAAGCATATAGATCTCCAAGTTGCATCTCTAATGCAATTCTGGTGAAGTTTGCACGGCGCGTTGCGGCTTGCCGCACCTGTGGCATAGACTCGCAACAAAAGCTCTTCCAAAGGCACTCGCCGCACCTGGCAAATCGTCAACAAGAAATGGCAATCTCCATTTTCGAAAATCTTCTAGAAGGACAATCTCATTTTGTAATTACCAAACTCGCCAAGCCAATAGATTGAAAAAATCGAAGCACCAGCGTTTGTCAGTCACCTCAGGTTCCTGATGTTCCTCCATGAGCTGGTCGTGACAGTACTTGGTGACCAAATGCACGCAAACTCCTCCCCGCTGCACCCCGCTGCGGGGATCTGCGACAATTTTTGGGGTCAAATGTCCTGCCCTTGGGTCTTCAAGTATCATACAAAAATAGCTGGCTCCTTTTCTTTCTACTTCCGTGCAATAGAATACAATGTTGATTTCTAGTGATTTCGGAGACCCGACGAGGCAAACCATGGACGGAGCAGATTGACTGAATTTGATTGTCAGTCGTCAAGCCATCAAAAAATCATGGACCAATGCCTGACATCTTCCCAACGGATGGGCCGCAAAAAGGGAACCTGGTGCCACACGTCCAGCACGTCCACGACGCTGCCGAGCACTCGACCGGCATTCAAAGACATCCTGCATATGGCTCTGTCTGAAAATTGACCACCCAAAATAGTCTTGGTTGATGTATGTTGATATGGAGGTTTCCTACGTCATTGGGGTACCAAATCATCGAAGTCATGGATGACCATTTTAGTATTGAAACCTATGGTGACTTGGGGATCCCCCATTTTAGGAAGCCTCCATATGTTTGATCATATTTTCCTATTTCAATAATAATTTTGGGATACACGGATTGTTAAGGTACCAATCTAGCCCAATGTCAGACACATATGTCGCTAAAAACGCCATGAACAGTGGATTGCTCCGAGGCACATCTCTAAACGGCTAAACATGGTCAAACTACAGTAAGAATGATTGGCATGAGTTTTCAATACCAGTTGTATAGTGAAGCACTGGGTAGTTTGACAAGAAAGATTTATTGATTGTATAGTTGTAGTATGTTCTAGTGCTACATCAATCAAAGACGTACCTTTCTTAGTAAAGCATAGTGAAGCACTGGGCACTGAATCATCCGCCAAGCGGATCACGTCTCGGTATCAGTTGGTATCAATGTGTGATGACAGGAAGATGCAGTCACTTTTTCATGATCTATAAATCCAGGATCAATCTTTGACATGATCTAACCTAGTCTCTTAACACCTAACATGATCTAACATGATCCAACATGATACTAACATCGATACTAACATCATACACCGCACATCACCGGTAACGCACGCCTGCAAGCTGGCAAGACGTCGACCGCTGTCATACCGGAGCTCCTTAACATGGCCTGGAGCGTCGCAGATATGTCTGGGCAGGTCATGTTATGTTGTGATCATATGATAAGAACGAGGTCTGAAAATAGGGCACCCAAAAAAACTTGAATAGCTTATCAAGTCTTATCAGTTTATCACATGTTACCACCATAGGTTCCAATATCTTTGGATGGTTTTTGGCATGCAGTGAACTATGGCAGCATGATGTAAAGTGAACCGGTTTCCTTTAGGATCCTTTGGGTATAAAATTGGAGCAACCTTACAAATGCATCCATATCCTGCTTGTCCTGAAACGATCCCACTGGAAGCCTGCTGGTGCTGGCAAGTGCGTCTGACTTTGGAAATCTCTTACAGGTACAGTCACAGTAGCCAAAAATGCCTGAAAGAACATTGGTAATCGTCATTACCTCCCAATGACAAGTAAGGGTCTAGGATTCCACATGAAGACAGGTGATCACAAAACAAGAAAACACACCACACCACATTGCCAAACAAATTGAACATCATCTGTAGCGATTGATACTGATACATACACTGGCGAGTTTGGGTGGGACTGAGCTGCTTGTGATTGCTATAGTCTGCAAGGAGGTCGCAGTAGCAAAACAATGGGAAAACATGGGAACACCCTCCGGAGCAGCCAGTCTAGTCAAAAAAAGGTTCTCTGAAGCACTGAAAGCAAGGATACGGTATCTAAAGCACAATGGTCCTGTATCGATGACCACACCCACGTCGTCAATAGTGATGCTGGTTTCGGCAATGTTGGTTGCCAAAATGATCTTTCGTACTCCGGCAGGTGGTCTCTCAAACACCAACCTGATGGGCGATGGCAGTTGCGGGTTCCTGTGCGCAAATTACGCAACGGTGACATAACGACTTTGTGAAAGTGCATGAGTCAAAATGTCTTCAACCAATCCTGTCTACACAGCCACTGTGCGAAAAGGAACGGTGCATGATGGTGAATGACTAGGTGCATGTTCAAGCCCAAGTGACTGTTGATCTTCGTGTTGCAAGGAGCTGTGCAGGTTGAGAATCCATGAGTTTGCAGGGTCCTGCGCAAACTCAAATCTTAGCCTCTCAACTCTCTTTTGGAGTGTTGGAACGGTAGTTTGGGATAGATGTGATAGCAGCAACGAGCAAAAATTATGCAGTAACGGATAGCAACCAGTGGAAAGTAACACTAAAAAAATGGATGTCAGCTACCATTGATGTGCAAAGTAGTTCATGCTGCAAAGATGAAGAGATGTCGAGAAGGATAAAGCTAATTCAGGAGTTGCAAACGCACCAAGACCCTCAACCCTTCGTTCAGCTATGTAAACTGATGTGAGGAGAGTCTAAGATCATGTTATCATGGAACGGACAACCTAGCTTTGTTGATTGTAGTCTTGCGACTAACATTACGGTGCAACTTTGCCAATAGGGTCGCTTTGCGGCTGCGGCTGATGTCTGCAACATCAACCCCACAAGTCTGCTGCGTACAAATAAGTTCAAAAGGGAACACCATCATACCAAACTACAACATCCAGTGATACCATGGCACAGACCAGTTGCTGGCAGTTCCCATATCCTACGTTGCAACATGTTGCAACCCAATTACCCGGCAAGGGCCAACAAGGGTCTATCATAGTCTATCTTTAAAATTCAAAAACCAATTGAGCATGACCCAAGTTTGGGGACTCGTTCAAACCTGTTGTGCAGGTCTATTTTAGTACATGGGACTACAGTGAAGCCACTGTTTAAGAACCTTCTGCAATAAAAACTTCAAGGGCTGAATTGCTGGATTCAACCCTTTCTGTCAGCTGATTGAAAAAAGAACCCTAGGGTACCCTGGAATTCTAGCCGCTGGTTCTTATTCCCGGTATCAATATACCAAACATTGATTATTAGCAACTATTTCCCAAAAGAAAGGTTATGCGCCGCGGAACTTCCATGCCGAGGACAAACATGGCGCGGCCCCAGGAAGATTCGAACCCTTGCATGATCACCAAGGCTGATGTCTTCAGCTAGACACCAGCCAGACCCACCGTAGGTCATCTGACCTCGGAGGCTGCCCTCGGCTTGTCTTGGCTTGTCTTGCCTGTGCTGCCTTGTTTCGGGCGCCCAGACCCCGAAAAAACTTTTCGGGGCCTAAAATGTTTTTTTCTTCCCCCCGCCTCCTTTGCAACCCAATACCACGCCAAAATGAATTGGCAAAACCCTCACCATATGAACCCCTTAAGTAATTCCCATATTTTCCACCTATAGCATTTAAGAACCGCAGGGTAGGCTGGAACATTCTTGATCGGTTCTTATCTAACGGTTCCGCTGCACCCCAAAATTTGATAAAAATTGGACGTAGACACGTATCTGTCAATGTTGGCTGCCCATCGTTTTGCACTGTTGAAATGCAAGTACGTGTCTTGGTCAATATCCACAATCACATTTCTTGATAAGTTTGCTTGGTACAGAAGCTTCCCCCTCTGGTAATCAAACCTTACAAATGATTTCCCAGCTATAAACCGTCCACTTACAGTATTGGGAATTTCATGAGATTTCCATAGATTTCTTGCCGTGTTTGATTACCGGAACCTATCCCGGTTGGTTTCAAGTGAAACCCTTCTCCTTTTTCAGCTCTGGACACGCTTCCAACAGCGCAGCACGCATCCTTTCAATCTCCTGGGCCTTGGCTCATTGTTTGATCCAAATAAAGTTCCATGAGTCTTGGGAGATCTTGGGAGCTTCACACACATCCAGAGAACACAATTCTCATCCAACTTCAAACTACTTAGATTCCATTTTGAATTTCAGGTCAAATTCATTTCAAATTCATGCGAGTCAGTTCAGATTAGAATATATTAGAATCACATCAATTTCAAATTCAATTCATGATTATAAATCTGATTCGCGGTTCAAATTCAAATTCAAATCAAATTCGAAAACAAGTTACAATCACTTCAAAATTGAAAACACAACAATCATCTCCATTCTCAAAAACATTGCCGGGTCTCAAAAAAAATTGAGGCCACACAAACTTCTTGGGACCCTACAACATGGAGTCGGTAAAGTTTTATGGCACTTTGGAAATGTTTTCATGGGAAGTTGTGAGGGAATGTCAGCATTGGGATTTAAATAAAATTTTATCAGAAACTTATATATAAAAGAAAAAATGGAAACAGCATCTATCTTGTGATCTGTCCATTTTTTGGAGACTGCCAGTTGTCCCAGTACACAGATTGCGCTCTTCCTGGACTCTTCCTGGTAAATGGAAAGAGTGCGTTTCTTCACTTTCGCTAGGAATTTAGATCCTCAAACTCAGATTGTCAAGTAAAAATAATCAAACCAGATTTTAATCACCAATACCCATCAATATCCAAAATGTTTAAGGATGACATGAGACACCTCAACTCCATCCTGTCGCCAAAGGGCGCCGGAGAGGAACACAAGAATGGCGTCCTGTGGGCCGTCAGGACCCCGTGGTGGATCTTGGGATAGAAAGTATCTGAGGACATCTGCGGCCAAATCCTCAGCACGCTGCTAGGAGGGTTTGCACCACATGGTATACCAAGGTCCAGCTGAACCACAGATTTGTTCATTTGCGATGGCGAGAAGCAAGGTGATATCATGTAATATCATCAAACCATATTGCCGACGAAAGAAAAATCCGAGTCTACAACTGGCAAAACTTAAAACTGTATGCTTGCTACAATAGAGCTGCAAAGGCTAGGTTTTCCTAGTTGCCATTGGACAGACTGCAGTAGCTACAGTAGGATAGACTAAATTAGGTTAGACTAGACTAGACCAAATTCGATTGCGTTTCAAGTGCTTGCCCTTATTAGATTAGATTACTTGCCATTGGAGTAGATAACATGGCCAAAATATCAAACTTCATTGGCGGGTTTACTCTTCCCAAGGCCCATAAATACATATATATATATATATTCATCATTATTAATCTATTTATCTAATCTTATTCTAATATATTAAGATTTGCAATAACCATAGCAAAAACTACCCGGCGGGTGGGAAACCGCGCTAGCGGTTGAACACCGTTTGAAAAGAAACTCTTCTGGCGCTGTGGCGCCGTACACATTTTATGATGAACATTACCTTAAATTTCCCCGGGGAAAATTGAATGACTTTGAAGGAATGTCGTGGTATTTACAGGGTTTTGTGGTTGTGGCGGGCTGGAAGCCTTTTCCTTGTTCTTCGCTGGCGTGTCACTTCTCCAAGCGTTTGCTCAGAGCGCGGCCTGTGAGACTGAGGAAGTCAGTGGAATTTTCATGGTGCCATCGCCATTGCCAAATCCTTATTCCTTGAAGCAATTGAGGGTTCACAGTGAAGTTCACAGCACCATCTTTACGTGTGCTCCAAGAGGATGATACTGCACCTTTGGACATTGTCCACATTCCATCGATGCCACCGGTGTGCACTAGCAAGTTTCCCCAGTGCTTTTTCTTGGTGATGCAGAAGATGCCCTTACTATGATTGCAAGCTTCATGAAGCAGATTGTGTTCAGTGACGTAGCAGCAGCGTAGCATCCACGTATGTACGCAAGGTACATGAACGTTAATATCCCACCCCACCCCACCCAACCCCTGACCAGTGACGTAGCAGCAGCGTAGCATCCACGTATGTACGCAAGGTACATGAACGTTAATATCCCACCCCACCCCACCCAACCCCTGACCAGTGACGTCGCAGCAGCGTAGCATCCACGTAACGCAAGGTACATGAACACGTCTACACGCGCGGTTTTCCACCCGCTAGCAAAAACTAGTGTAGTCCAATCTGACATGTCAATATCCGCCGACCCCGGCCGACAGGAAAGGGGAGCGCGTCAGGGCAGAGAGGTTGTTTGTGAGCCAAAGAAAAACACAGCCACGACAACAACAAAGAACAAGAACAAGAACAACAAGAACAACAAGAACAACAAGAACAACAAGAACAACAAGAACAACAAGAACAACAAGAACAATAACAACGGCGACGGCGACGACGACGACGACGACGACGACGACAACAAGGACAAGGACAAGGACAAGGACAAGGACAACAACACGAACAGCAACGACAACAACAACAAGAACAAGAAGAACAAAAGAATAAGAATAATAATCATAATTAAGAAGAAAAGCAAAAACAACAATAAACAAGAAGACACATAAAAACAAGAACAAGAACAAGAACAAACACCAACACAAAAACAAGAACAAGGACAACAAGGACGACAACAACAACAACAACAGCAGCAGCAGCAACGACAACGACAACAACAAGAACAAGGGCAACAACAACAACAACAACAACAACAACAACAAGATCAAGATCAAGAACAAGAACAAGGTACAAACAAACGCTGGGACCCTGTCCTTATTATATACCATTTTTTGTTTGTACCCATTACCAGCACAACACAAAGACTGGGGCCCCGTCGTCGTTATTTTCACTCCCCACAACAACAAATATGTACCGTCCGTTTTCCAGCTGCTGGGCGCCGCCTACCGTTCTCCGAGAGTCTCCAAACAAACGTGAAGGCACCGCATATTTGACGATTTTTAGAGGCACACCGAAATGCGACAAACAGATGTGTGGTAAGATGGCTACAAACTGCGGTATGTAAAGAATATCACACCCTACTCTGCATGCAGAGCACATGAACAACACCAACACTCACACTACCAACATAACCCTTGTGGTGTCGCCGGTGTGCGAAGCTCTACAATAATTCCAACATCTTTTCTGTAATATCCAATTTCCAACTTGAACTTTGATCATGCTCTTTCGAACCGGAAGCCAAGCAGCATAGTTTACCACATTAGGATCCATAGCAGAAATGGCTGAGCGCGTCTGGCTGCTCATGTGGCTGTAACGCTGCAGCACTGCATGATTGCTGAGGTCCTCCAGAAGCGCTGAAGAGCGAAGATCTGTGAAAGTCAGCAGCAGAGTCACCATATATTGATTTATGATAACGCAGAATGTGAGAAACCAACATATATTATATATAGATATAGAGAGAGAAACACATGTATTTAATATTCGCAGTGTAGTGTCACAGTCAATCACATCCAGATGTGATATATATATATAATTATATAATATATAATTACGTGTATATATCTATATATATGTGATCTATTGTGATCTATTGTTAGTTATGATCATTGTTACGTCGTATTATTATGTGTGCGTGTACTTCTACATCCACACTGGCTCCCGAAAATTCTCTTCATGTAGCCATGTAGCCCTTTCTAGTTGTTTGTCGATCCATCCACACATCTGCTTGCAGCTGCAAACCGACCTGTGGTTCTCACATACTTCCTCTCAGTAAGGAGTAAACTACTTCCCGGATTCAATCGTGGCATTTCCGGCACCTTTTCACATCAAAACATACAAACCCATGCAAACACACACACACACACTAAACATGATGCTGCAACCTCTCTACACTTTCCTCCAGCTTTGGCTGACTGCAGTCTGGCGCTCCACTGTACTTGGTACTTGCTCTGTAGCGACTGGAGGAACGGCGATTTGGAAGCTGCTGCTCCACCAAATGCTTTGTCATCTCCTAGGTCAGCCGCGTCCCAAGGCGAAACCTCCATAGATCCCATAGGATTTTCATCAGCCCAAAAAAACCAGCCATGATTACTGGGACTTTCGTCAATCTCAGTTCAAGGCACTAAGGCATCTTCCAGGAATAGAGTTTTCACAGGAAACATCCTTCCTGGAGCAGGTCTGTTCACATCGACTTCGTCTGAAACTCCATGTTTTGTGCCCCCCAAATCTTGCAAAAATCAACATGTTTCAACCACCACACAACACCATTTGCCCCATTTGAACAGCAACGTTTGGGGTATACACCATTTTCAAACACACCCATTCTTGTTCAGCAGCAACATATGGAACAACTGCACAAATTTGTCTCCGCATCAAAAAAACTTTTTTTGTGTGTAGGAACGCTGCCTAACAAATAATTTTGTCATAGTCCAAATCCACTGTACCACGTTTCATGTTTTGGGCATCTACTGTACGAGTGAACTTTTTTTTGCACCGCTTCGCGACTTGCCTGGAAGCTTCAGAAGTGTGGCTTCAAAATATTGCCGCAATCTTTCAGCGTCCAAGGTAGCTGACCTTGGCCACCAGAACCACCAGATGCACATGGTGGCAATGAGGCTACAGTTCATGGCTCGACTTAGATACACTGCATTTCTTTTGGAATTTTAGCTGGTTAGATCTGCATAGTAAATATTTCCATAGCAAAAGCGTACAATCTGAGATTCAATCTGAAATTGCCCATCCAAGGTTGACACAGTATATTCTTCAAAAGTGTGCGTTTTCTTGCTGACAGCATGAAGCTTACAGCTGGTACAGGTTCGAATAAGATAATATACCCAACGTGCAATAATATCATATACCCATGATCTTCATTTGAGAATATTTTTACACACATCCCCAATAATACAATAATGTTATTCAGCATGTTAAAGCCATCATTTTAACCATCAGGAATACCATAGCTTAAGTTTATCTTGTTTATCTTCATGACTTCTGCGCTCCAATCCCCACGTTTGATCCAGATGATCCAAGGGGCATAGCCACGATGCGCAGCGATTTTCCGCGACGTTTCGAAAGCTGCTGGAGCAGCAGCAGGAGCAAATCACCCTCCACCGTTCGCTCGTGCACCTACCACAAAAAAAACCACGATGGCTAGGGAGAATCGGGAAACATCTGTGAAATGGATTTTGCTGGGTATCTTGTGAAAAATGTGAGGAAACATGAGGAAAATTGAGGAAACCATAGGAAACCCTGGATTTGACCTGATTATGTAACAAACCAGTTCGGGGATATTGCCATGTCATGACCTTGCCCAAGTGCTCTAAGTAACCATGAGCAGCTCGTAGAACTGTTTCACATTCCGAGAACTGAGCCACTGGCCAGACTCTATCTAGTCAATAAGCCAAAATAAGCAAAAATCATTCAACAGCATTGAACACATTACCCTTGTCACTTGAGTCATAAGAAATACCCTGGTTGATGGGTTACCAGTGGGAGTTATACCAAGGTGGCGATTTTCTGGTAACCCATAGGGAAACCTATCAACCAACAAGATCCTAGTTGGGAACTACTTCTAGCCATGTGTTAACGTGAAAATCCCCACCCTACCCACCCCTGAACATCATCAACGTGACATCATCAGCGTAACATGTACATGAACGTATACAGTAACATCCCACCCCACCCACCCCTGAACATCAACGTAACATGATCAACGTAACCTGTACATGAACGTTAACACCCCACCCCACCCCACCCCACCCCTGGACATCATCAACGTAACATGTACATGAACGTAACATTAAAAAACAACAAAACACCCAGGCGCCCTAGTTTTTCGAGGGAACTTGTTTATTGGTGACCTCCCCGCCTCGTCTGCGAAGATGTGCGTCACGCCATTCAGGTCCGGATCGGATTCCAGCCAGCGCAACAGCACTCCCTGTGTGCAGTAGGTCAAACATGTGGAGTCACCTGGACACTGGATCCATCTGGATGCGCTGGATCTTGCTGGTGAGCTGTGGCCCCACAAAGCAAGTTGTTCTTCGCTGGCAAAAACTGGGATTCCTGAAATCATCTGAAATCCAAAGACATTGATGACTGAGAAAAGCTGTGTGGGTTCATCCAAAGGCAACGAATAGGAAATTGAATTTGACAGCCACTCATGGTTCTCCTTTCATATCCGCTTTATTTCATGCTTTCTTCAGCTTGTTTGGGACTGGGAACAGCTTGAACAAGATCCTGCACATGGTTCTTTTTTAAGACAGGATTTCGAACCTTTTTTGCCCTAGGTCTTGATCGATCTATTGTTTTTGCCAAATCTAGAAAAGACAAAAAAAGACACCTCAATAAATTTTAGACAATCTAACAAAGTCCAAAAACAAATGACAAAACAAACAAAAACCATAAACAAAACATGTTCCGGACCCCCTTTCATGGATTTATGTAGTTTTATTTTAGTGAAGCTTGTTCTGCTGAGTTGGATACAGCATCACATAAAGACCATGCTATACCACGCATGGAAGGCTTCCAATGATGTCTAATCAAGCTGGTTTAGGGTGATCTAGGGTGATTTAGTGTGGCTTGTTTTTTTTTGCTTTGGAAGGTTCACCAATCAAAATCCCAAGCCTTGGACGCCACTGTTGGCCACCAATCCCTTCGGCCAATATCCGTCACTATCAAGGCATCGGCATCGACTGGATAACCAAGTGACCACCACGGCTCTCATGTCGAATTGCATAACCCACACATTGTCCAATGGCTTCGTCCCGCTCGTAAGCTACTCGCTTGGCAACGCTGACACAGCTGACTCGCCGCGGTTGCGTCACAAGAATCCTCACCGAAACGGAACGATGAAGCGAAATTTAGGCCCCCTGTGAGACTTGTAACTTGATGTAACTTGATGTAACTTGTAGCTTTTGGAGCTTTTTCCCAAGCTCGAACCAGCCAAGTCAGCCAAGTCAGCCAAGTGTATTTTGGAAATTGATCCTCCTTAAATGGCGGTGAACCACACCACTACCTGATCAATGCAGGTCAAAATGGATGGATACTGTGTTGACACCAATGCTCCACCGAGATTGATGAAACCATATTACGAAACCTATCAATCTTCTGATCTCTCTTGAGCAAACAAGCGGACAACCAAGAAATACCAAGAATCCCAAGAACCCCTACACAACTCTTAGAGTCTAACTTAGAGGTTGAATACATTTTCCAATCAAAACCTTGATGCTGATGTCCTTTTTCTATGCCGAAAAGCAGCATCACTGCACCTTCCCTTGCCACCGGCTCTTCTCATGCACCAAAATGGCCGTTGCATTTCAAGTTTCACCTGCTGCCATTCCATGATACTTTCTTTCTGGTTGAGGTTACTGTAATAGGGATTGCCAACCATGATGGATTACGGATTACGATAATGCATGATCCCCAATATATCCAGGTAATATAGCGCGCTACAATGATCATCAACCAACAATAGTTTTGGCAATGGAACATCACCCATTTATAAATGGTGTCCCATTAAAAAAAAATGTATAATGATTTTCCCAGTGCCATCAAGACATAACAAAATACATATTATAGCCCATATATTCATTGATCGTGACAGCATGCCGGTCCTACACGGTTGCTGCTGCTCGGCCGCTTGGGTCAGCAAGTATTGCGGGAGCTGAGTCGTCTTGCCTCAACTTACAGAAACAAACGACTGCATGGTCTTGGTACGTCTTGATTCAAATGGTCAAGATAAACAAAAAACAAAAAACACACATTGATGGTTTTAATTTATTGGTAGATTTATTGGTGTTCTGTGGGGATCTATCCAGTACTACCAAGCATAAGTGCCAAAACATCAGAAGATATCAGAAAAATATACAGCACAGCTATCCGCACAGCCTGATTCTCTGTAGCTTGGAGACTCTTAGCAACAGGTGAATTCATGCCCAAGCAGAGCTAACTTGACTATTTGTGAGCACCAAACACATCCTTACTATCCTTACTTCACCACCTATGGGCCAAAAAACATGAAACCCATTGAGCTTCTGAGAGCATCATGATGTGCTGCTCATTACAGTTTCCTTTCGCCATGTTTCAGGGCATGACTGCCAGTCTTTTCCCATTGAATAAATGCGGACTGCCAGGCCTCACTGGCCCCCTCACACGCACATGCAACACTGGTGGTCAGCAACTCCAGACCTGTTGCTTTTTCATGCTTTTTCGTTCCTTTGAAGTTCTCTTTGTCAGTGCATGTGTTGCCATTGCAAAGCCCCCGCCGAAAGGAGATTTCTATGACAGAAATGAACTGTTCAGCCATTATCACATCAGCCCATCGTGGATTCCGGTTGGCTCCACCCATCTAGAATCAGTTGCCAGGTCGCCACAACCAGTAGCGCCTTGCACAATGACCACCGGGTTGCGGGTCACTGCCTCCCCAAGTTCATGGCTTTGAAGACTTGGCCGACATCATCTCAGCATAACATTCTCGGCCTTTTGAGACTCCGCATATTAATGTCTTCAAGTGTCAATTTCTTCCAATTTCTGTGATCATTTATCAACCGACTGGTTTGTACCCTGCCACTCCGGCCTCTAAAAAGCTCTGGCGGTGTTGTGCCACCGGCAACTCCACCAAGCCCGGTCGCACTCTTGCGGCCTTGGGCACCGCTGCGTAAGCAGCGGGACGGTGCCCGGCCTGGCCGGGCTCCGGCCTAAGCGAGTTCACCGGAGCCGGCACGCGACGCAGCACTGTCAAAAGATGCTTCAGCGCTTTGGAAGTGACCTCAGACCTTAGATCGCAGCAGCGATGAAGGGAATCGATGAACCAACGGGAATCTCCATGGAAGCCACGTCACGAAAACGGTACCCATAGTCTATGTGTGCTATCAACCGCATGGGTAAGGCATTAATAGGTCCTTCCTTCTCAGCATTCAGAAATGGCTTTACGTTTGGCTGTTGATTATGGGGAAGGCTTTGAAATGGGGGAAAACATGTTTAAATAATTAGACTGGTGATTTGTGCCCACGGTTTGACTGGAACATGTGTTCAAGACCAAGACCTGATTTATTTCAGGAGGACCTTCCTGAGAGAAAATACAAGAACCCTAAAAGCCACCGCTCCTGTACTACAGTTTTTTGATGTTTTTTGTATCGTTCTCAGCACCACTCCCAAAGAATCCTTAGAATGCCAAGGTTCCTGAAAGAACAAATTCCTTTACACCAGCCAAGACAAAAAACCAACACCCAAACAATTTTCAAGGGAGTAGGCCATGAATTACCCACTTCCTGGATAGTGGAAATGTTGGCATGGTTCTGAATAATGCCAAGGATCCTCCTGAAGATAAGTTGTGTGGATCCACTAAATCTGAGATTGCTTTCCAAAGAGGAAGAGAATGAATCCGTAAGGAGGAAACGGAAAATAGGAGGAAAGGAAAGAAAGAAAGACAACAAAAGGAAAGACAGAAAGGAAAGGAAGCATAAAAGGAAAGGGACACAAAAGAAGGAAGAACAAAGCAGGAAACAAAAGAAAGAAAAACATGATCCAATGTCAAGATTGACAGGAACATTGATGGGAAGTAGATTTAGATTTACCTCCTTTCTTCTTCCCCATGATTCTTTAAATAGAACAAATAATTCATTTAAGTAGCTTCAAACGAATTCGACACCTCGCTTGGATTCATCACACTTTTGTTCCGTCAGCTCTCATTAAACATCATTAAACATCATTAAACATCATTAAACATCATTAAACATCATTAAACATCATTCAACATCATTAAACATCATTAAACAGCATTAAACAGCATTAAACAGCATTAAACAGCATTAAACAGCATTAAACAGCATTAAACAGCATTAAACAGCATTAAACAGCATTAAACAGCATTAAACAGCATTAAACAGCATTAAACATCATTAAACATCATTAAACATCATTAATCATCATTAAACATCATTAAACATCATTAAACATCATTAAACATCATTAAACATCATTAAACATCATTAAACATCATTAAACATCATTAAACATCATTAAACATCATTAAACATCATTAAACATCATTAAACATCATTAAACATCATTAAACGGCATTAAACATCATTAAACATCATTAAACAGCATTAAGCAGCATTAAGCAGCATTAAACAGCATTAAACATCATTAAACATCATTAAACATCATTAAACATCATTAAACATCATTAAACATCATTAAACATCATTAAACATCATTAAACATCATTAAACATCATTAAACATCATCATTAAACATCATTATTAAACATCATTAAACATCATTAAACATCATTAAACATCCCCAACATTCCCCATCCACAACATTGGTCCATGCAATCTGTGATGCACTCTGCATCCACGACACAGTGACAGCTTCACCACACCGTTGGCATCGCAGCGCACCTTGTCCCTTTCTGGGCGAAGCCGCGGTTCCACCACTTCCGCCCTTTGCAAAGCGCGTGCTTCGGCGTGGCAGGAACTGGGTGATGACCGCACGGAGCGAGGCTCCGGACTGTTCGACCTCAGATGTTGGAGAAATGTTGGAGAAATGTTGGAGAAATGTTGGAGAAATGGTTGATTTTGATATCGACCTCACTTGTTGTGGGTCAGAAACGGTTGACATGATGTTTGTTTGAACATACGGTACAGCAACCCTAGAATCCACTTGCCATCATTGTCCATCAGCTTGAATCATTTTCCTCAATAGAAGCATGTTTAAAGATGTTCTATGACTTCTACGTATACCGTGCAAATCCAGGTATGCCTGTGCTTTTGCAATCTTCCGCAACCATGAACCCAGTAAACTAATGACCACCAGAAACGACTCTTGCAAATCCAGGTATGCCTGTGCACTAATCATTTGCCAGCTCGTCTGAAGCAAGAGTCATCAGGGAAGAGGAAAAGCCAAACTGAATGAATATATGAATTGAACTGGGATGTCTTTTTTCTCTTGGGATTTCTATCGGAGCATGGGCAAATAGTGTCGAACACAACAAATTTGGCAAATAGGAGACCATGTTGACAATATTCGACATATGCAAACACCCCAGCCAGCACTCCAAAGCACTGCCCTGAATAGTCCTTCCTACCTAGCCACCGTTTGCACAGTGGAGCAACAACGACTGAAGTTGATCGAAACGAAGTTATGCGATGTGAAACGGGCCGCAGGACACGTTAAAGGTGCCAGATAGACCAGAATGTCTTGCTATTTCAGCAATACATTACACAGGAATTCAAGGCAAAAACAAACTCTAGCTACAAAATGCTACAAACGGCCGATAGGGAAAAGAGATTTCAATGCGCCCAGGCTTGGAGCTAGGGTTTCCCTCTCCAATGATCTGAGTGCAAATAGGATCAACCATTGTGAAAAAAAAAGATGGCTTCTCCAACAAATCGGACCTGGTGAAGGACCAATCTCCAGACCTGGCCCTTTTTCCGTCATGGGCCACCATGGGCCACCTCAAATCATCTGCAGATATCTGCTTCATTGAAATTATTCAAAGCAACAGCCTCCATCCATCATCCATCCCCATCCTAGATCAATGGGAATTCCAGGATCCTAAAATGGAGGTACTGTACCATATAAGGCCATATTTTCTGGGGATATTCCCTTACATAGGCCTTACATAGGCCTTATATATCGTAGGAAATGGCCATTGACTAGACGCTGTTTGAGTTGGATTCCTGGATTCCAAGGCACGCTTTCGCCAGTCGCTCCGGGGATTTCTGTGGACTGAGCTCAGGCAGGGCACTCAGGGCGGTCATGATGGCCCTCAAAGACTTTCTGGGCCTAGCGCAGAGATGGGAAAAGATGCGAAAAGTATGAAAGTATGGAAAAATATGGAAAAATAATGAAAAACACTCAAATCGGATTTGGACAGTTTCGGAAATCTCTATGAGTCTTCTCAGAAACTCAGGGGATACAGATCCTTGCTATAGATCATTCTCTGGCACTAGTGGAACAGCTGTGTCCGCCAGACGCCTATTTGCATCGTAGCATTTCAGGGCTCGAAACTGTATGCAGGCTCCCTGCAGCATTTCTACGCTGAAATCTCTGATTTGAACCGTATTCAAACACTTCTGGTGATGGGCTTTGTAAACTCTATAGCTGCTATGTGCCGTGGCTATGTGCCTTGGCTAATTGATCACTTGGAATACAAAGCGACCAGTGCCATAGACCACGTCATCCAGGTAAGTCCCACGGGGCCCGCGAGGCCTTGGTTCCAGTGCTGCTAGCTCCTCGGAAGAAGGCTTGGTGAGCAACCTGAATTTGACCACATCTAATATGCATCTAAATCTGGTTCTTCTCGAATCAAAAACAACCAACAGTAACTAACCAACAAATATGACGTTGCAACTCAACCACCACAGCGACATGTTTCTGGATGCCCATTCCTCAAGTTCTTGTGCAAATTGAGAACTAGAAGAACCAAGCCATACCCACACCTTCAAAGAAATACATGAGTTTCAAGAAAGTTATACATTGCTTCTCTCAATGGATTTGTTGAAAGGAACACATACAGGGAACCATGGTCTTTACCCACCCAAAATAGAGATTTCTACCGTCCAAAATGGAGGTTTCGTGCAAAAAAAAACCTCATCCAGTTGTTTTTGATGTCGGCTGGGTGCTCGGTACCCAGTCGCCTCTGCCTTCCGCTTCCACGTCTTCATCTTGCGTTGAGCCTTGCTGAGCTCCTGCGTTGCAGCTTAAGTTTTTATCTGAAATCCGTGCAAGTCCATATTTTTGTCGCCTGTATAAACCGTCAAATCATATATCAATGGACTGGTTTAAGGGAAAATTTACAGGAAACCTCCATATTTAATGGTAAAAACCATGGTTTCCTAATGATAGATAGAAAACTATGACATAAACCATACTTTTAAAAGCCATCGACTCGGAGACAGAGGAACCCGCCATCTGCCATCAATTCCTCTTGAGCCTTCTCACGAGCTTTCACAGCTTTGGCCCATGAATTCGTTGGCCCGTCCCTGAAGCTGGGGCAGACTGTTCAATCAATTCGAAGGAGCTTCATGTTGCAAGAAATCATTTAAGTGTTAATGGCTGGTGCCATTCAATACCAGATAAATGGATATAAATGGTAATTATAGCTTCTTCTTGGTCAAACCTCCGAATGTAGCTGACAGTGACATGCACGTTGACGGATCATGCACAAACTGGGCCTAAACATTCATGACCAGCATTTCTCAATCCTACCGCTGTCATTGACAGGGGGTCCACACCGATGGAACAACATGAACGATGAACAAACAGGTCTGACTACATATCAGGAAATATCCAGGAATATGGTACTAGATATTACCCTCTGGTAAATTAACATAGACCCTGGCAGTCATCGGGGTTGGAAGGCTAGTTTCCATTAAAAATTGGTGATTTTCAGGGTCTATGTTTATTTACCAGAGGGTAGATGATATTAGATGATATTAGGATATACATCGGTATCTTCGGTACTTCCGTAGATAGTGATCCCCTGCTGCCATGAAATGGGTGCTCCACCAAGCCACTTGGTCGAGGTCCTTGAGTCCATCCAAGCAGCTCCGCATCCGGGCCGTCATGGAAACTTCACCGAAATCTGTGAGCTTTCCACTTGTGAGTTGCAACTTCAGAACTTCTCAGAATTTCAACTAGACTCACTAGACCGCTAAAGTATGCTAAAGTCATATATGTTTTCCGTTTTGTGCGAATCAAAGATTCCCGAACACACAAATAACATCGATTTCACGGCTTTATCGAAGAAACTCGCAAAAAATCCATAAAAGTGGTCTGATAAAATCTATAAAAAGTGGATGAAAGTGGTCTGTGTGACTGTGTGGGATGAGGATCATGCAGACGATGGAAACTCACCATAAATTCGTAGCGAAGCTCTGCAGTGCGGGCGCAGGACTGCTGCATCGGCCAAGGATCCAGCATGGATCCACTATCCAAGCTTCGTGGTGTTGCTAAAGATATTTAAAGTAAATACATTTGAATCATTTGAAGTAAGTGTGTATATATATATATAACCACATATGTATATATATATAATGATGTATATAGAATTATATAATTAATTCTATATATATATAATTATATATAATTATATATATAATATTATAGATTATTATATATTACAATTATCTAAACACGTTTCAACAATATATTAAAAAAGAATCCATCATTGCTAAACCATAAGCTCCATAGTGTTCCCAACGTTTTCGTGAAGCTATCGGATCCAAATTTCTGTAACTTCCATCAGCTGATAGAAAAAGAAACTTCTGGCGGATGTTATTCTTGCAGACCTCAGCAGTTTGTGTGGGGTAGGTTGTACTGTATATGCTGACATAAAAATACTTCAAACAACTGTGTATATACGGAAATATCATGTATATTATTATATATATGTATATATATATATATACATATACAATTATATACATATACAATTATATACACATGTGTGTGTGTGTGTTTCAGCAGTGTGTGTCCATCAAGCTGTGTTGTGTGTGCAAAGTGCTAAACCAGAGGGACACAGCGAGACGTCACTGTCATGTGTCTTCCAAGTTTTTGTATCTATACAGTAGTAAATATATAGTTATATCAATGCATATCAAATTATATCAAATCATATCAAATTGTATCAATATAGATATGAACATGGTGCATACAATAGTGCATAGTATGCATAGTAATTGAACTTAACATAACTTAATCTGACATATTCTGATGTATTCTGATATATCCCGATAGTTTTTTTTAATGTACGAAACCACCATATATTCTCCCTCAGCCCCCGGTGGAATCCAGGTGGAATCCCGCTGGAAGGCGCCGTACCTGAGCTCCTCATTTGCTTCGAGCTTATCCTTCAAGCGCACCTGCCAAATCCTGGAAGCCCGATGTCGATGTCTATGGCAGGGCGACAGGCGGCTGACTTGACATTTTCTGATGAAGTATCTATGGATTCTATGGAGTATCTGATTTGTGATTTCTCATGATTTTTGATGTCACATAGTTTATCTATATTTATCTGATTTTCAGATTCAAACGATTTCAAAGCTTCTCACATCTTCTCACCTACAGCAACACATTTTCGCATCTTCACAACTTCATGACACATTTTGCTTGTCACCCATGGCTCATGGCTCGCACCTTGTAATCTGATCCGGTGTGACAGCAGTATCCTGCCATGGCCCCATGGCTCAGCTTCCTTTGAAACATGGCTTGAAGGGTCTCTCATGCGAGCCCCTGTCCATTGAACAGTGTGCATGTATTATATCATATATATATATTATATGATACATATTTTGTTTTCTGCACTTGTCCAAGTAGCTTGCGAAACAAGCACGCACAGAAGCCAATGATCCAAACGGTTTCTTTCAATTTGATTTTGATGTTATGACCTGAGGTTAAACGACCGTTTGCCCAGCGTGTTGTGTCACACCAATGCGCACGCGCTGGCCCCATCATGCCCCATCCAACAGCCCCCTGCCTCAACGAAGGCGTAGCAGTCTGGCGAATCCAACGTTGCGCCCATGTCGGTGGCAATCACCCAGCAACCCTCATTCCTGCAGCGACGGACCCTGAAAGCCATGCAAATATGCTGCTTGGTGCAACCCCTCTGAAAAATATTAGTCAGTTGGGATTATTATTCCCAATTAATATGGAAAAATAACATTGGTGTTCCAAACCACCAACCAGTATGGGTCAAAGTCAAAGTCACGAAGCCACCAGGTACACATTGAGCATATGGATCCATAGGATTCATATCAATGAACCATCCCACCAGGGTCATCCAGGCTTAGGGTCAACAAATGTCATCATGTTTTCTATAAAAACCTGAAACATTTGCAGCCAATGGCATAGTCAAAAAACCCAGGGGAAAAAAACAAAATCTCCAGGGCTTCCCGGCTCATAGAGCTTTTCGGGCGTGGGCTCAATACCGGCACCAAATTCCTGACAACACTCGGCAAAATGCAGATGATGAGATTTGAAAGACGGTGACAGGCTTGACAAATGTTGACAAACAACGGTGTAGAATGTGTTTTCGGTTTGATGCAGTGCCATTTTTCCAACGAAACATCTTTCCGAGACCTCTTTCCAGCCTCCTAGCAAAATCAGCCCTACCAGATCTACCAGCCGCATAGAGATACAATCAAACCTGGGTCTCTTGGATGAAGCAGTTGAACTATGTCGAACTGCTGACTGGATGCCACCGCAAGATTTTGCTCAGCTCCTCATGTTCAGCTTGACACCTCCTTCCGTAATGAAACACCCATATAACACACGAGACTACAGGAACAATATCACACAACATTTGCTGAGGTTCCAAATGAGATAGTCTGGTCCTCTAGCAGAGCCAATTGAGGTTCTTCATGGTTCTTCCACATCACGTCCCCAGATCCAATAGTGGATTGCAAGAACTGGGGGTGATGCGGAAAATTTTCAATTGGATCCATGATCTATGAGAGAACTTTGTTCACTTGAGACTTCGTCTTACTTTCCATAGGGGGCAGCGAATCCCACGGTGTCACGGATGGCCACGGTGGTGTTTGGAGGCGCCATTTTGCTCGCCGCTGAAGCAGCTGAAGCAAACGTGAAAACTTTAATAACTCCAGTCAAATCATCACAGTCAAACCAATTCATGATATGAGTGGCGGACGAAAGTAATTTGTTCCCTGTAATTGCCACGAGCAAAACTGGGTCGTCCCCTATCGGTTGTGAATATGTTTCTCTTTTAAAACATCCGGTAGCAAGTGCTGCCAGCACTTACACTAGTACTAGTCGAAGTAGAAGTCGAAGTCGCAGTCGCAGTCGCAGTCGTAGTCGTAGTGGTAGTCGTAGTCGTCGTCGTCGTCGTCGTCGTAGTAGTAGTAGTAGGAGTAGGAGTAGTAGGAGGAGGAGTAGGAGTAGGAGTAGGAGTAGCAGTAGAGGTAGCAGTAGCAGGAGTAGTAGTAGTAGTAGTAGTAGTAGTGGCAACTCATAAAATCTCATAAACAAGTCTACTTGAAACGCAGCTAGCTTTGAAACAACGCAAACGGCTTCATGCAAGGTTAGGCCGAACAACTGCGGGACGAGACATGCTGTTAAAATGATACCGGATATCAACAGAAATTTCAAAACACAAATCATAACAAACACTATATTATGTAAGTAGATGTAAGTATTATAATTAAATATCATGATTAAATGTGTATATATATATATATTGTATTATATCGTACAATGTTGTATAATATTGTACATGGATGTACATAGTGTCAGAAACTATCAAATGATAGTGCCCTCATTGTCATAATATGTCAAAACATATCAGAATCACAACATTTCATACAGGATGGTGCCCCCCAGTTATTAGTTGGTTAAACAAACCCATGAACATCCATCAAATATGGTTATATCATGTCATATCTACCATAAACATCCATAAACCATATAGAATTTAGCCACTTTAGGCAACTTAGCTGTCTTGGGCCCCCCCAGCTATATAATGGTTTATAAACCCCATTAAATATATAATAAATAAGTAATAAAACCAACTAGTTAGTGGGGTTATAAAATGTTATAAACATTTATAAACCATTTAATTATGGTTACTATAAATTAAACCATAGTTATAAACCATAGTTATTGGAGTTATGTTCACCAACTGAACGCTATCGAACGGGGGCCCCATCCTGTACCCATCTGGCCCGAGTTTGGCCCGGCGCCTCCAGGTCCGCGTCTTGGCCTTTCGACAACTCCGTGAAGGTCACGCCATCTGCCTCCTTTCGATGGAAGTAGAGGTACCTTACAGGTGTCGCACCAGAAATCAGGGATTTTTTGGGAGGAATCCATAGGGGAATCCATAGGGGACATAGATTTTCTCAAGATTGTGGAAATGTCCTGAAACTCTGCTTGGTACATTTTGAAAAACACAGCTCGTGTCACTCGTGTCATGCAATTTTCTCCAAAAAACACACACACACATATCAGATGAAAGGAAAACGTGGACAACAGGTGGAAAAACTTCATCCAAACCTGCGGTTTGGATTCCCTCAGAATTTATCTGTTCAGTGCTCTTTGTGTCCATTTGTACATGTTCAGACGGATTTGAGAGATTACACAAAAATTGATCTCACATGATCTCACCTAAATTATATAGGTGTTGTCCTTCATTTAAAAAAAACATAGCCCTCTAGCCAAGCAACATGAGTCATATGGTGCCACTTCAATATCAACTGCTGAGTTTTGATGTGTCAGGCAGCCAGGTTCCCGTGCTGTCCACCGCCCTCGTATTCGTAGACCGGGCGACCGAAAATAGTCAGAGGGATCCTCAAAAAAGAGTAGTGCGTCGGCCTTTATGCCCCTTTGTGCCCCTTTTTTTCGAGTGGGCGACACATGGCGACTTGCAATTCTTGACTTTGACAAGTTCTAAATTTGCATATTGCATGGATATGCATGGATCTATGAGATAAACGAAGAAACACTCAGAGAAAACTGAATGAATCAGCGTCAGTCCCTACTTGTATCAGCATTCAAACTGTTCCCCCTTGGATCTGCAGCATCTCTTCACACAGCCACATGTCGGAAACACGGGGGGAACCCCAGGATGTCCCAGGCCTCAACATCAGACCCATGCCTATCTTGCCGAGTTTGTCCTGATTTCCTTGCACCTGGCAGCTCCACTTATCCATGTCATGGATCATCAGTGCTCCAAAAGTGACGCCGGGAGATTCCATCCATTTCCATCCCAAAACGGCCCCGACCTGGAATCCCACAATGCTCTTTGCCACGATTTTATCCACTGGAGCTGGAGGTCCCATCAAACTCCTGACCAGGAGTTGTGCCCATGTCAAGCCATGTCATTGCCATCGTCATGGAAGCTCTCAGAAGCTCGAAAAAAACACAAATTAGTTGGACTACTGTTGGACTCATGTTCCCTTAGGTTCCCTTAGGTTCCCTTTCTCAGGTGGCAAGCTGCATGGGTGATCATCTTTTAAGGGAGCCAACACGGCCCTCGGGATCTTTACTATCATTCTACCAGCTATCGGTGTCAAACACATGGTCACATTCTTAAGTCAACTTAAGTCCAACAAGCTCAGCTTGGCATCTCTGTCACAAGTCCCCACGGTCCAAAGAGGCTTCTCTCATGAATCCAAAATACGTTGATCCACATGAATATGTTGCCTTTACATCATGTTAAGAATCATCTTGGAGATCTTGCAAATCATGTTCAATCCATGCTGTAGGATGTCACACATTCAGAACCATAGGATTGAATGGAAAATACATGAAAAATCATGAAAATACAATCCTTAGCAAATTGAGTTCGAGGTGAGTTCACTGGTATGTACTGGTATCTGGCCATTTTTTTTTCACAGCTTGTTGACCGGGAAAATGGGGCCCACTTTGAAATCATACTCTATTGAAGTGGTCCTGAAGGTGAAGCCACCCTTCTGCTCTCCCTCTTCCTGGTGCCAAAACAGTGGGAGGACAGAGTTCAAAAAAAACTCCATAGATCCCCAAAAAAATGGCATGAACATTGGCTAAATGGACTCTAATTGGCTAAAAATGGACAAAACTTCACAATCTGTTGGATGATGTTCTCTGAGACAACCCACCTTGGATATGACATAAATTGACAAACACGTATCATATCTGAATTCATCGCAGCGTTGGAAAAATTCGTGGTTCCCCCATGGTTCCATTCTGCTCCCCCCATTCCTCCTTGATCTCTTCACCAGCAGCCAGCAATTCGCCACTGTGGCCGTGCCAAACATACCTGCAGAGTCAGGTGGATTCTCCCAGCGTTTTTGTTCAAGCTCCGCTGCGCCAAGGCCACCAAGGCACCAGGGCTTGGTCACCATAGAGGGATGCCTCAGTTCGATGTGAGTTGAATCTTCATGAAAGCCACAAAACCTCATGTCTTAAGGATTCTTAAGGTACCCTCTGGTAATTTAACATAGCTATTGAAAATGACCATTCATAGTGGATTTTCCCATTGAAAATGGTGATTTTCCATAGCTATGTTAGTTTACCAGAGGGTAAAACGTGGAAAGGTGAGTGAAATCTGAAAGCTCTTGGCCTCGCCAAGTGACTCCGTGTTGTCCTCCTGAGCAAAGGCACAGCCAGGAGCCAAGCAAACACCCACCAAAGGCCTGGCGGAAGCAATCTGCCCATGGCTGGTGTTTACCATCCCCCAGTCATCACCATTTTTATAGGTGGTATGTTTACCATTCCCAGTCATGGCTGGTTTTTGATTTTTTGTTTTACCCACATACCACATTACTATATATATATATCCGCCGACCCCGGCCGACGCAAGGGGGAGCGCGTAAGGGAAGAAGATGGAAGAAAAGGACTTGCAGCAGCCAGCAGGCATGCTTGCAGCAGCCAGCAGGCATGTGAGGCAGCAGCAGCAGCACCAGCAGCAGCATTGAGCAAGAGCAACAGCAACAGAACTAGCAACAGCAACAGCAGCAACAACAACAAGAACAACAAGAACAACAAGAACAACAACAACAACAACCAACAAGAACAAGAACAACAACAACCACAAAGACAAATATAAACCCAAACAACAACAAACAACAATAACAAACAACACCAAACAACAAGAAACAACAACCAACAACAACAAACCATGACCCTTTGCCGGGGGACTCTGTTGGGTCCCCCTCCCACCGGTCACGTACCTCGATTCCTTGACTCCGGGGTTTTTGTTTCACCGGTGGGGGGTCCTTCCCGGAGTCTCCTCGAAGTACGTGGGGCTCCTTGGGTTGCCCTTCCCGCCCGCCCTTTTTTTGGGTTCATGGTTGGTGGCTTCTTCGTCCTTCACTGCCATGGTGTTTCAGGCTGGCGGGTCCGGCGTTTTGGCGTGTCAGAAGCTGTAAGTTGAAGAGGTAGTTGAAGTGCTAGGTCTCTAGGATTTCAGAAGGGACGTTAGGGAGTTTTTTGGTGCGATTTGGTGGCTTCTTCGTCCTTCACTGCTTGGTGTTTCAGGCTGGTGGGTCTGGCGTTTTGGTGGCTCAGAAGTTGTAAGTTGAAGAGCTAGTTGAAGAGCTAGGTCTCTAGGATTTCAGAAGGGACGTTAGGGAGTTTTTTGGTGCGATTTGGTGGCTTCTTCGTCCTTCCCTGCCATGGTGTTTCAGGCTGGCGGGTCCGGCGTTTTGGTGGCTCAGAAGCTGTAAGTTGAAGAGCTAGTTGAAGAGCTAGTTCTCTAGGATTTCAGAAGGGACGAGTTTTTTGATGCGATTTGGCGGCTTCTTCGTCCTTCAGTGCCATGGTGTTTCAGGCTGGCGGGTCCGGCGTTTTGGCGGATCAGAAGCTGTAACGGCGGCTCAGAAGCTGTAAGTTGAAGAGCTAGTTGAAGAGCTAGCTCGCTAGGATTTCAGAAGGGACGTTAGGGAGTTTTTTGGTTCGATTTGGTGACTTCTTCGTCCTTCAGTGCCATGGTGTTTCAGGCTGGCAGGTTCGGCGTTTTGGTGGCTCAGAAGGCAGGCACATCAGGGACTTCAGTGTTTTTGGCGGCTCAGACGCTGTAAGTTGAAGAGCTAGTTGAAGAGCTAGTTCTCTAGGATTTCAGAAGGGACGTTAGGGAGTTTTTTGGTGCGATTTGGTGGCTTCTTCGTCCTTCACTGCCTGGTGTTTCAGGCTGGCGGGTCCGGCGTTTTGGCGGCTCAGAAGCTGTAAGTTGAAGAGCTAGTTGAAGAGCTAGGTCTCTAGGATTTCAGAATGGACGTTAGGGAGTTTTTTGGTGCGATTTGGTGGCTTCTTCGTCCTTCACTGCCATGGTGTTTCAGGCTGGCGGGTCCGACAATTTTGGCGGCTCAGAAGCTGTAAGTTGAAGAGCTAGTTGAAGAGCTAGTTCTCTAGGATTTCAGAAGGGACGTCAAGCCTCGGGACAGCATGTTTTTGGAGGTGGTTCCGTCCTTCAGGGCCATGGTGTTTTGCTGTTTCGCAACCGCCCGCTAGGACTTCGCTGTGGAGCTGTTTTGAGTGGATGGGAGCAGCTCCAGCAGCACCACCAGCAGCAGCAGCAGGAGCAGCAGCACTTTGTTTTTACCAGAATCCAGAAGGGACGTCAAGCCTCGGGACAGCATGTTTTTGGAGGTCGTTCCGTCCTTCAGGGCCATGGTGTTTTGCTGTTTCGGAACCGCCCGCTAGGACTTCGCTGTGGAGCTGTTTTGAGGGCATGGGAGCAGCTCCAGTAGCACCACCAGCAGCAGCAGCAGGAGCAGCAGCAGCAGGCCCAGCAGCTGCAATCGCTTTGTTTTTACCAGAATCCAGAAGGGACGTCAAGCCTCGGGACAGCATGTTTTTGGAGGTCGTTCCGTCCTTCAGGGCCATGGTGTTTTGCTGTTTCGCAACCGCCCGCTAGGACTTCGCTGTGGAGCTGAGGGGATGGGAGCAGCTCCAGCAGCACTACCAGCAGCAGCAGCAGGAGCAGCAGCAGCAGGCCCAGCAGCTGCAATCGCTTTGTTTTTACCAGAATCCAGAAGGGACGTCAAGCCTCGGGACAGCATGTTTTTGGAGGTCGTTCCGTCCTTCAGGGCCATGGTGTTTTGCTGTTTCGGAACCGCCCGCTAGGACTTCGCTGTGGAGCTGTTTTGAGGGCATGGGAGCAGCTCCAGCAGCACCACCAGCAGCAGCAGCAGGAGCAGCAGCAGCTTTGTTTTTACCAGAATCCAGAAGGGACGTCAAGCCTCGGGACAGCATGTTTTTGGAGGTCGTTCCGTCCTTCAGGGCCATGGTGTTTTGCTGTTTCGCAACCGCCCGCTAGGACTTCGCTGTGGAGCTGTTTTGAGTGGATGGGAGCAGCTCCAGCAGCACCACCAGCAGCAGCAGCAGGAGCAGCAGCAGCAGGCCCAGCAGCTGCAATCGCTTTGTTTTTACCAGAATCCAGAAGGGACGTCAAGCCTCGGGACAGCATGTTTTTGGAGGTCGTTCCGTCCTTCAGGGCCATGGTGTTTTGCTGTTTCGCAACCGCCCGCTAGGACTTCGCTGTGGAGCTGTTTTGAGGGCATGGGAGCAGCTCCAGCAGCACCACCAGCAGCAGCAGCAGGAGCAGCATCAGCAGCCCAGCAGCTGCAATCGCTTTGTTTTTACCAGAATCCAGAAGGGACGTCAAGCCTCGGGACAGCATGTTTTTGGAGGTCGTTCCGTCCTTCAGGGCCATGGTGTTTTGCTGTTTCGGAACCGCCCGCTAGGACTTCGCTGTGGAGCTGTTTTGAGGGCATGGGAGCAGCTCCAGCAGCACCACCAGCAGCAGCAGCAGGAGCAGCAGCAGCAGGCCCAGCAGCTGCAATCGCTTTGTTTTTACCAGAATCCAGAAGGGACGTCAAGCCTCGGGACAGCATGTTTTTGGAGGTCGTTCCGTCCTTCAGGGCCATGGTGTTTTGCTGTTTCGGAACCGCCCGCTAGGACTTCGCTGTGGAGCTGTTTTGAGTGGATGGGAGCAGCTCCAGCAGCACCACCAGCAGCACCAGCAGGAGCAGCAGCATCGGCCCAGCAGCTGCAATCGCTTTGTTTTTACCAGAATCCAGAAGGGACGTCAACCATGGTGTTTTGCTGTTTCGGAACCGCCCGCTAGGACTTCGCTGTGGAGCTGTTTTGAGGGCATGGGAACAGCTCCAGCAGCACCACCAGCAGCAGCAGCAGGAGCAGCAGCAGCAGGCCCAGCAGCTGCAATCGCTTTGTTTTTACCAGAATCCAGAAGGGACGTCAAGCCTCGGGACAGCATGTTTTTGGAGGTGGTTCCGTCCTTCAGGGCCATGGTGTTTTGCTGTTTCGCAACCGCCCGCTAGGACTTCGCTGTGGAGCT